GTTCAACGAGTGCCTTTTAAACGCAAACAAATGTCTTTGAGCACCTACATGTATAGTCACATCCTCTTATATCCAGGGATCGCATTTCGGTAAACTTATATTAGTGCGAAATGCGAGGCCTGCAGATGTAAACGACGCTTTAGTCAGTTTCGGTGTTATTGTTTATGTACGTAAGTTTCATTGTATATCTGGTTTTGTTGTTATAACTTAAAACTAAACTATTGAGTTAATGTTTACACATTAGATCTTATATGTTAAAAATATCTAGTGCAAAGTATGTATACATGTACAGGGTGCGCACCTCCCTGTTTATCTGACATACATGTCAACATATTATGTGATTCTGCTTGTGTCACGACTTCTTTATTTCCCAAACTTGGGATCAAAAACTCGGGATCCACCCAGCCAACCCACGACCCCCCTCCCCCCTACAGCCATCCCTACCCCCACGACCCCCAAACCCCCTATATCCATCACTACCACCACCCTAAAACCCCCTACATCCATCCCTTCCACCACCGCCACCCAACGCCCCCCCCCCCCCCCCCCCCCCCCCCGCCATACACCTATCCATACCACCACCTCCAACCCCCCCTACATTCATCCCTACCAGCCCCACCACCGCCACCCCCCTACATCCATCCCTACCCCCACAGCCACCCCATGACCCCCAAACCCCCTATATCCATCACTACCACCACCCCCAAACCCCCTACATCCATCCCTACCCCCACAGCCACCCCATGACCCCCAAACCCCCTATATCCATCACTACCACCACCGCCACCCCCCTACATCCATCCCTACCCCCACAGCCGTCCCATGACCCCCAAACCCCCTATATCCATTACTACCACCACCCCCAAACCCCCTACATCCATCCCTACCACCAACGCCACCCTCCCCCAACATATATACCTTCCACCACCACCACCCAACGCCCCCCACCCCACCCCACCCACCCACCCCGCACACCTATCTATTCCACCACCGCCACCCCACGACCTCCAACCCCCCCTACATTCATCCCTACCACCGCCACCCCACGACCCCAAACCCCCCAACATTCATCCCTACCCCCATAGCTACCCAATGACTCCCAACCCACCCACCCCCATCCATCCCTACCACCACCACCACCTTGACAACCCCCAGCCCCACCCCCCACCCCAAAACACACACACACACACACACACACACACATCCATTCCAACCACAGCCACATCACGGCAGGAAGATTAAAGCCGTTATTCATTGACTCGAACTGTGGGATACCCTGAAACGTTGATGGAGGGAGATGGAAGAGATTTTGACGTAAAAGACAATATAGTCAATTAACTGCCACGTGGTTAGTCGGTTTGGTCTGGTTAATTAATATGTAAGTCTTTCAGTAACCTTGTCACAATATTGCAATAATATTTATCTTGTATGAACGAAGAAAATATAAGTCCATCTTGGCCCCGGGTTGCCACGAATAGCTGCAAAATGCTGATTCGGCGAAACGCAAGATTCATTTATTCACTCACTGCTCCGTTTAGGGGTTGCCATCACAACAATATACCCACACCCACCCCTCCCCAAAATGATACAAAAGGGGAATTCCTGGAGGAATGGCATCAAAGCGTGCAATCAGTATTTTGTAAAAGGAAAGGTGCATTTGACAATTTCCATTCAGTAATCGTGTAATGTGCTGAGGAAATACCACAAAATGAGATCGCTTAAGTGTTGAAATGCGGTTTTTTCATTTTAGTATATCGATAATTTATAAAAAATTGCGAATAAACAAATGTTTAGTGTTTCAAATCTGGGAGGCGGATAACCCCCTGGATCCGCATATAATGAGTGAGTGAGTGAGTGAGTGAGTGAGTATGGTTTTACGCCGCTTTTAGCAATATTCCAGCAATATCACGGCGGGGGACACCAGAAATGGGCTTCACACATTGTACCCATGTCGGGAATCGAACCCGGGTCATGGGGTGACGAGCGAACGCTTTAACCACTAGGCTACCCGACCGCCCCCGCATACAATGACAGACTATGGCAGTGTGTTTAATAACTATTGATGGCATCAGGAAGCAGTCTCACACAAGCTGTGATATGTGGAAGGGCTTAAACTTCTATACTTGACATGTAAAGGCGACTTGTATAATTCGGATTTTTAATTAACGCAAATATCCAATAAACCTAAATCCAATTCTGTCCAATCTCTTTGTGTTACGGTAGCAAGCACTAAAATCTGAATTTAATTAGATTGAATTTTGTGAAGTGAGGTTTGTTCTGGTGCGTCGTTCAATCGATATTCAAAAGCAGACATATCCATTTCAAATGACAAATGAATATTCTGTTTCAACAGAACTACAATCACATGGAAATATATATTCCGTTTCCAACTACCGCAGGACTTCGAAGTCTTTCCTGGGCAGAACAGGCCCCCGGTGCTTGTCGTTGAAACTGACTAAAGTGGGGCGTTAAATTTTTACTCACTCACTAAAGTGGGGATCAGGAGGTCACAGTGTGTCACCTGTCTGTCATGTCATGACTGACTGGTTGTCGCTAATGCTTTTAAACAATGGTATTTCTTACCTGGACTAGATTCTTAACGTGTAGAATAAAACACGTCCGAGAATTTTAATGAAATTTAAAACACGCATCCGATGGTTTTAACTCTCATAAAACCACCAAGGGAAATGTTTTGTTTCAAACATACTTTCCACGACCCTTAGGAATCGGACGTAAAATATCTCTTGCTATTCCTATTCTAACACCTATTTTAAATATGAATGTGTATACTATATAGAGGATATTATATAAAATGTTCTATTTATTACCGAAGAGGATGTCTACACACAGAGACGAATGTTAGTGTTTACCTATAAGGACAGCAAGTCGCAACAAAAGCGGAACCGCAATTTCTCGAATGAGGTAATAAATATTTTTTTACCAACGAGGGCAAACATATCGGGGTTCATAAAAATCTGGACTGGTTCCCTGATCCCCCGCTTGGTGTCGCTGCTCTTGCTCCGCTTTCCAAAGAAAGGACCGGAATCGCCCACCATAAAACATCGTCTGCTACAACAAGATGGCGGCTGTCAAAACGCATTGGGCGAAGCTAGTGAGCTCTGGAAAATTGTAGTTTTAAGAGGTGAGTATTGGTACCAACATAACGGATATGGGATGACAATGTATTCTTTGACTAATTTCCTGCAAATATTGACACGGCAGTGTTTTTTGTTTTAAATGGAGGACGACGAATTTCTTATGAATTTACCTTCTGAAGAGATTATCATCATCTTACGCAAGAAAATTAAGTTTCTGAGAAATTCTGTATGAAATTGCCGTGTTGTCAACTATCAGTTGCATGGACTATTACATATGCACTTATATTCATAATTCAGATGCTTGTCATTGTGTCTGGTAGTACGGAAATGTCATTTCTAGGCTACAACATGACAGAGCCAAAATGTCAATGACAGCACACGAAACTGAATTTTAACCGAAATAATATCTAGAAATTTTTTTAATAGCTTTGATGATTCCCGCATAAAAAAATGCAAAGGCAATGAAAGCACGAGTAAATATTTAGCTGCAAATACTTTATCGTTACAATAATTACGAAACGGGAATCATTTGAACTGGGCTATGTATATGGTCATGTACCCTAATTTCGTGGGTATATTAATAAATTCCTGAGCAAACTGAGGGACCATTTGATATTGGTTGGGGAGTGGGGTAGGGTAGGTAGGGTAACACGATTATCTCCCTTAGACCACTTACTGCATGATGGCGCCGCACGGCTGCTTGCTACCTTCACAACACACCGCGCTGGCAGTATAATCTTTTAACGACGTTTATAAACGTCTCGTACAGGTGAATGCTTCTATCTTGATTCATTGTTCGTCATTTATGAACGTCTGTTGGGATCGGGCGACGACATTTATGTCACACAAACTTACCGGAAATATCCTGAGTTCCAGATGCCTTGTTGCAAATGTGATCAATCTTTCAGAGTATCATAGTTACCGATTTACCCTAAAACATAACATGGCATAAACCCATATCACGTTAGATCAAACCTTTAACGTCACATTATATGTTTCATAACGGCAGGAAATGTGCAGATGACATGACGTATATTTTAGGATTTGCCGATCTATAAAAAGCCATACAGTTACTGATCGTTAGTAGCATTAAGGGCGTTCATACTGATTTTTGTGTTTCCAATCTCCAAGGTTTACCCAGATTTCAGAATACCTATTCAAGGCTTTGACGATCTATACCAAATATTTGGTAATTTAAACATATGTCTGGTCGACTATTGAGAGAAAGCTGAACCTCAAAACACAAATTTAAACACATTGTGGAAAAGACCTATTAAAGAGGAAGGCACATGTCGATAAAAAAAAAGAACCCATCACTATAAACATGATAAAGACATGCTGTAATTCAAAAACAAGGGCAACAACTCCAGCCCGGGACAGTGTAGTTGCATTAAGAAATTGTTGCAGGGACCGGTTACAAAGATCAACTAATGTTGGGGTACGACGTGACAAGGTTTGTTCAAGCTTATAGACATTATTGTATTTTTACCAACTCCCACAACTGTAATATTAGTGTATAGAGTGTATAGTTTACTTCCCAGTTGTAGCTGACAGGGGGGCGGTCGGGTAGCCTAGTGGTTAAAGCGTTCGCTCGTCACGCAAAAGACCCGGGTTCGAATCCCGACATGGGTACAATGTGTGAAGCCCATTTCTGGTGTCCCCCGCCGTGATATTGCTAGAATATTGCTAAAAGCGGCGTAAAACCAAACTCACTCACTCACTCACTGTGGCTGACAGTTAGCAAGTGCACTACAACAGTTCCACTGTGGAAACAATAGACAGACAAAAACATCAACAATGCAATAAGCCTTATTGAAAAATAACAATACAAATATCAATAGATGTATAGTAATAATTACAATGTGTAAAAATATTTCTACATTTTAGATCACATGCATCATATTGTAAAGAATCCATGCACACATTATTTATGAATTATGAGGTGGAAATGTTCTACTAAACAGCATTATAAATATATAAACTCATAGATTATGTAGGAAGCTCTTTTTTTAAATATCAATAAATTAATCAATAAATGTAAAGTCATAATAAACATTCATAACAATAGTACTTTTTTATGGATCACATGTTGGATATTTTTAAGAACATACCAACATATTTTTTAAAATAAGATGTTTGGTATAATTTATGAGGTGTAAACTGTTTTGATAAATTTCATATACATATATACATTCACATGTTACGTAGGAAGTTCTTATTGAGAGATATCAAAATATATTAATCAATATATTTATAGTAATAATAACACCGTGTAACAATAACACTATATAAAGATCACAAAATGCTATTTTAGAGACTATCTACACACAGTACTTTTGTACATGGCTATGGTTATGTGGTAAAATTGTACTCAGCAAATACATATCATACTAAATTCATATGTATTTACAGTTTACCAGGAATGTATTCATGAAAACAAATGGTATCTATATCTGGTAAACTCAATCATAATGTATAGGTATTTATATCAAGTATGTAAAACTGACTAATGGTAATGACATCTCATTTTTTAATAGTATAGTTCCAAATCATCTTTCTATTTATTACTTCAATTACACTTCCTCCCCCCGAAATATTGCTGATGCTACCTTGATGTTTTCACTGGATCACACACTATCCTAACCTGCTCCATGCTGCCTGTCCAAACCGAACCCATCCACTGTCATCTTCTATCACTCATCCCCATCCTTTCAGAAACAGGCACTCCAACCTCATCACTACATCAAATGACCAGACACAACTCTCAATAACATGTATACAATTTTAGCCATTCTTTGAAACCCAAGTCCATCCTTTCCCTCAAAGATGAAAAAAAAGAGGTACAATCGTATACCTATGAAGATCATCTATGCACTCAAGTGTCGCTCCGATACACAAGGCAGGGTCAAGGTCGGTCCTATACACACAGCAGGGTCAAGGTCGGTCCTATACATAGGCAAGGTCCATCTGTGCCGATCCGCCTTGCACTTGAGTTATGAAGGTGAACTTCAGTGCCCTGTCTTCAGGGTGTGGCTCAGATTCATGGTACCAAACGTGCCGCTCACATTCTTCCCATACCTGTCAACTCTCACGCATCTCGCGTGAGCCTCACGCATTTATCACCTATGTCACGCTCACACGCAAGGTTGAGAAATTCTCACGCATTCAAATAAAATGTGGATGAAACATATTTTGAAACGCTTTTCTCTTTCGATTTATCGCGATTGCAATCAAAACCAGTTTTCACCCTGGCTTCGCACTCATTTAGACATCCAGGGGTTGACAGCTATGTCTTCCAACTTTGAGGCTGAAGAGAGGAAATACAATCTGGTGTGTACTTCAACATGTCCACTTCTTCAAGGTGCTATATGTTTAGAGGTGTAGAGTATTTGAAAGAAATTGAGGTGTTAAATATGTAAATTAAAATAAAGTGATATGTTAACACAGTGTTTTGAATAGCTGATTATGTCTTTAAGATGATTATAAACATTTGGTAAAGCCAGAATCATGCATTAAGATTCAGTCGTTATCAAGAATTCAGAAATATGTTTTCTTACCTTGGCAAAGATGCTGAACTGCCCATGTCCCATTGCAGGGACTGTGTTCATGTCATTGTTCTGAAATAAACAAACATGTAAACATTATGATACGATCCATGTGTCTCCTTTTACAAACACCACCTTTCCAACTGCCAGATTGTATAGAAAGAGTACCAATGAAAACATAAAGTTACATACCGAAAATATACTGAACTGGCTGTGCCCTGTGGAACGTTGGGTGTCCATTGCCTCTTCCTGAAATTAGAACACGTGTATGACAAGAACAGCCTCCCTCCAATGCGCCGACCTTGATACAAGAGAAAGCAATAAGGCACCCTATATGACAAGTTTATGTATGTAACGCTTCGTCCAGAATACGATGTATATTCAACAAAGAATGTTGTCTGGTTGACCTGGATAGTGCTAGAGGAATCCCACGTTCTGATTAAAATCACGGAAATCCTATAGGCCTTCTCTCTACCAAACACCCCCATCTATATTTGCGCATAATAAGAAAAGACCCCCTGCAAGGAAGCTATGCTTGTCGTTGGAGGCGACAGTACCGATCGGATGGCCAGGCCGGGACTTGATTGTCATTGCCATAGTGCTCGTGGATTGTTGATCAGATTATCAATCGTTACTTTGTCTTATCCAGACTCATTATGTACAGGCTGCCGCAAGAAAGTTGGAATATTGTGCGGCGTTAAACAACATGTAAACAGGCTAACAAGCTAACCCTAATGGGATGATAAAACAAATCAAAATATTATTATTAATATAGTTCATCCTTCTCGATGGACACCTTAATATAACCCCCCAAAAGAAAAAACTCACGACAGTGACGAATATAAAGAAATCTTACCCCGAAGATGCTGAACTGACTTGGTCCAAAAGCAGGCAGCGTATCCATTGCTTCGAAAAACTGTTATAAAGTAGACACAAAGACATACAAAGAAAATGTTTGTCTGATTACTGCCTTCTTATTTAATTCCTACCGTCTTATAAATGTAATGACGACTTCTTATTTCTAAGAAACTTGTTTACTTCAAACATGACCCCTCCGTGTGTGTACTACACTTTGCGTGTTTCATGTGCTGAATTTACTGTCTTTTACAAAGACCAACAGACGTAAAACTGTTACCTGTTGGGCGGCATGTCCGGCGATGGTAGAAGGGAGTCTCCGTACCCCAGTGCCTGATGTCGACAGGTAGGCGGCAAGACCAAGTTTGAGAGCTGCCAATGGTATAGAATAAATACATTAACGGCAGGTGATACAAGAAATGATAAATAATAAATTGCACGATCTGCTTCATAATCCAAGTTTTTTCTTCACTGAAATGCATGATTCCTTTTCCAAGTATGTCTACTCCAATATGATAGTCGCGCGTATTGACATAAAGGCGCTGAAGGCCTGAGTTCGATTCCCCACATGGATACAACGCCGTGATATTGCTGGAATATTGCTGAAACCAGTGTTAAACCCAACTTCCTCACCTTAGTTCTGAAAGAAACCGCAAATTAATCCAAAACAATGAAGAGTATGAGAGAAAATATTCATAACAGTTCATAAGACAAATTTATGTAACTCTGAAATTACTACCTACCAAGCATTGTTCCGTTATCTAACTTTCAGGGCATATACAACTTAACAAAACTTGATAACATAATATATTAACACTATGTGTGTGACATGTTTCCAAGAACACGTAAACTCATTCATAACATTCTAGAGTGTGAGAACAGTACCTAAAACCATACCATACACGTTCTCGCTGAAGAAAATTTGAGAAAGTTTCAAAATTACCCTCCTACCAGACATAATCTTCTTGATTAACTCTTTGGAAAGAGTTTGAGAAGTCCCGTAGACGTATAAGACAGTGTATCATCAACAAAAGCAGAGACAATGTGCTTTGCATGTGCACATTCAGCGATTGTCGATGACGAATGAAAACGTCGCCACAGTGACGTTGTCTGTTCAAAGGGACGCTACTCTGCAAGTTACGAGGCGCGACTATTCAAACCCGTGACAAAAATTTCTGCGGTTTGTAAGTTGTTTTTTATCGTTTTTGGACGGTCATGTTTATCGCGGTTAGTCGCGCTATGACGGGGTTTAGCATCACACAGACATTTTAAATACTCCGATGATGGCTGTTTTTAAGAGAAAGTGCCTTTTACAGTTGTTCATGTCATTTGAGAGAAATCAACGAATGTTTCCTAAGTGTCCGAAAACCCATGACAAGGGGATACGTTAAATTACCTAAATATATTGTTTATCGAACTCAGAATACTGCTTATCGAACATGAAACACCGGCGTGAACGGAATGTTGGGTAAGAACACATTTCCGTTGAACAAGGGACTGCCGTGCACAAGCATTCAAGTCTCGGTTTGTTTGTTTGTTTGTTGTGTGACGTCGCATTCAGAAATATTCCAGCTCTATGACGGCGGTCTGTAAATAATCAAGTCTGGACCAGACAATACAGCGACTGACATGAGCATCATGAGATACGATGACATATGACTCAACTGAGTCACGAGCCTGACAACCCGATCCCGTTAGTTGCCTCTTACGACAAGCTGGGTTGCTGAAGGTCACCTCACTGGCAGAGTCCACGCTCCAAGTGTATTCATTCGTCAGTGCACCACCTCGACTCGACACATAGCTGTACTGTGGCAAACTTTCCAGCCCTCCTGCTGTTATATCAACTGCACGGATTATGCAGATCTGCGGACTCATTAACCAGGTCGTGATTTCAAAGTTTGTTCAGCAGTATGTGAACCGGTTTACCGGTATGTGAACATGTATACAATGGTATGTTTGTACCCGCGTACCTTTGGTATGACCTATCGAACTAAGATAAAAAAGACATTAGAAACCATGGTGGAAGTTTATAAATGAAACAAAAAGTATCACATCCGAAACCAAACATTCAGAGACTTTTACCAAAATATAAAGAGGTCAGAATGTTTCGAGTGACGTTTGAAGCCTCTGTGTAAATAATCAAGTAAGGATCAAACAGACCAGGGATTGATATTATGAGCAATGATCCACGCTTTAGGGGTACGATGACATACAAACAATCACGTCACCGAGCCTGACCATCCGATCCATTATGACGCCTCTTACGGCCAGCATAGGCTGGTAGGGTCCAGGTCTGACCCTGAATCACTATTGGAGTCTTTCTTAAAACCGACCAATTCACCCACCCACTTCTAACTTCAGGTAAACATTGCTTTCTGTCTCTTCTTGTATAAGTAATTGTTAGCGAGTTTTCAAATGTTTTGATCTATCTTTCTATCATATGATCACAATACGAATATAAATTTTATATATATATATATATCGATGTAGTCTGAATGTACACAAATATATACTGATAAGTATCAAGTCCAGCCCATCGCCGGAGGTTCAAGGTATGTCCTTCGGGGCCATATAACAGATTGTATGACTCTTCAAAAGGTAACAATGTTTTCGTATTAAATCTTATAAATTTGTTTGTTGGTTTGCTTCAGCAATGTTCCAGCTATATGACGGCGGTCTGTAAATAATCGAGTCTGGACCAGACAATCCAGTGATTGACATCATGAGCATCGATCTACGCATTTGGGATACGATGACGTGCATCAACCAAGTCAGCGATCCTGACGGCTCGAGTCCATTAGTCGCCTTTTCCAAGCATGGGTTGCTGAAGACCTATTCTAACCCGGATCTTCACAGGTAAAGTTTATTAGAATTGAAATAGTAACGTATAATAATACAGCTGTAAATAATAAAGACCAAGGGAAGTCGGTTTATATAGTTATTACTTGTGGGTAATAATGGATTTACGACAAGTTTATATAAATGATAAGGCCAAACAAATAAATGTATGTTTCCGGTTTTCCAACCGCTCCTATTCTGGAACCCCCCAAAGCTTAAAGCAAGAAAACATCACAAGACTGGGCCTAGATTTTCGAAAAGATCTTAGCTAAGATTAATCTTAACAACTTACCTTCAAAGATAAGATATCTTAAGTTTAAGATAAGATAAATTTTCGAAACCATCGTAAACCTGTCGCAGATCGTTCAGAGCTATCGTTACTCTGACAGAGTACTCATTTGTGTTTGAGATTGAAAAAGCGGGGTGTTTCCCAATGACGTCACGGTATTTCCAAGCCGCTAGCAATAACAACATGGAGAAGTGACACGGAATTGTTAGGTCACACTGTTTAACACGCAACTATTTGAGTGACATTCCGTACAATTATACATATGTCCTACATGTAGACGTTTCGTTCTTATGATAAAACGATGCCATGACCCGAACACAAATAGCCTTCGTGTTCAATGCAAAAGCATTTTTCAAACCCAATAAATCTTATAATCAATAAGTATTGTGTTGCCACAAATGCCTCTGAAAGAAGTCAACCACTATTTAAATTGAAATAATGTGCCAAAAGATACTTCACTATTTCCCCTGCCAATGGTCCTCTGGCGAGCGCGCAGAACTTTATATAAACACATAGCGTCAAGGACTAAAGTAAGGGACGTTATTCTAAATGAGAATGACGAGACCTTTGATCAAACAGCAGGCCTTCAGCATTTGAGATGCGTGTTCAAGTCTGATGATACGTGATGTATACTGGGTCAGTTTGACAATACTGCATGTTTTTGTGTGTTTATGTCAAAAGTCAAGTTTATAGAGAAAACACCAACATTATACCTGGAAACACTCAATACAAAAATTGTTCAGGAAGCAGCGCACCCACGATCGAGCCAGTTACAATGACAATGTAAGCTTGTTAAGTTTGTCTTGATATGTATACATCCATTATATTTCACGAATAAACAAAGGACTCAAATAAAATATAAAGCTATTTTTATTTAGATGATGTAATTATATATTTTTTTATCTGTCTGGATCCATACTTATTTTCAAAATGTGAAAGTGACACTAAATTTCGTTCAAAGGGAGACAATTTAGGAATTGTCAAGTTATGTTGTCTCATGGAACATGCCACATGTTGACGTGAACATACATGTAATGTAGTCCTTTTCTATACTTTTAGATTAAGTTGAGCTAATAAACTGATATGTCTGATTTGATGCAAATCTGACTGAGGAGCGAAATAACTACATTGTGAATGTGTGAAATTTATTCCTGAAAGTATTATGATGACGTTTGGCTTGTCTGACAGCATTGCCGAGGGTCATTCACTAGTATTTGTCCGGTGATCTTACAATGATTGTATTGTCTGAATGGTCTCAATAGCTATATTTTTTAAATATAACACGGCGAAAAGAACACTTAAATTTAAAAAAGACTGTCATCAATTATTATTTTAAAATCGTTCCATTGAATGCAAAATTCAAAGATTATTAAAGTGAAACTGTCAATTTCATATTGATCAGTAAATTTAATTCAATAAACATTTTCTGCGAAATTATATTGGAAAGAGTTCAAACTCTGCTGCTTTTTATGACATTTTAAACCCAAACGAGCATGGGAACCTTTTTTTTATTTGATTTTACCAATCGCCATTCTTGAAAATGCGATACGAAAATCTGTGCGTAACTTTTGCTGTCAAAATTTTTAAAAATTGCTTTTCGTAATGGAATATATCTATGCCGCTAATCACCTGTTGCAGTTGTTCAACAGACAATATTTAATCACTTGTTATCAAATATTTGTCTTTCAATAACATAGATGGCCTACGTGTTGTTTTTAAAAGGAAACAATATAGAATTACTTTTTATAGAAAAATATTTAATATATTCTTTATACGAATATACTACACAAATATTTGATCACATGGATGTCCTTGTTAAATCAATAAATACACTGTATAGTTCATCCCACACCATTTCCTCACAGCGATAGTCCCTTCGCGGAGCTCTCTATATTTTTTCCATTTGGCTTGGCCGGGCGAATACGAAGGGAAACCACTCTCAGTTTAAGAATGGAACGTCAGTTTGGATGGGTTCATGGAAGTGTGAACGATTTCAAAGCGAAGTTTAACCAGCGCTTTGAAATCGTTCACACTTCCATGAACCCATCAAAACTGACGTTCAATTCTTATAATTTCAGACTTTGTAGTTTACTGGTCTCGCCGAATAATATTGTAACACTATTTGCTTAAACTTGAAGTCCTCTGGTTTCGCCAAAGAACATTACAACAACGTTACTTTATCGGTATTTGCCGGCTCTCGGTCGCATACGTTTCCCCACTCATACTCAGTTACGCAAAGAAAAATAGTTCTTTGAATATGTACAGCATAATCTAGAAATATGTCAACATAGTTTCATTCTCTGAACAAATTTACAAACAATATTTGGGATAAATCAAATCTTAAAAATAGGTTACAGGAAGTTGAACAAAAATATAAACATGACCTCGATGCACCGACCGAGGCGAGGTCAATTTTCAAGCGCGGATGTATACATGACGTCACATAAGTTTGTAAAGAGGTGTATTTCGAGTCGAACGGGAGCATGATACTTACGTACTGCTGTTGAAAATGACGTTCATGGAGCAGTTATGGAAACACCCCGACGCGTGAACCCTCTCATGGCACTAGCAAATTCGGAATATCACCGATTAATGAATGTGTTGCTTGTGTTTGGATAATCGCAAACCTATCCGGACGATGCGGAATGGACTGGTTGGGGTTGAACAGAGTGCTCTGAAACTTGTGTGTCTTGTGATAATTTTCAACGTCAGGGTATGTTATATTTGAAGTTTGGGATTTGTCGCGTGTGCTGTAATACTTTGCTTAGCTGGTGTTTCTTGTCACCTGAGATGGACCTACTGTATGACCTGATACCAGTTTCATTTCTGTGCCCCGTCATTCCTCCTGTTACCCCGCTTCTCGGCCTAGAATGCACGGAGAAGGTCGGCCAACGCAGAAACCGGAATAGCCTAGGCCTAGTTGATTTCTTATTCCGTCTACGGATATTTTCTCGACTCCGATGACCAAGCGATAAAACAGGTAGGCAAGTTTTGGGGTTTTTTTTAAATTTAAGTTTCTTTCCTTACCTTTTTATGTTTTATGGTTTCTCAAAATCTTAGATTTTTTCCCCGATACGATAGTAAATTGGATTTTAGTTTGGGATTGATCAGGAGCAGTCGCGTTTGCTCTGTCAGCGGCCACATCTGAGCAGGGTACGACATTGTTTTCATTGGTGCAAAATTCCTGTTATTTCCGAAAACAAGGCATCAAAGTCAATATCGCTCAATAAATCAATTTCGTTCACCTCAGTAATTTTACAGAATTAATTTTCTTCACTTGCGTTATTAGTATTGAAAGTTAACCATTCCATATCCAAATCATCGCAAGGACAATTAAATCCATTAATTTTTGTTTCATGTAGCAGCTAGACGACATCATCTATTACCAGAACCAAAGCATTTATTTATTTATAAATCAGATGAAACGTTACAAGACCAGGCAAAAATACAAAATTAATTATTTTGCTGATAAATGCAGGTATTAAAAGAAAATAGAACAACGAGTTGATCGTAAACATACCGTCCAAATTTCAAATTGCAATTCAATTGTAAACTTCAAAGTATGAAATTATTAGAGTATGAACTAAGATAAGCTGCCCCTGAGTTATCAATGAGGTCACGGTCATTACTGTAGCCTGCCGACACCTTCCGTTTAAAAGGTATGTTGTTTCACATTTCTTCAGCATGGTGAGGTGAGGTGAAGTTGGGTTTAACGTCGCGTCCAAGATTATTGCACTTATATAGCGACGTGCATGTACGTGTATGTGTGTGTGTGGCTGCTTGTACTAGTCCGGACTGATGCCGATTTATAGTGCTAGCTCACTGAGATACCATGCCGCAGTTTAACATGAATACCCCACTCAGACACAGTATACTGACTCCGAGCCGACCAGTCCTTGTTTTAGCCCCTTAATGCCGAGCGCCAGACAGGGTAACAACAAGTACAATCTTTTAACGTCTTTTTGTATGACGCGGCCCGGGATCGAACCCTGGACCTTCCGCTCTCCGGGCGGACGCTCTACCACAAAACCACGGAGGCTCTTAAGCATGGACTCGGATAGAAATATATTGTAAGCTATCGACTCCATAGTTATGTGGATCGCTATCGCGATTAAGAACATTTCTGACTTGAAATCTTTAATGCGTTCTTCATGTTTTTGAAGTGTCAATTTGAATTACAGTTTTACAAAATGAAATGTCAATGTTTGAGCGTAAAGCAGACTAATTGTTTGGCAAAATATCTATGGCAAAGGATGCCACCATCTTGGATGAAGATAAAATAAACTTACGACAGGTATGGGGCTATCTTAGATTTACGACAGACTTAGATAGCTTAGGGCTACGATCGTTTCGAAAATCTAGCAGGCCTCGATTATCCAGTGTATTATTTCCCCACTCTACCATAATAGCACAAAAACGTTGTTGAAATATACTCTCGAAACTTATGACCAATCTTTCCCTATTTAAAAGTGTTGGAAATCGTAGTACTGAACTTCTAAAAATTCCCCTTTCGGCATCGTCTGCTAAGTTAACCATGTTTGTAAACAATATATCACGTGACTGACGTCATTAGATGCCGCGCGGTAAAAAAAATATGGAAACGTTTTCGGGACATCTCTTATACTATTTTACCGTTCGTTCCAATGGTTCTAAGATACTTCTTTATGTTCTTTCAGACCAGTGCGACCGTTCGTGGTCATTATAGATCCAATTACAGCATTGATCACCTGGATAATGCCTATAAACTTGTTACCGAAGAAAATGTATCTGGACAGAGGACTGCAGCTAGATGGGGTGTTCCAGTTTCAACACTTAAAGACCGTCTTCTCGGAAATATCAGCCTCGACACAGTCAAGTCGGGACCGATGCCGTTATTTACAGCAACACAGGAATCATTCTTGGCCAGTCACAGTCGGGTTATGGGGGAGATTGGCTATGGTTACACTCGTCAGGAGACAAGCAACCTTGCGAGTTACTATGCTGTCCACTTGGGATATCGGGATCGTTCTCATCCATTGAGTTTACGGTGGTTGTACAGTTTCATTGATAGATGGCCAGAACTTAAAGTCCAGAAACCACGCAAACTGGAGGCTGCAAGGGCGAGATCGGCGACCAAGGAGAACATTTTGAGGTATTTTGAAGAGCTATCACAGGTCATAAAGAAGCACTGCTTGGACAATTCTCCTATCATGCTACCTTCAACATCGACGAGAAAGGCCTCTCTGCCGACGTTACACCCCCGGAGATTGTTGCCGGTGTTAATTGCAAGGCACAGACCGTGACATCGGGGAAGTCTAAAACAGTCACGATTATTGCAGCTGTCAGTGCAGTTGGCGGGAATGTTCCTCCTTATTTTGTATTTCCTGGTAAACGGATGAGAGAAGAACTGCTGTCCGAAGCAGCACCTGGAGCCTCTGGCACTGTGTCTGAGACAGGATGGTCGAATGCGGATGTATTCAGTACCTACATGAAGGATCACTTGGCGAAATACCTCCCAGCTCGTGACGCAGATTCACCCGTTCTTACATTATATGACGGCCACAAGAGTCACGTGTCACTTGGTTTAATTGAACGAGCGAGGCAAAATCACATCATATTGTTTGTTCTTCCACCTCATACCAGTCACCTTTTACAACCGCTTGATATCGGGTGTTACGATCCTTTTGAGACCACCTGGATTACAGCCTGTCATTCATTTCTGGGAGAGCCATCAGTAAACACGACATATGCGGGATAGCATGTAAAGTGTTCAATTCCACTTTGACGCCTATTAACATTGTATCTTCCTTCAGAAAATCTGTAATCCACCCGTTCAACTCAGAGGTTGTTGATGACTTGCTTGTCATGCCTGCTCGGTCTTTTACCAGGCCCCCGCCGTCTGATTCGGAAGGAAATGCGGTTGTTACCAATACTGATTGTGCTGCACGAGATTTTCTGGAATGTCGGGATGGCGTAACAAGGTTTGATCAAACTTATAGACATCGTTGTATTTTTACCAACTCCCACATCTATAATATTAGTGTGTGGAGTGTATAGTTTACTTCCCAGTTGTAGCTGACAGTTAGCAAGTGCACTACAACAGTTCAACTGTGGAAACAATAGACAGACGAAACATCAATAATGCAATAAGCTTTTTTGAAAAATAACAATACAAATATCAACAGATGTATAGTAATAATTACAATGTGTAACAATAGTACTACATTGTAGATCACATGCATCATATTGTAAAGAATCCATGCACACATTATTTATGAATTATAAGGTGGAAATATTCAGCTAAACAGCATTATCAGCGTTAGAAATTGGCACTAGTCCTATAGTCCTTGCCAAACTGCCCAATGGTAAAGGTATCATAAGGACTAGTAGAAATGTTCCCTTTTTAAGGGTTTTGCTATATGTTATCATTATAAGGACTAGTGGAGGAAAACTGTTAGTTTCTAACCCTGATTATAAATATATACATATTTACATTCACATCTTACGTAGGAAGTTCTTATTGGAAGATAGAAAAATATATTTATCAATAAATTTATAGTAATAATAACACTATATATAGATCACATAATGCTATTTTAGAGACTATCTACACACAATACTTTTGTACATGGCTGTGGTTATGTGGCAAAATTGTTCTGTTCAACAGCAAATACATAAAATACTGTATTCATATGTATTTACAGTTTACAGGAATGTATTGGAAACGAGTGGTATCTATACCCGGTAAACTCAATCATAATGTATAGATATTTATATAAAGTATGTAAAACTGACTAATGATAATGGCATATCAATTTTGAATAGTAATTTTCCAAATAATCTTTCTATTAATAACTTCAATTACTCTATACTATATTTTCTTACCTTGGCAAAGATGCTGAACTGCCCATGTCCCATTGCAGGTGCTGTGTCCATGTCATTGTTCTGAAGTAAACAAACATGTAAACATTATGATACGATCGATGTGTCATCTGTTACAACACCTCTCCCACTGCCAGATTGTACAGAAAGAGTAACAATGAAAATAAAGTTGGGTGTCCATTGCCTCTTCCTCAAATTAGAACACGTGTATGACAAGAACATCCTCCCTCCCATGCGCCGATCTTGATACAAGAGAAAGCAATAAGGCACCCATTATGCATGATATTTGCGCATAATAAGAAAAGACCCCCTGCAAGGAAGCTATGCTTGTCGTTGGAGGCGACAGTACCGATCGAATGGTCAGGACGCGTTTGATTGTCATTGCCATAGTGCTGGTGGATCGTTAATCAGATTATCAATTGTTACTTTGTCTGATCCAGACTAAATTATTTACAGGCTGCCGCAATAAAGCTGGAATATTGTGCGGCGTTAAACAACATGTAAACAGGCTAACAAGCTAACCCTAATGGGATGATAAAATAAATCAAAATATTATTATTAATATAGTTCATCTTTCTCAAAGACCAACAGACGTAAAACTGTTACCTGTTGGGCGGCATGTCCGGCGATGGTAGAAGGTAGTCTCCGTACCCCAGTGCCTGATGTTGACAGGTACTTCAACATGTCCACTTCTTCAACTTGAGGTATTAGAAATGTAAACTAAACTAAAGAAGTGATATGTTAACACAGTGTTTTGAATAGTTGATTATGTCTTTAAGATGAATATAAACATTTGGTAACGCCAGAAGCATGATTTAAGATTCAGTCGTTATCAAGAATTCAGAAATATGTTTTCTTACCTTGGCAAAGATGCTGAACTGCCCATGTCCCATTGCAGGGACTGTGTCCATGTCATTGTTCTGAAATAAACAAACATGTAAACATTATGATACGATCCATGTGTCTCCTGTTACAAACACCACCTTTCCCACTGCCAGATTGTATGGAAAGAGTACCAATGAAAACATAAAGTTACATACCGAAAATATACTGAACTGGCTGTGCCCTGTGGATGGTTGGGTGTCCATTGCCTCTCCCTGAAATTAGAACACGTGTATGACAAGAACAGCCTCCCTCCCATGCGCCGATCTTATGGAAATACAAGAGAAAGCAATAGTAGTATGTGTGCATGATGAGTTTATGCTATAATACATGCTTAGTTCTGAACTCCATACTGCCGCCATATACCTGGAATACTGTGCGGCGTTAAACAACATGTAAACAGGGTAACAATCTAATCCTAATGGGATGATAATATAAATACTATCATAAATATATTTCTCGATACAATATCGTCTGAGTAGAACCCCAGATGTAATTGACAACCACGACGGATATAAGGAAATCTTACCCCGAAGATGCCGAACTGACTGGGTCCAAAAGCAGGCAGCGTATCCATTGCTTCAAACATCTGTTATAAAAAACACACAATGAGCAAGTCCTAATATATATCAAATGTTTAACCGCGTACGTGAGCTAAATTGTTTCATCACCGCCTTCCTGTTCAATTACTGCCGTCTTATTGAATCTCTGCCTTCTTATTTCTTAAGAAATGTGTTTCCCTTAAATACCACCCCTTAAATTCGTATCTGAACTATTATTTTGCGTATTTTATTGGTGATAAATTTACTTACTTTTGTAAAGAAGAACAAGCATAAATAAAACAGTTACCTACCTGTCGGGCGTTATGTCCGGCGATGGTAGAAGGGAGTCTCCGTACCCCAGTGCCTGATGTCGACAGGTAGGCGGCAAGACCAAGTTTAAGGGCTGCCGATGGTATGGAATAAATACATTAACGGCAGGTCAGACATTAAATGATGAATAATAAATTGCAAGATATGCTTGATATTTCAAACGTTTTCTTCACTGAAATGCATGATTCCTTTTCCAAGTAGATCTACTCCAAAATGATGGTCGTATAAACTTTGACGGCGCTGAAGGACTGTGTTCGATTCCAAGTAAATTCCGTTTGGTATTAACTTACAAATGAAGAATATACAGAACGCGTGACAACATCTATTAACACTATGTGTGTGCCATATGTCTGAAGGGAAACGTAAACTCATTCATAACAATCAAGAATGTGAGAAAGTATTATATGAAATCATACCATTCACGTTCTCACTGAAGACACATTGATATCAGTTTCAAATTATCACCTACCAGACATAATCTTCTGTTTGGGAAGAGTTTGGGAAGTCCGGGAGATGTATAAGACAATGTATTAGCAACAAAAGCAGAGACGATCCTCTTTACGCGTGCACATTCGGCGAACGTGGATGACGAATGTAAACGTCACCCTCGTGACGTTGTCTGTTCAAAGGGACGCTACTCTGCAAGCTACGAGGCGTGATTATTCCGCGGCAGCTATGCCGCCATTGTCCATTTGAAAAAGTTTTCTGAAAAATCTTTGAGACTTGTGGGATAATTAAAATGTGGTCTTAAGGGTAATTGAATAGAAAGTACATGTAGTTCTATATTTTAAACAACTGTTTCCAACATTAAAATTCACGACGTTTTGTTTGTTGTTGAGTGTTTATTTATTTTTTTAAAACCTGAAATGCATAACATTTGTTTGAAAGTCTACCGCAATAATTAGAGAGAGACACATTTTTTCTGAGTAAACTAGGGGAGACGATTGGTAATTTAAACAAGTGTTTATAACATGCCATATCTGGTCTTCTAGTTCTTAAATGTCTCTATATATTGTTGGTTGTTCAGTTATATTGATATTTAAAGCCTGAAAGGCATGACACGATAATGAGAGAGACAGTGCCAACTTGTGTGTTCATCACAAGCAGAATGCACTTTGACCTAGTTACGGCCTGAACCGGCTACCGCCTCATTTACAGTGGAAAGACATTGTTTATCAATTTCAGTATATATTGTAAATTTAATCTGATCAAAACAGATTGCCGCCGTGTTCATGTAACGCATCAAAGGTTTTCTTGTCTTCTCTAGTAATATACTCATGGAAAAAACAAATCTCTGGCAATCATTTCATATTCTTTGATTCTACATGAATTAAATGTCTGCATTAAATGCTTTTAAACAACAAATAAGTCTGAATTACGTTATAATTGAAGTGGATAATACTTATTCATATACTGCTTATCAAACTTACGAAATATCGGCGTGAACACTGCGTTTTGGGACAGTGGGCGTCTCTCGCGCAACGGAAGAATCAAGAAGTTCTATTGAACAGGGGACTGTGGTGCAGTGTGACGCGGTGCACATGGAGTTCATGCTAGTGTGTTCGTCAGCGCGTCACATTATGACCCGGCATCCCCACAGGGGTAATCTGAGATCATCATCCAACGTGGAAGATGCAAATGGCGTCATTCCGTGAGGGGATTCCAGATTAGAAGTAGTCCAGAACAACCTATGCTTGTATACAGGGCGACTACATGGATGGGGTGCTCGGTGACCTGCGTGGGTGATTGTGTGTCATCGTACCCCGGCGGCGTGATCGTTGTTCATAATAAAAGTGAGGCGACACACAAAAGGAAATTACGTCAAGGGAAAACATATAAGACCTAATCGCGTTGATGCCGTAACAGACAACATGGGTCTTTATCACCGACTCTACTGCCAGCTGGATCGGACAGGACTTAGATATGGTAGGAACATTTATCAATGCCGTCCGGGTATTCGGTGGCACAAAGCTACCCAAACTAGTGAATTGGGTTTTACGCCGTTTTGAACAGTATTCCAGTTATATCACGGCGTGTCAGCTCAATGTTGGAGGAAAGCCCGAAGTGACGCAGATCTAAGACGTTCATCACTTTGGTGAAACCCATGAGCTGGTGCTGCCAAACCTAGAAACATAAACCGGCAAACCGGTATTCGAACCCATGACTTTAGGTTTCCGGTGTGCCCAAGGGACGCAACTCTACACAGCACCCTTAGAAATAAAGCCATGCAATGTTCATCTAATAGATCTACTCAGTAGCCAGTGAATCTAACCATCCTTCTCGATGTCTCGTGGAGTTGGTGTGTGAGTGTTGTTTAACGCCAGTCACCAATATAATCAATATGAATAATCGAGTCCGGACAGCAAATATGTGGGAAACTGGGAAAGCGGAAAGCTTGAGCGGCGATCCCCACCATCGGGGCAGAAGAAAGTCTGCCAGGTCACAGGGTCTGACGACCCGATCAATAGTAGTCTTATGACAAGCACAGCTAGGTTACTGCAGAGACCAAATATTGAATTACTTCTGACGTCACAGACATGTGGGATCAGCTACATGGGGCGGTAGCCCAGTGGTTGAAGCTTTCGCGTCATGCCGGTTCGATTCCCAACATAGATACAATGTCTGAAGGCTAGGTGTGGATTGTTGGTCAAGCTATAACCAAGACATCACGATGACAAGCACCATCACGATCAGCCATGAAAGCCCTGAGCAACCGATCAGTTTCAGTCGACTCTTACAACGCGCATAGGTTACTGAAGGGACCAATTCTACCACGGAATTTCTGTAACATTGGTTACTGCAGGGACCGATTCTACCACGGAATTTCTGTAACATAGGTTACTGCAAGGACAAATTCTACCACGGAATATCTGTTACATTGGTTACTGCAGGGACAAACTCTACCACGGAATATCTGTAACTTTGGTTACAGCAGGGGCCAATTCTACCACGGAACAGCCCTGAGCACCCGATCAGTTTCAGTCTACTCTTACAACGCGCATAGGTTACTGAAGGGACACATTCTACCACGGAATTTCTGTAACATTGGTTACTGCAGGGACCGATTCTACCACGGAATTTCTCTAACATAGGTTACTGCAAGGACAAACTCTACCACGGAATTTCTGTAACACAGGTTACAGCAGGGACCAATTCTACCACGGAATATCTTTAACATAAGCTACTACAGGGACCAATTCTACCACGAAATTTCTGTAACATTGGTTACTGCAGGGACCAATTCTACCACGGCATTTCTGTACCATGCAATTCGGATACAATGACATGCATCAACCATGTCCGTGGGCGTGACCACCCGATCCCGTAAGTCGCCTCTTACGACAAGCATGGGTTGCTGAAGATATAACCTGGATCGTCACGTGTCGGATCCGATTAAAATAGCGTAGTTCACTGGTCACCGAGATCTCCATATGGGCGCAGTGGACAACAGTATGTCCCAGTCACTATATATGCACAGCAGGAGACCGAAAGAGTCACAAGGTTTGTTCAAGCTTGTAGACATTGGTTGTATTTTTCCCAACATCTATAATAGCAGTGTGTGGAGTGTACAGGTTACAGTTGTAGCTGACAGTTAGCAAGTGCACTACAATAGTTCCACTGTGGAAACAATAGACAGACAAAAACATCAATGCAATAAACTTTATTGAAAAATAACAATACAAATATTAACCGTTATATAGTAATAATTACAATGTGTAACAAACAGCATCTACTAAACAGCATTATAAATATAAAAACTCATAGATTATGTAGGAAGCATACGATGACATGCATCAACCAAATCAGCAAGTCTGACCACCCGACAGGCATGGGATGCTGAAGATGTGTCACGTGTCGGGTCGTATTAGAATAGCGTACTTCACCGAGATTCTCCATTTGGGCACAATGTGTCAGCAATATTTTGCTACTGGGTCCGTCGTAACATGGCTGGGATATTGATGAAAGTTGGTTTGTTAACTGTTGTGTCAGCAATACTCATGCAAAATGACGTTTACCTGTAAATAATCAAGTATGGATCAAACAAACCAGTAATTGGTATTATGATCCATTCCGTTGGGGTACGATGCCACACAACCAAGTCACCGAGCCTGACCACCAGATCTAGTATGTCGCCTCTTGCTGACAGCAAAGATTGCAGGGGACCACTTCTAACACCGAACCACGTTTGAGGTCTTGCTAAAACCGGCTCACACACCCACTCACTTCTCAACTTCAGATAAACATTACTTTTTGTCTCTTCTCTTATAAATAATTGTTCGCGATTTTGCTGATCCATCTTTGTATCATATGATCAAGTTAAAGGTTATAAGTATCGGTCTCTTAACGTACACAACCATTGACAAGTATCAAGTTTAGCCATTCGGCGGAGTTTAAAGGTGCATCATTTCAGGACCATATGACAGATGTAAGGACACTTCTCCGTATTAACGTTTGAATATAGAATTGAAATAGTAACTTAAAATAATACAGCTGTACAAAATGAAGTTCAACAGGAAGTCTCAATTTCTTTAGTACATCTCGAGTCAAAATTAATCATTAAAAAAACAAAGGTCACCATCTTTGTTCTAAATTTGACTGGTTAAGACTTGTACATGTATCACTCGTGTCATTACAACCACAACCGCAAACTTCCGGTTATGATATACATGTATACCGTCGGGCCATAGCTTAAAGCAAGAATACATTACAAGAGCAGCCCTCGATTATCCAGTGGCTTATTTTTCCAATCTAACATGGTAGATGTCATAGAATATAATACTCTGGATAATCGAGGCTGAAACCCTGTTAGTCTTCATTGTCCAATCCCAAATGACATAATACGGTTTAACGAATCATTGGACAACAGTATGCCCCAGTCACTATATACACACATTCCCAACAGCAGGAGACCGAAAGGGTGACAAGGTTTATTCAAGCTTATAGACAGTGTTTGTTTATTTACCAACTCCCACATCTATAATATTAGTGTGTTGAGTGTATAGGTTACTTCCCAGTTGTAGCTGACAGTTAGCAAGTGCACTACAACAGTTCCATTATGGAAACAATAGACAGACAAAAACATCAACAATGCAATAAGCTTTATTGAAAAGTAACAATACAAATATCAACAGATGTATAGTAATAATAACAATGTGTAACAATAGTACTTAAAAGTAGTATAAAAAAACATACCATACACGTTTTCACTGAAAACAAATTCATATACGTTTCAAATTATCACGAACCGACATACTCTTCTGTTTGGGAAGAGTTTGAGAAGTCAGTGAGATGTGTAAGACAATGCATTAGCAACAAAAGCAGAGACGATGTATTTTGTATGTGCACATCCATCGATCAGCGATGCCGAACGAAAACGTCTCATAGTGACGATGTCTGTTCAAAGGGACGCTACTCTGCAAGCTACGAAGCGCCACAATTCAAACAAAAGATATCCGTTCGCCAAACAAAAAAGCAGTTTCTGTTGCGAAAATGTTTTTAAACGTTATTCAAGTAAAGCCGCCTAACAAATGCATTTTCTCCAATTATTATGTATATCGAGCAGTATTATGTAGATTTTATATTATGGCAATACCTGTGTTTAGTCTGTATTCACACAGGTAAAGTTATTCCACTTATCAACTCATAACCGAATTCTCAGTGGATCGTGGGTTGGTTTTAATATCGTTTTCCCCCAATGTATTTTAAACAAGAAAACAGCGTCATCACTATCCCCCGCAATGGGGCACATTAAATGCACTAAGTAACATGTAGTATGGATCAATCACTGTAAAAACATAATTTACAGCACCAATACTATACGTGTAATTTTATTAGTCTTGACACATATCTCTCAGATAATCATGCAAACTGTCATGCATGTAACTACAATAGTTTATATTTAAATAACCGTGTCCCCATTTCACGCAGTATGCACCAGTACGGGCGTAAAAAAATGGACTATATTATTTATGATAACACGACAGAGTGTTAGATCTAATATTGATATTATATTTAAAAATATAATAAGACAATATAATGTACAAATATAATAAGACAATCTTATGTACACACAGTTGAGCAAGTTAATTGAATTTTTAACAGTGAGAACGCTGGCAAAATGAATAATAAATCAAACAGCCTTCTTAATATTATGGCCACACATATAAATCTCGAATGGTTCAAATAATAACATGATTAGTTATAGTAATTACACACAATATAGACCATTGGTTTCTGAATAGCAAAGTGTTTTCTTTGTAAATGTGCTTTTGTTTTGAACTTATAAACAGTTTTCGTTATATTCCTTTTACCCTATATTGTCTCAATTACTTTCATATGTATTTAGTAGTGAGTGAGTGAGTGAGTTGGGTTTAACGCCGCTTTTAACAATATTCCAGTTATATCGCGGCGAGTCAGCTTAACGTGGGAGGAAAGCCCGAAGTGATGCAGGTCTCAGACGTTTACCACTTCGGTGAAACCCACGAGTGCGGGTATGGTGCTGACAAACCTAGAAACATAATCGGGGCGAACCGGGATTCGAACCAACAATCATAGGTTTCTGGCGTGCCCAAGGGACGCAACTTTGCAGAGCGAATCGCGGCGCCTTAGACGACTGGGCCACCCGTGCCCCCATGTATTTAGTAATATCTACAGTATTTTGAATCATTCATGAATAATAGAATTTGTAAAAAATAAATCTAGTGTTCATTCAGATGTGTTTTTTCACAATCTTAAATTATATTTCCCTCTATGCTCTAGTTTAGCTTGGCCAAAAGAAAAAGAAAGACAGATGCAATTCCTGAAAATAAATATATATATTGCTGGCCTTATTTTCGTACTTCAATTCTAAAAACCTATTAATATTCTGGGTTTTCCTTTATGACAAAGAATTCCATTAGTTTCATTAGTCTACGATCATTATCAAACATTTCGTTTTGTAGAATGGAGTGAAATGGGAACCTTTCTTGAAATAAACTATCACGTATACGTGTCTTCAAATGTAAAACAAAAATATTTCCTTTCACCCGCGCAAGTTGTACTTTAATAGCCTAAGATTTAAACCATTAACAACACATCATAACACCCGAAGTATAAATAAGCGGTCTGCGTGATTCAGCCACCTGATTCATGAAGTTGCCTCGAACGACGCAAGTTGCTGGGGACCTGTTCTAACCTGAAATTCTCACGGGTGTGTTCACGATGTCTCTGAATTGAAGTGAGATTGCGACACCTTTTCTAAATACTCAAGAAAGCATTACACTGTGATAGATATGAGTTCATATGTTCGGCTCTTCCAGTGTTGCCGAAACTTGAAAGAAAGATGCGATTCAATAAACAATGTTATTATTCTGTCATGTCTTGAGGGAAATTGCTTACGGGAACGCCAACATTCCACGTAATACTACCATTTATTGCCGTTTTGCCCTACAACACGTGTCTTAAAACAGAACCCGCAAATTTTGTTAATAATTCAGCCCCCTTGGAGTCAACGGGATTAGCTTTAGCAAGTATTCGCGTCCCCGGTGTCTTATAACTGGGGCTTTATCAAACAGGCGGGTGCGCCTGTCACGCAGTTCACGTTAATCTCGTGCAGCACGTGCAAATGCTACTGTGAGTTTTATCAGGCGGTGAGTTGCGTCGTGCTGATTTGAACAGAAACGATGACCAATGTTGAGTTGGTGAGATCACTTCAGCATTTGGGGTGACGCCATTTGTGTAAGTTGCGTTATCAGGTTCCAAATATGAAATGACTTGTCAGTTTTAAAGTTTGTCAAACGTTTTTTTTGTGTCTCGCGAGAAGCAATGAAACGCTCGATCATTAACTCTGGATTTACTCCTAATGATACTAACAGCAAAACGTAACAGTTTACTTACGTTATATTATGAAACTGTTATTTTTTTGTCATGCTGTAATAACATGTTATTGGTACATGATTAAAGAGTCATGGTTAATTTGAAGGAATAAACGATGCTGTGTTTAGTGTGGGTGACGTGGACGTGAAATATATTCAGATTATAAATAAAACACATTTCTTAATTTTCTAATTGACATTCCTGCTGTCACTTTGGTTTTGCATAGACAGTTATTCATTATGTCTGATTTTATGTGAGTTGCAGCTAATACTGTAAATTATTTAAGGAAGCTTGAAGGGAGACAATTAATGGTTATATTTCAGTTCCCATTAACAATGGTTAAGACTGTCCAGTTGGATTATTGACCATTCTTTAAAGTCAGTAGTTAATATCATGTTTTTAATAATACAATTACAAAGTTGAACACATTTAATTTTTCTATTATTGTGTATATATTTCTATGAAATGGATCATATTAAAACAGAAAGAGAGCTTAGAAAGGTTATATATGTTTGCATAATATAAACAATTTGTTAATATCATTTGTTATTTAATGCAGCACTCAAAATATTCAACATTTATGACAACAGTTTGCAAATACTTGAGTTTGGACCAAATACCCCATTGACTGATATCATGGAATATTGTTGAAAGAGGTGTTAAACCCAACTCACTCACTCACTCACTCACTCACTCACTGTTTGGCACCAATACACTTTATAACAAGTTAATGCATTCACAAGTGGAATGCTATTATTTTTGTTTATATATTATCAGTCACATTAATGCACCTTGTGAATGTTCTCTCTTACCAAGTTGTAATGGAAATAGCTCAGTGAAAGGTTTCCCCATCACACAAGAGAATGAGTTTGATTCCCTGCATTGGTGCTTTGAGGCAACTGTTGGTGTCCACATATTGCTGTGCAGAGTTGTGTCCCTTGGGAAGACCAGAAACCTGTGATTGTGGGTTCAAGTCCTGGTTCGCCCTGATTATGTTTGTTGGTATAAAATCAAACAAAAAAGACAAAAGTATTTTACAACTCAGTTAATAAAGAGCATTTTAGGGTTCTGAATTAAAATAGGCAAGCACACATGTCACTGTATGCTGAATAAGTCCCTGATAATTACATAATTACATTATTATACATTTTTAATGGTTGCCGTGTGGCCATGTTTAAGATTGGTTCAGATACTGTGAGCTGGGACCACATTCATAAATGCTTCGTGATCTCGGTGGCTTTAGACATGTGGCAGACATTTCCAAATTTGAGGTATCAGTGATGAAAATGAAGCAATTCTTCATATTTACTTTTACTATATTGTTCAGGTGAATAATTGACTTGCCTTTGCATGAGTTTGTGATGGATATGACCAGTGAGGCTGCATAAGGGATGTTCAACGTTTAACGAACACCTGGTATCACTTTTTGATAGTGATTCTTAACACATGCTCATGATTTAGTCAGAATTATACAATCCACTCTGTTTTTAGCAGGTATTTGCTATGATTATGCAAAGAATTTTGTCACTCTTATGTTAGAGGAGGTCACAGATGATGTATAACAAGATCCAAGGTTTCAAAATACACCAAAGTCAAGCTATACATTTGTATATTAATATGCTTAGAGGGCACAGGTGGTCCTGGTTGTTTAAGTCACTATGCAGAGATGCATGTGTTCGGATGTTTCCATATTTACCTCAAATTTAATGTGAGAAATGGTTGAATAACAGACTAAAAGAGTATTTAAACCTGGCTGTAGTGGCGGCCATAATTAAAATATGAAATACTCACAATGTATGCTTCGTGACAATGGGAGGAGCAGTGGGGTAGTCCAGTGGTGAAAGCATACGCTCATCGTGCCGAAGACCCGGGTTTGATTCCCCACATGGGTAAAATGTTTGAAACCCATCTCTGGTGGCCCCTACTGTAATATTGCTAAAAGTGTTGTAAAACCAAATTCATTCACTTCTTGACAATGGTCAGAATGTGATATTAGATTGTTCGTTGTGTTTGAAAGTAAAGATCAGGGTTAGAAATTGGCACTAGTCCTATAGTCCTGGCCAAACTGCCCAATAGTAAAGGTATCATAAGGACTAGTAGAAATTTGCCATTTTTAAGGGTTTTGCTATATGTTATCATTATAAGGACTAATTGACTCAAACTGTTAGTTTCTACTGCTGAAGATACAAACAAAACCATCAAGTTTGTCAAATTTCACAATCATCAATGCAGAAATAGCTGAATGAGTGCGGCTATTTTCAGTGTTGGTGCCATGATGGCCTTGTGTGGAATTCCTTCACTAAATGTCATCACCGGTCAAAGCCAAGTTTCATCTCCGGCCTTGTAATTCCAGAGGTAAGATGAGTTAAAATAAAAATATTAAGGGAGACCATATTTTTTTATTTTTTTTATTTTATTGTTTTTAGAAAGACGCACCTGTTACATAAATGGGCTTCCGCCCAGGGTAGCAGAAAGCCCATGACATAAAGCACAACTTATCAGTACATCTTACTTGGTTGTTTTTTTTACAGAAAATAACATACTTCTCACTCACACATTCACTCTTGTTTATATATCATATTGCAGTTTAGGAAAGTACAGGGAGACAATATTTTACTATACTCACTCATGGAACAAGAGTGCCCACTGTTACACAAGAATAAGGACATACTTCGATATTTTATTATTTTAAACATCTTTGACTTGGGATGCAACTCAAACATAAATTATTTTTTGTTATAATTTCAAATGAATAGTCAATATGGAAATTTAGATCAAGGTCCATGTCAAATTACGGATAGAGGCGAGTTACGGGATTGGGTGGTCAGGCTCGCTGACTTGGTTTGATGCATGTCATCGTATCCCAATTGCATGGATCGATGCTCATGATGTCAATCACTCGATTGTCTGGTCCAGACTCGAATATTTACAGACCGTCGTCATAGGGCTGTAATATTGCTGAGTGCAGTGTTAAACAATAGACAGACATGCAGTTTTAACTCCATGGAAGAAGACTTTCTTATAAATGAATAAATGAATAAATGATTGACATAGCTATTTATTTTTATTTCAACTGACTTTGTGTGGATAAGCTGGAATATATCCATAAAACATAAGATTAAAGAAGTTTGACCTTTTCTAGCCCTGATCCTCCCAGGTTACAAGCCAAAGTGACACAGCTCTAATATTTCTGGGAACTGCCTAAACAATAAATAAAGAAGTTGAGGAATTCTCACCTCACATCTAAAACCATACAATCAGTGATCATTAATTCCTATTCATATTGTCATTGTTTGTAACTGATTGTTGTGGGTCCTTGTTTTCAGAAACTGACCCAAAAGGTTACCATAGTAACCATCTTCCCAAGTGCTCCAGAATGGCTAGTCCCTCAGCTAAGCGTAAATCAGACAGCTTTAAAAAAGTACGAAAGAACTGTAGAAAGAAAATGACAATGAAGAAACGAACATTCACATGTCATAAATGTAAGGCTCATTTCAGAATAGAAACATATCTTGTTAAACACATGAAGGAATGTCCAGGGTCACAGCAGGAGATGGTGATTTGCCATCTGTGTGGGAAAGGTTTCCCTGACCGAGCAGGCATTGAGAAGCACCTGCGAGCCCACACGAAGAGCCCTTGCTGCTTCTGCACAATGTGCAACAAAACATTTGCTGAGTTCGAAGACCTTGAAGCTCACATCAATGTCTGCAAAGTCCTGAGATTACGAAGAAAGGAGATGAGAAAAGCATTCATCAGAAAGCATCAAATTTTTAAAAGGTTAGAACAAATTGAGATTATGTCTGAACATGAAACATCAAATCAAATCATTGTTTCACCTGATAAAACTGTGGATATTGCTGGTGGGTATGCAGGAGTTGTGATCAAAGAAAAAGAGAATGTTGATATGAACAGCACTGTCAGCATGAACAACCAGCATTTGGACGAGAACAACACCGTCAGCATGAACTACCAGCATTTGGACGACAACAGCACCGTCAGCATGAACTACCAGCATTTGGACGAGAACAACACCGTCAGCATGAACCACCAGCATTTGGACGACAACAACACCAACAGCATGAACTACCAGCATTTGGACGACGACAACACCATCAGCATGAATATCAATGAGTTGAATGAGAACAGCACTGTCAGCATGAATGACCATCAGTTGGACAAGAACTCCATCGGCATGAATGGCCAACAGTTTGATGAAAAGAACACCATCAGCATGATTGACAAGCAGTTGGATGAAAACAGCACCATTGGCATGAATGACAAGCAGTCGGATGAGGACATCATCAACATGAATGACAAGCAGTCGGATGAGGACATCATCAACATGAACGACCATCAGTTGGATGAAATGGACCTGAAATCACATGACAACCTGGATGCTGATCTAGATTTTCTGTGTGAGAATTGTGGACTTCAGTTTGAAAGATGTTCAAGTTTGATAGAGCACTACCAGGTTCATAAGGCCCCCAAATTGGCAAGTGAAGATGACCACAGACATGTGGAAGAATTTGATTACAGTCTGTTCTTTGGTGATGAGGAACTCAAAGAAGTTTCTGAAATGAAATCAGGGCCAAGGTTGTATGTTGATGACATAATGGATTTAATGAATGAAAGATTTGATGTACCCACTGGGGGAAGGAACAGCATGTCATCAGAAACTGGATTGTTCCATGAAGGAAACAGTGGTCAAGACCACACAGACATGCATGAAGATCAAATGGTTACAGAGAATCTATGGGCAAAGGATCAAGTTGAGTGTTTCAGGCCTAATCAAGTTAAGCAGCAGAAAGTGTTTGAGGTGTCCGAGGTTTATGCTCTGGATTGCGCATATCATGAATGTGGAGGATGGAAGTTCACAAAGTTGTTAAAGGCTGACGACAAGTGTGAAACCCAAACCTCTGACATTGCTGTCCCTTGGAATACTGACAATAATTGGACATCCATCTTGGATCCCAAAGGACACGATGCAACCATCCCTGATCCCAGTGGATGTGATCAGACCATCTCTAATCCCAGTGAATGTGATCAGACCATCTCTAATCCCAGTGAATGTGATCAGACCATCTCTAATCCCAGTGAATGTGATCAGACCATCTCTAATCCCAGTGAATATGGTCAAACCATCTCTAATCCCAGTGAATGTGATCAGACCATCTCTAATCCCAGTGAATATGGTCAAACCATCCAAGATAAAAATGGATATGATGCAACCATCACACATCCAAAAGGATATGATCAAACTATCCCAGATTCAAAAGGATATGTTGTTACTATGCCAGACCCTAAATGGCATGAAAGAACCTTCAAGGATCATGCAGGATGTGACAAAATCTTCTCACATCCTGAAGGATATGTTGTTACAATCCCAGATTGCAAAGGGTATGATAAAAACAATCCTGATTGCAAAGGATATGATAGCATGTTTGATCCTACAGGATATGACAATACAATCAAAGATACCAAGGGAATTGATACTACCAACCAAGATTCTAGTGGATATGTTGTTACCACCCCAGACAACAAAGGATATGTCAATCATGATGCTGAATTTGAACTCATCATCACTTGGAACTCTGACAGTTCATCTATGTATTCAGAAAATGTCAATATGGAAAATGTCTGCAGTGAAGAAAGACTTGATGCAGATGGACATCATTTCTCAAATGATGCACTGTCCTTTGATGTGTGTAGTCGTGATTTGAAACCAATTAAGGTTTATAATTTCGAGGATGTTTTTGAAAAGTTTGTTTCTGACAGAAATTCCAATAAGTGTGTTGAAATTGATGAGTGCACTGATACCATATTCGTTTGCAGTTACTGTAGAGAATGGTTTTTAACAGATCCTGACCTTAAAGACCACTTATTGCAGCATTGGGACAATCCAAACTTTAGCAGTGTTGGTAAAGAGGATGTTCACTCTAGCTGTAGCAGTATTGGTAAGGAGCATGGTCATTCAAGCTTAAGCAGTGTTGGTAAAGAGGATGTTCACTCTAGCTGTAGCAGTATTGGTAAGGAGCATGGTCATTCAAGCTTAAGCAGTGTTGACTCAGTTTTAAGCATGATCCCAAATGGATCTTTTGACACAAATGGGGACCTTATTCAATCCTCTCAGTTCAACTCATTTGAAGAATTTTGGATTTCTGATTCATCTTCCCAAGTTCTGACTGAGCAATCAGAACAACCGGCTCAGGAGAATCCAAGGGAAACTGAGCAGGTAGAGCCAGTCGATTTACGTAGACACTTCAACACCGTAGAACAGAACACTGATTGTCACAATCAGTTGAAGGTTGATCAGATCACTTACTTAGACACCTTGGACAACATAAAAATCACATGCCATCAGTGCAGCAGATCGTTCAAGGAGGATCACCTATTCTGCCACGACCCATGCTTTACCAACAAAAACAAGGACCTGGATGATTGTGGGATCTGTCATCGTAAGTTTTCTTCCTATAGAAGTGTTCTAACACACATGAGAGCCCACAGTGAACTGGCAAAACCCAACAAATGTTCCATGTGCCCAAGAACCTACATGAATAAGGCTGTGTTGGATGTGCACTGTGCGGTCCATACCTTGGAGAACCAAGAGTGTCACATCTGTGGTAAGCTGGTGAACCCCGCCCTGTTGAAATACCATGTAAAGCTTCACGATAGGAACGAAGGGCAGCAGAGGTCGCTGCAGTGTGTTGTGTGTGAACAGGGCTTTCAGAGCATGGCCTCCTTGGCCTCCCATCAGTACTCGGAACATGACATGCAGGATGATTCTGTCACTGATATCATCTCCTGCTACAAGTGCCCCCACTGCAAGGAGGAAATGCAGCACAAGCCGTTATTCATAGCTCATGTCGCTAGTCACACTGGTGTCTTCCCATTCGAGTGTAGCCAGTGCATGGAAGGCTTCTTCTACAAGACTCTGCTCAATGTGCATTCAATTAAATATCATTCTGTGCCTTGAAAAATGGTTAAGTATTTTGAACATTTTTGCATGGAAACAAAATGCAGTTAGAATTTGGGTTATCAATTTGGTGAAAAGGACTTAACTGTTCTCATTTGGCTTCAACTAAATTGCTGCAAGAACAAATTAATGCGACAATACAATTCTCTCTTTTTCGTCCCTTTATGGTTTACAGAATACAAATAAAGTTTCATTTGTGATGAAAACCAAAGTACTGAAATGTGTTCAAGTGATCCTTCATTAAAAGAAGAGACCTAAAAATATAACCTGACCTATCAGGATGGATAAAAAGATTGTTTTTGGCTTGAAATTTGAAATCTTAGAGGATTTTGTTGCCAATACATAGGACATTATCTAATTTTAATCCATTGTACTTGATACACATTAGGCCTGATTCACTTGATTATTAGATCACCACCAAACACCCTGCCTAACATTATTTTATTGTCCCTCCATTTTATAAGTACCAATACCTTTACTTCATGAAAGACATGACAAACCTAGCCCTACCAACCATTCTTGATACATAGGAATCATGTGTCAAATATCCACAGATGCCTTGATCAGTTCGCTTAAAGTAAAATATTTTAATATGGGAGCTAGTGTATTCTGTAATCGACTTATCATTGTTCTTAAGTTACTTTCAAGTTCATAAATTTTGCCGTTTTCATTTTCATTCCAAGGAATATTCAGTTAATCTATATTGTGTAGGGGTTTCTGAGAACATCCCTGATTTTGAGCTATTAGTTCTATCAAATGTTATTTTGTTGTCCTCTGGTCATTAGTGATACTGTTTATCTTCACAATTGTTATCCATTGGTATGTGGGGGCACGGGTGGCCCAGTCCTCTAAGGTGCTGCGATTGGCGGTGCTGAGTTGCGTCCCTTGGGCACGCCAGAAACCTATGATTGTGGGTTCGAGTTCCGATTCGCCCCAATTATGTTTCTAGGTTTGTCAGCACCATACCTGTGCTCGTGGGTTTCACCAAAATGGTAAACGTCCGAGACCTGCATCACTTCGGGCTTTCCTCCCACGTTAAGTTGACACGCCATGATATAACTGGAATAATGTTAAAAGCGGCGTTAAACCCTTTGGTATGTATCAAATACCTCCCTGTCAGTCTGTATAAGGAGCTCAGATGTGTAATAAATTGTCACAATAAAATATTTATGTATATTTATGGAGAAGTATAACATAAAAAATAAAATGCCACCCAAATTAATTTGTGGCATTCCTCATGTTCATTATTGTATGTTGGACCAGGAAAAGACTCAACTCAAACACAAACGTAGGTGTTATGATGGTTATATAACAAGCATTTTAACACCAGGCTGATTTGGTAGGTAAATACATTTTCAAAGAAAGTGTTGTTTTATTTGACATGTATTTTATTGAACAGCTGTGATCAGTACCAAAAGTCAAATCAAAGGACTTTAAATGACATTACATATTTTTGTTATGGCTCATTTGTAATGAGGACTGTTACCCTGTTATCTGTTACTTGTGACCAGCTCTGTGGTCTAGTTGATAGAGCGTCTGCCCGGTGAGCAGGTCCGTGGTTCCAACCCCAGTCTGAGGACTGTCCAAATGGGGCATCCATATTAAACTGCAGCATGGTATTTCAGTGGGCTAGCACTATAAAAACGGCATTAGTCCTGTCAAGTACAAGCAGCTACACACAGACACACGTGCACGTCTGTCTGTTTAATACATTGTTAAACCTCACCTGTTATTAGTAAACAAACCCAAACTTCCCCTGTGGCATGTGTTGAGGTAAAAGCAAGATGCAGATATCATTGTTTGGACATTTCAAAATTGCTTGAAACCAGTGTATTCTGTAGTCATCTTATCTTATTTGCAAGTATTGAATATGTTGTTTCTTTCAAGTTCATCAGTTTTGCTGTTTTCATTTTAATTCCAAAGAATATTCAGTTAATCTGTATTGTGTTATGGTTTCAGTAAATCCCTGTTTGCTTGTGATGGTACTGGTTATCTTCACGTTTTTGTTATTATCTTGGTATGTAGTAAATACATACGAGTGAATCTCTCCCACCCAGTCTGTATAAGAAGCTCAGATTGTGAAATAAATTGTCATAGTATGTTGTGTTGTCATCATTTTGCTTGAACTGATTAAAGCTGTGTAGCACATGTGGAGTTTGCCTGGGGCAGGGATGGCCCAGTCGTCTCAGGCTGTGCAGAGTTGTGTCCCTTGGGAAACCTATGATTGTCTTCGGGCTTTCTTCCTCCATTATAAACCGGCATGCTGTAATATAACTGGAATGCTGTTCAAATGTGGTGTTAAACCAAACTCACACACTCCATGGGCATGTGACTTTGTTCAAAATATGCCTCTGTTCTCACTTCAGTGAGTGGGTACCCAGTAGGATGAAGGACGGTTAACCTTCTAGCACCCAACAGGCAAATTATGATGTACACCCTGTATTGTATGATGATATTGTCTCAGGGGGGGAGGGGGCACGGGTAGCCCAGTCGTCTAAGGCGCCGCGATTCGCTGTGCAGAGTTACGTCCCTTGGGCATGCCAGACACCTATGATTGTGGGTTGGAATCCCGGTTCGCCCCGATTATGTTTCTAGGTTTGTCAGCACCATACCCGTGCTCGTGGGTTTCACCGAAGTGGTAAACGTCTGAGACCTGCATCACTTCGGGCTTTCCTCCCACATTAAGCTGACACACTGTGATATAACTGGAATACTGTTAAAAGCAGCGTTAAACCCAACTCACTCACTCGGGGGAGGCTGGAGAGGATCTGGAAACAAAGTGCCGAGATGGCCTCTGTGGTTTAGTGAATAGAGCATCTTCCTGGAGAGGATGTCGGTGGTGAAGGATTGGTCGGTTCGAAGTCTGTGTAATGTGTCTGAGTGAGCATCATGTTGCACTGGCATTTTATCGTCCCAATAAGTGAAATCATATTGAAGGTGACATTAAACCCCTTTTCACTTCACCTTTGTCACTTGACAGTATTTCAGTTATATCACTGCATGTCAGCTTAATGTTAGAGGAAATCACAAAGTGATGCAGATCTTGGACACTTCCACTTTGGTGAAACCACTGTATTGTGCAGCCAAACCAATGATCGTCATATTTTTTATTCAAGCCAAGATCCTGGCATGTCCATGGGAAGCAACTCCGCATAACAAATTGCAGTACCTCCGCAGCTGGTAAAAAGGAATGTGTCCAATTAATTTGAACCAAACATGGACTCCTATTGAAGTCAATTCCTTGCTCAATGTCTACACTGGTCTCCAATGAAATGCACACAACGCTGAAAAGGATCAAATCAATTTTATTGAAAAACATATTTTGCAATATTTTACATAATGATGAAGGTTATCAGAAGCAAATAAAACATATACACTTACAGTGTATTACAAGATAAGGCTTGTGTCTCCCAGAAACTGTAATCAAAATATCTTCTTTGTACTTAATAATTACACTCACATTCATATAATTCAGAGCTAGCAGTATGCTTTGAAACATAGAATATCTACACGAAATATTTACAAGCAAGTTCTATTACAATCAAGTGCGGTTCAATTTACAAAATTCAGCTGAAGACTTTTCATGGTGTCAAGATAATTTTTATTTCCATTTTGGGCTAAAGATGACTTGCAGTCTTGTTTTACTTTACGTTGTGCAGTGTGTGGGTTATGCTTGGGAGATGTTCAAATTGCTTCTTGGTGTGTTGTTTGATCCCTAAGACTAGAAACTGATTTGAAAGTAGAGAGAGTACTTCTCACCGACCGATGTATACTACTCAAAATAGGCTTATCTTCCCGAGGTAAGGGAGTTTACTTACAATAGAAGTCTAGTTTCCACTCTTGCCAAATTAGGCTGGACATCCCGAGTTACACTTGGCTGGACCAATGAGTCAATGCATAGTCAAATCAAAACCAATTAATGGACTAGACATCCGGATTGTAAACAACATGGATTTCAAAATACAGATTTTCGTCAACTGCAGGATTTGCTAAGCATGTGTACAACTGGGTGTCAACAGATGTTTTCCAAATCTTTTCATGTTTCTTATCAAGGTGCTCACATGATTTGAGGCACTTCGCGAGGTAAGACCTGTTTTATTACAAAAAAGATCTTGCCATTTTGTTTGAATTAATTGCATGTGACATAAAGGTGGAATCTGATTGGTCAATAGGAGGGACATAACTCTTAATAGCCACGATCGGGCCACGAAATTCAAGCCTAGTTCAACAAGGGTGGAAACTGGACTTTAATTGTCAGTTAACGCCCTTGCCCAAGGAAGATGAAGACACTAAACCACACCCAATTTTTTTCCATATACCTATAGTTCATCTATCACGGCTGGTGGGCATTGCAACACACAGCCCTCCAACCGTGGGTGTTCTTTAACTTCTTTTGAGTAGTATAGATTAGATATTACTTGTGAGAATTCATCCAGTGAAGCCGTGTTAGCGTGAAGTCATGGGTACCAAGATCAGTACCACTGAAAATCTGCATATGATATTCAGCAAATATTGTCAATAATATTGTTTTTCTCATCAAGTGAGGATCACAATGAGTACCATTGAAAATATGTAGGGGAGTTTTGGCAAACCTTGTTGAATAACATGTTTATCACGTCGAGTGACCTAACAAAGTTCTATTCAACGGCAAAGATACGAAAGAAATGGCAATATTGTCCGAGACACAAATATGTTACTTGACAAGGAAAGCCATATGTTGTTCATAAACTATGTATTTTCTTAGTCTGAATCACAGTGTCAATGAGGCTAACTGAAATAAGTTCTGACAAAGTGTTCTTTCACTTAGTTGTGTAATAATAATTCACTCCAGTAGAATATCAATATATTTTCAGATAAACATAGTATTTCAACACTGCATAATAAATCAAGCTATCCATAGTTCAGGACAAGCAGAGTGATGATAATAAACAAAGTGCAGAAAACAATTTGTCCAATACTGATCACAAACTTACATCTGGTTTGAGCACAGCCATAAAGGAGATTCGTTATTTGGGTCAGATGTGTACAATGTTATCCCAACAATGTTCTCCAACCTGACACTTTATGAAACAGTGCACTTGACCTGCATGTACATTCATGGACTACAAGGGCACCTTGTCCGTGGGTTCCCCTTGCGCCAGCTGTTGACAATATATGCTGATATGCTATTTGTGAAAGTGAGTATTTGGCTGTACTCTAAAACAGACAGAGGAATTGTGACAGTAAAATCAGTGTTCCCGTTTGCCGGTAATTAACAGTTTTTAACCGTTAAAATTAGGCTTGGACCGGTAATTCATGTGACTGCCAGTCACCTGTGGACCGGCAAATAAAGTACCTTATACATCTTTGTTGTTGAACAAAACATTGCTGATATTCAGATAAGTATATTTTTCGAACAAAGTCAGCTTGTCTGTTACCATCAGGGTTTCCTGTTGTCTATTTTTTGTGCAAGGAAACATCATTTCGCTTTGCTTTGAGGTTAAATATATATTTGTAGTGACTTAGTCTCGAAATACCAAAAAAACACGAGAAAATTGTGACTGAACTTTCTGTGAATGACGTGTAGATCTAACTAAGTTACTTCAGAGATGACGTCACTGCATTTATTTGTTGAAAGTTGGGACTTACAAAAATTAGAGGGGACTGGTAATTTTTAGAGTTGCCAGTCCACCAGGACCGGCAGTTTCAAAACCCAACGGGAACACTGAAAATATGGAAAGCTGCAAGAGCTGTAACTGAATATCACAATACAGTTCTGTCAAATGTCCTGAATTACTTTTGGCTATGGCTTTATGTTTGGCTATTTAATGATACAGCCGAGAACTGAAGAGAGTACAGTTAATTATGCGCTGTCATTAGATGCATGTACATGCACAATAGTCTTAACTCGGTAATATACTCCACAAAAGTAATAGATAAATCAGTTTTAACATTACAACATATAATAGCACTATCAACCTGGAAACAGCTCACATAAATATTTTGGCGGAAAGGATAATCAGTAATAAGTTAAGCGTTCAACCATCTAACTTGGCACGATTATTCCTGGCTAAACAAGGTACAATATTTTGGCTGTTAGATAGATTCCCAACTAAGTATCAATGTAGCACCCTGAAAAAACACTCCCCCTGCGATTCCAACCATGTAACCTGTCACTCAAAATACATCATGCAGGTCATTTGCAATGATAGTGTGGCGAAATTAATACCCTTCGTTTGGTTTAAACTACAAACATGGCCTAATAATCATGATACCACCCTTCTCAACTGTCCACCCTGTTGTCTAAACATCTAACGCCATCCCATGGAAAATAAAACTGGAACAAAGAAATCTATATTGTGTATGCTGAGATATTATGTATGTTATATTTATGGATTTGCTTCCAATATAGCATTGTGGGTTAAATGGCCATGATGAAGGTAATAATTTACAGTAGTTGGTTAATTGTTCAATGGTAAGATAATGTCCATTCCAGCTTCTGATTCGATTACAATTTGGCAGATTGTTTTAACTAAAAACTTGATTTAGCTAACATTACATACCCGTTATCATGTTTATTGAAAAGAATTTTGTGCAATCAATAAAAAGTTACATAGAGCGTATACTGTACTGAAAGATTGAAGGAGCAGACAATTTTATCCCCTTGGGATTTTTGCCTGAGAGGACAGCATACCAGTATTGTATATCGCAGGCTGAGTTGACATTGCAGTGGTTGAAAATAGTCAAGCAGTGCATGTTGTTCTGCACATGAATCAATACCCGAGTGATAGGTGTTTCCGCATGCCCGAGTGAGTGAGTGAGTTGTAACACCAATTTAAACAGTATTTCAGTGATATCATGTCTCAGCTTAAGTCGGGAGGAAAGCCTGAAGTGATGCAGGTCTTAGATGTGTACCACTCTGGTTAAATCCAGGAATGCTGGTATGGCGCTGACAAACCTAGAAACATAATCAAGGAGAATCAGGGATTCAAACCCATGATCATAACTTTGGGGCAGGCCTAAGGGACACAACTCTGTGAAGTAAATGGTAGTGCCATAGGCAACAGAGCCATCATGCCGAGTTTTGTGCGGTATACTTGCCACAATCGCAAATCATTCTCACATCTTTCCGGATTGGTCAATGTTTTAAGTGTTCCCTTAATTCTTCTGGCGGGCATAATATACTACTGAAAAGAAGTTAAGAACCACTCGATTCTTTTATATTACTATAGTTAATCTGTTATGGCCATGAACATATGAAAAATCGGGAGGTCCTTAACTTGGTTTATGTAGTTTTCATCACCATAATACACATAACATACCTCAATCAGCCTGCCATAAATCTGCTTGTTCTTTAGTAACTGCTTATGGCTTGTTGATTTTCATATGCAATATCACAAACAGGAATCATAATTTTTACATTAATTTCAAATACAAGCATTACAAAACAGAATTAATCAATTACTAGATTTTTGCCCAAATTTTCTTCAAAAGTCTTGTTTGTTTGTTTGTTGTGTAACGCCTCAGTAATATTCCAGCTATATGACGGCTATCTGGAAACATTTGAGTCTGGACCAGATGATCCGGTGATTGACATCATGAGCATCAGTCTATGCAATTGGGATACAATGACTTGTACGAACCAAGTCAGCGAGCATGACAACCCAAATTTGTTTGTCTTCTCTTCCTTCTTCAAAAGTAAAGTCGAGGCATATTTTGAAAACAGTTGTTGAACTAAATCTCATTCTTCTAGGACTAGCCATCTTGCTGTTTAGGTGAGTAATGAAAAATAATCACTCAAAATACAACTGACGAAAAGGTATTGATACCAAATAGGCAGGGAAGAAAATCTCTCCATCAATTTATCATGGACCATAATATTTGAAACGAGAAAAAGAAGATGGATTTTGAAACTTTCAAAATGCAAATTCACAATGATCATATAAGGTAATATTATATTAGTACAACAGTAACACATGAGTTTCTATGGAAATTAATACGTTTAGATCGAATCTGGTTTTCTACCATTACCCTAACTAGAGTGCTTAACGGGCGAGTTCACTTGAAAAATACATCAGAACAATGCAGATACCTACGAACAGCAGTCATGATTGATGTTTGCAAGCTTAGTATTGGGTACCGTGGAAATCACCATCAAATATCCAGTGTATTATCTCCATGCTATCATTATAAATACCCTAAACCCATTCGGCACCCAAGTTTGTTTCAGAAGTGACCATACCTCCGAGTATGGATCAAAATGAAGTGATGGATGAAACAGGGCCTCATTCCACAATGCCATCTTAGCTCTAAGGCGATTGTAATTCCCCTACTTTAACATAGGCTTAAGACAGTCATAGGCTAAGATCGCTTTATGAAATAGGACTATGGGTATTTTCCCAAACTTATTATAATCTAGATCAATCTAATTAAAATCAGATTTTAGCTTTCGCTACCGCTAAACAAAGATCTGAGGACATCCCATTAGGGTTCATGTCAGAACGATCTTTGGCGAACTTTGACCGATCAATGAAATGACTGACAAGAAATCGACATTAACCAATCAGAAGGCAGCTTTCTCAAGCTTTATGACACTCGTTTCAAACTGGAGACTACGCTTCGAAACATATTTTGACATATTCTCGATTAATTTTTTTTTAAACTGATAAAAAGAACGTTCTGGAATGGCTTATAGATGGCCTATATTGTATGGATATATAATCTGTAACTGTCCTTCGGAATACCCTCTGTTAAATATTTTGAGGTTGCATGATTAGAAAACACATTCCGTGTGTCACTTTCTTGATCTGGTAAGCGACGCTCTGCTTGGTTGGATGAAAGGTCGTTCTGACGTGACTCCTAATGGGATGTCCTCAGATCTTTGTTTAGCGATAGGGAGAACTAAGATCTGATTTTAATGAGATTGAATCTAGATAATCACGGATGGTAGGAAACAAAATGTAGAGATAATTGTACCTCTGAACCTGTCCAAACCTTTGCAGGATATGTATTACATTTTATTATAAGGTCATGGAAATTTTTCAAAAATGATTCTCATCTCCAAGGTGTGAAATATATATTTTGATGGTGATCAGTATGTTTTTTCTGTCCTGTATACAATATCTACTTAAGCAACTATTTTTTCCCAAAATAGTAATCTGAATAATTTCATGCCAAATAAAAAATAGCTTAAGCTATAACAAGAGCTTCTTTTTATTGATATTTTATTTTTTTTATTTGTAAACCATATCAACAGATGGCCTTGGTACTGACTAGAGATGTCTTGATTGTAACAATAAAAATAGTAGATATCATTTTTTTGTAACAGATTTCAAGTTAATAAAGATTTGATAATAGAATAAGATTAATATTTGTGAAATATGAGTTGCTTTATTGATTTGAGAATATATTCCTAGGGTTATAGTAGTGACATTTTATTAAGTAATATGAGCACATCTTTTAGAAACCACCAACATAGAATTAGAATGTATCTATAATGTATCGCAAACTATATGTATCAATATTGGGTTTACCAGTTAAATAACTTGAAGTGTCATCTGTTAGTTTATTCTGAAAATCCTGTCGATAGTTTGTTATTTAGTTTTTCAAAGTATCTAAATCCAAAGAAGCAAAGTCTTTTTGAAACATTCGAAACATGTAGAATTTGAAAACTGCTGCATCATGAAATGTGTGCCCCACTGCTTCATCGTAACGCTGAAGAGAGAAAACAATATAGAGAAACATCTTTCAGCGGACTATATCATCAGTAGACAAATACAGGTGCAGAATATGTGCAGTTGATGAACTTAGAACATCACACAATGTATATACAAGTATTTATATGGGTCCTGTTCTCTATTATCTCAAACCTGGCCTATTCATCAGTTTACCATCAAACCCCTTCGTGTGATTAGTATACCAGTAGTGAGTGATGAGTTAAGCATCTCAATTACAACATGGCTTGGCAGCTTCATGTGAATGGACAGCCCAAAACGATGCACGTCGCACGCACTTACCACTTTGACGAGACCCATGGGTACGATGACCAAGGGTTGTAATCAGGACAAAGATGGAATTCAAATCATGCTCACTGGATCCTGACATGTCAAAGGGACATAACTCTAATGGGTAAGTTTATACTATAGGGTCATACATCATTAACAGTAAAACATGGTGGTGGGCACCATGAATGAGTTTGTCTGCCAATGCTGATAACTGAAGCTAGTCTTCTGTAACATGATCAATCATTTACTTTCGAAAGAATCCAGCCATACTGAGTTAAGAACACCAACATGGTGCTTTAGACATTGTACCACCAGAACGCTCCTTATTACATCATGAAGAGGGCTGATGTATCACAAGGTTGAATACATAAATTAATCAAATCTGTGCTGCTTGGAACACTTCGCAGCAACATGTCACACCATCTAAATGAGTGTTTGTATCAAACTGTCAAAATTGCTCCGAATTTCAAGGTCATTTTAAAAAACCGTGAAGTTTTGTCCTTTTACTCTAATTTCTTGTTTAACTCTTCAGTGAAAATAGATCTAAATGTACAACACAAACAGACATCGTTTTATACTTATATGTACCTTCAATGTTTGACCGACTGACCTATCCAGGCACCTGAGGTCAGTGCCACAGTAATGACATCCTTCACTCCAAACAGCTGCTGCTTTCCCACAGAATAACTTTCTTCCTGATGTCATGAACGAGAATATGGACGATTCAACCAGCTTCAATATAAATATCACTCTCTCACCGACAACTTCCAGAGGCACAAAAACACTATATACTCCCATGATATCAGAAACACTCTTTCAATTACATAATGATCTCCTACGTTTACAGTAAATCTTCAATCCAGCAACACACAAGGTCAAACATGTCAAACAAAAGACATCATCAATACTTCAGAGCTTTGTATACACTACGTTCATCCATCCCCCGTGACACATTCAGCCGCCTTGCGGTATAATGGTGATGTGTATAAATAAGTCAAACAAAGACGTGTCGTGTATCACTCATGGATGTCAAATGAGCCCTACTCTGTGCATGAATTCTGCATAAGTGAGTGAGTGAGTATGGTTTAACATCGCTTTTAGCAATATTCTAGCAATATAACGGCGGGGGACACCAGAAATGGGCTTCACACATTGTACCAATGTCGGGAATTGAACCCGGCTCTTTGGCATGACGAGAATACACTTTAACCACCAGGCTACCCGACCGCCCAAATTCTGTTAGAACAGTGGCATTGCCTGATAATAAAGAAATGTTGTGTAGATGTTGTATGAGAAAGGGTTAATGTAATTTAAGCAGTGGTCGGACCACTGTGATTTCCCATTCACTGGACCCAGACCACAGTTTGAAATATCAGTTCAAACATAGCGACTACACTGGAAAGCAGCCATTCACAGGTTACGGCAGAACATAGTGAATACAAACGCATGAAGTATTAAAGACGACATTTAGTCGGTAAAGAGGAAAAGCAGTCTTGTGCCATGTCCTCCCTGCTTGATCATGTAACTAGTGCCTCTTTCACATTTCATTTAGGCACCCAGCCTAATTGGTACAAGGGAAACCCCCTTTAAATCAAGCATTGTATACATACATTTTGGTATGACAGGCATTCATTGTCTCATGATGAGATGTCATAATGTTGCCAGTTCCTACTGTAACCATTGTTACATTTCAAGGATTCCAGTTGGACTATCAGTATATAATCACACTCCATATAGAACACCAATACTCTCTAAGACCCTTCTCTGTGTCCCTGTCTTTCAACCATAGTTATGTGTAATAGATGCATGGAGATATAACTACTAAAAACATTGCATTAGGACTGCTGATCTATGAGATACTCTGTTGCCCTTTCGATATCCCAGTTCCGTGTTGATAAAGCTCGCCTCGCTTCCTCCTGAAATAGGCAATGTTTGCATCAGGTTCATCATCACAAAGTACTTTTAAGTTTTGGGAGAAATAAGAAAAGAAATGAAATGTAGGGCGTGACGTGTTAAACGCCTCAGTCAGCAATATTCCATAACGGGATGAAGATATCACGCGCTAATAATCAAGAATGCGTCAGCATTCAATAAGCGAGGTCACATATTGTAACTATAAGCATTAGAGTTATTTAGATCCCAATTCTCGTCAGCTCTTCCTACAAAACAATTTGGGATGCATTCTTCTCCGAATCCCCATGGAGAAGAGCTTTGTCTGATATTAACATCATAAATTTATTTTAATACCAATAATTAAAAAGTACTTACCTCTACAAATCCCATGTTGACAATCTCAATAACCTTTTTTTCTAATTCTTCTTCTTTCTTTGGTCCTGCAAACGTAAACACACACTTACTACAGAATACCCAACATCAGATACCAGGAGGTAAACAATCTCACGTATTTAGAGGTGAGGTGGCATGAGGTGAAATGGGGATTAACGACATGTTCAAGATTATTTCACTTATACTGAGATGTGCAGGCACTTGTGTATGGATGCTTGTACTGGTCTTGTTTTATAGTAGGGCTGGGATAAGTCCAAATTTAGTACCCGGGTACCCGACCCCCTATTACCTGACCCTACCCGGGTATCCTTTGTCGGTCTCAAGTGGGGTAGAAAATGTTCAATTGGGAATTGTTTTACTGATGCCCTGGCAAAAAGTACTTGGATCATGTGGATAGGGTACTGATGCCCTGGCAAAAAGTACTTGGATCATGTGGATAGGGTACTGATGCCCTGGCAAGAAGTACTTGGATCATGTGGATAGGGTACTGATGCCCTGGCAAGAAGTACTTGGATCATGTGGATAGGGTACTGATGCCCTGGCAAGAAGTACTTGGATCATGTGGATAGGGTACTGATGCCCTGGCAAGAAGTACTTGGATCATGTGGATAGGGTACTGATGCCCTGGCAAGAAGTACTTGGATCATGTGGATAGGGTACTGATGCCCTGGCAAGAAGTACTTGGATCATGTGGATAGGGTACTGATGCCCTGGCAAGAAGTACTTGGATCATGTGGATAGGGTACGAAACGATCTGATTGTGCATACACCGAAGTTGACTGAAGCTTTGTCTTTACTCAAACATATAAAGGAATGTGCGTCTAGTCAGAAAGAAATGCGAACATTAGCAACTTGCACTAGAGTAATCATAAATTTTTATTGTCATTGTAATTGAACAATATATCACATGACTAACCGCAGGTAGTCCTGTGGGTACCCGGGTCCTACTCAGGAGCCACCCGACCCGAGTACCCAAGTTACCCGTCCCTATTTTATAGTACTAGCCCACTGAGATACCATGCCACAGTTAAACATGAATACCCAACTCAGACACTTCATACTGACTCTGAGTCAACCAGTTCTTGTTTTATCCACTTAATGCATGTTAATGCCAAACATCAGGCAAGGTGACAACAGGTATCATCTCTTGACATATTTTGGTGTGACATGGCCAGTGATTTAACCATCATGCTTCTGCTCTCCAGACAGACACTCTGTCCTATGCATCACTGCTGGGTTCCCCATTTCAGAACATCAAACTTGTCTCAAAAAGCATGCATTGCACCATCTTGAAACTTACTAAAGGCTGCGACATGTGTCATGTAACTGCTTCTAGACTAATCAAAATACTGGTACGGAAAATCATATCACTTTTTTAACACCACAAGGGGCTGAAAGGGGGATAACTCCAAATGGTATGTTCTTATTTTGTCACTATGGGGCGTTAAGTTCTGCTTAGTGCACTATATTGTCCATTATGGTATGATAAAACAGTGATAGTAATTGGCACCAGAAATTCAAACCAATAACCCTTGCCAAAATGCCTAAAAGTTCAGTTACCATAATGACTAGTGTATATTTGCCATATGTAAGGGTTTTGCTATGTTATCATTCATTGTAAGGACTAGAAGGCTTAAAATGTCAGATTCTATTGCTGAATAATGTATTGACCAAACATGCTGAAAGTGTACTGCACCTCCGGCATACACTGATGTCCAGTGCCTTGCTGTCCTGGCAAATATCTCCGGCACTTCCTTGTATTGCTGGGCTACGACTGCATCTTGAGGATCATCTGGCTCCGCAGCTGCCAGCAGCGCTTGCAACGACAACAACACCGTCCGTAACGTCATGGCAGCAGCCCTGACAATACACAACAGTCAGGTGTAGGTTCTTTCATATATGGCACGATCTATCAGTCTATTTTAATTCTTCTGAAACATGATTCAAAATATTTTTAGTATTTCAGTACAGTCATCATGTTCAGTGAAGCTAACTGCATGGTTCATACAAATCTCAACATGTTTTCAAGGCTACAAAATATCTTTTCAAGGACATTTCAACTTTACACACACTTATAGTTATACAGTCAAGTCTCGTTAATCCGACACTCGTTAATCCGACACTCGGCTTTATCCGACACAAATGATGGGAACCGATTGATTCAGTGCTATTTAGTCCCGTTAATCCGACATTCTCGCACTCCGACTCCGACACACCTAATTTGCAACGAATTGCCGAAATCACTCATTAATCAGTCTCGTTAATCCGACACAGTGATCAGCGTACTCCGTGGTCATCTGACCGCGAGTACACAACCCCGTGTTTTGACACGCACTGACAGACTATTTTAAGTAGATGAAGCAAGTTGTTAAGACAGTAGCACTTGCATTTACACGGGGAAACGTGGGTCGTTGATCATGTGATAAATTCAGTGAGTAATGTCTCTATTGTTATGTATAAATGGGAAAATTATTATTATTTTTATTATCATAGTCATTAATTATAAATTAAGGAATGAATAAACAACATAACAATATTAATATTTCGTTTTTAATGATTTTATTACAAGGTACACACGGTTATTATCTATCGTGAAGATGTCCGATTTTCGATCACAAATCACTTAATTTCGTTAATCCGACATACTCGTTAATCCGACACAATCATGTGCAACCAACGATGTCGGATTAACGAGACTTGACTGTACTTAGGGGGCCACCCATGGCTAAATTCAGCCTTGCCTTTGGCATACTTTTCATGACAACCAGTGTTCCAGCTACTGCAAACAATCAAGGGACTGATACGAGCAACAATCCACACTGTTGACGTTCATTGACACCATCAACTAAGTCAGTGAGTCTGACCACCAGATCCATTTAGTGGCCTCAAACAACCAGCATAGGTTGCTGGGGATCAATTCTAACCCAGAATCCATATCAACCAAATTAATGAGGTGAGTGAAAGTTGTTTCACCGAGCACATTTCTCTGAAATACAAGATGATATCAATATTCTAAACATAAATGCGGAAAATCTGCATGTATCTTAATTGCGGTTATAGTAATACATGACCTGAAAGGCTTTCAAACTTACCACTGATCTTTTAAGATATCCAAGCATATTGCACCTGTGACTGAGCTGATGTTTGGATGCCATATTTTGGTGACGAACTTCACCTGTAAGTGTAAAGAAATCTCATCGATTATCCAGCGCATCCAGTTTGTAAATATTGTACTGGGTCGGGCTGGAAATCATCCTTGATACAGTAAATCTGGAAAGTGTTGTGTGTTGACCTTATTGCTAGTTTGATTTATATGGCGACGTGCATGCATGTGCGTGTATGTATATGTGTGTGTGTTGCTGCTTGTACTAGTCCGGACTGATGCTGATTTATAGTGCTAGCCAACTGAGATACCATGCCGCAGTTTAACTTGAATACCCCATGCAGAAACAGTATATTGAATCCGAGTTGACCAGTCCTTGTTTTAGCCCCGAGTGAGTGCGTGAGTGAGTGAGTGGGCCTGACAGACTTTAAAACATAATCAGGACAATCTGGGCCTCGAACCCACGATAATAGGGATCTGGCGTGCCAAAGGGTGTGACGCTGCACAGGGAATTGCAGTGCCTTAGACAACTGGACTACCAGTTTCCCCTCACAAACACATGAGCAGCATGACCAATATGACGACACATCTCCGTTGTCACCACACCAACATCGACCTTAGCAGTGAACCTTTATAGTTGATAACCTGTGTATTGTTCTCCTGGCATCTAGAGATTTTTATCATTTCGTAGCCTTACTGTTGCAAACAAACTTCATATCCTACCAGGGACGGTGGGGGTAGCCTAGTGGTTAAAGCATTCGCTTGTCATACCAAAGACCTGGGTTCGATTACCCACATGGGTACAATGTGTGAAGTCCATTTCTGGTGTCCCCCGCCGTGATATTGATATTTGATTGAGTGTGGTTTTATGCTGCTTTCATCAAAATTCCAGCAATATCATGGCGGGGGACACCAGAAATGGACTTCACACATTGTACCCATGTGGGGAATCAAACTCGGGCCTCAGCATGACCAGCAAACGCTTTAACCATCAGCAGCGTTAGAAATTGGCACTCGTCCTGTAGGCCTTGCCAAACTACCCAATAGTTAAGGTATCATAAGGACTAGTAGAAATTTGCCATGTTCAGGGTTTTTGCTATATGTTACCATTATAAGGACTAGTGGACTGAAACTGTTAGTTTCTAACGCTGATCAGGCTACCCCACCACTCCCAAATGGCTTTAAGGTTTAGACTTGGCAAGAAAAAAATGGTACTTGAAAGCTATGTTCACTTTTGCTCCTACATTATTTAACAATGCCAAAGATGGAGTCTTATTTGTCCAAAATGCTGAGACTACCTTGTTACATTATCAGTGAAGAGATGGGGTTATTAAATTTGTTGCTCTGGTATTTGAATTTGGGGACCCACAAAGTCATTAACATCTAACATTGGGCCCATGATAATGAGAGCTTGGCTATCATGCTTAATTTCTAACCCTGATACATTTCCAGCTTAGCTTACGAGAAAATAAACACTGTAACCTTAATCTCTGTATGTAAAAGAATGCCTTGGAGAGCAGGAAATACAATTCAAATGGTAAATTACCATGTATAGTGATGTTTTATATCAAATTTCATATTCTTATTGACCAAGTTTGTAATACCTGTTCATTCACATGAATTCACTGAAGGGATACCGTACGTTTTGTTGAAAGCGCATAACACTCGATAAATCTTTTTTTACATTATGAATCACAAACAACTACTATTCTAATCTTTTCGTAAACTCTGAAACGTGCAGCGTAGATCGTGTCAGGTAGGCAGCGCATGTATACTGTTTTGTGGTTCATCTACCCCCTACGACTCCACCTCGGTTAAACCGCTGATCGTCTATAACACTCATCAATTATTTGGAACCCAAAATAGCGTTGCAGCAAGGGATCACTGTATACGAAAAAGTAACCAAGTACCAACCTTGGGAGGATTAAAGGGATAGGTTTCTGGTACTTTGATATCCAGTTTGAATGTGCCTCCTTCATAGGGTGTGTCAGGAGGCCCCGCTATCTCGCCTCTCAGGTCATTGTACTGGTCATCAACAAGTTCCACCTTGATGTCACACTTCGCGATCTGAAGAAAAACAAAGGTCGCAGCATGTTGATCAGAGTGAACAACCAAAACAAACAAATATGTGGTGTTCCATCAAGTGTTGCTTCTTAGGGTAAGCGGAATGAGTGGTAAGTATGGTTTTACGTAGCTTTTAGCAATATTCCTGCAATATCACTGCTGGGGAAACCAGAAATGGACTTCACAAATTGTTACCATGTTGGGCATCAAGCCTGGGTCTTCGGCGTGACAAGCCAATGATTTCACCACATCTACTGCCCCTAGGTAAGGGGAGGGGGTTGCAAGGAGCCGTCGTCATGGTCATACATCGAACATTTCAGTATGACATATGAACATGATCAACAGAAACATACCACTATATGTTGATACATTAACAGGGTTTTACACAACACAGAAATGTGCATCCAGTAGGCACAAATGTATAGAACTGATGAGATGCACAATCATATTTATTGTACAAAATTCTTGACAAGAAATGTAAAGATCCTGTAATTAAAGTAATTATCAAATCTTACAGCACAGTACACTACATTATTTCATAACTTTACAGGACCCTTGTAAGGACCTTTAACATGTTTACAGACCCTTGACATTAGTAATTGGGGGTACTCTGGACCATTAGTTTCGTAGGTCAAGGTAAAACCCTGCATTATTGTACTACAGCTAATCATCCCAGTGAGACTTACACACTTCCTTCATCTAGATAAGCAAGCACCATTGATTGTTAATAATGTTTGATTTATATCTTCACCATGTTCACAAAGACTCTCTTTTACAATCAGTTTTGAATATGGTACCTTTTAAGACGTTCTTATTATGTTTGCTATGACACTGGTAAGCAAGGAGGCGGTATTCTGACACTACCTAAGGGCTAGTACAGCAGAAGAATTTCAAATATGATTGGAAATGTTCCTAAATGTCATCACTATTCAAGCTAGTAGACTGCCTTGGTTATTTTTTATACCTGAACCTGACACAGGCTTTCTTTTACAGCACAACCCCAGGTCTCCCAGCCTGGATATTGGGAAATGTCATTCTGAACAGATAGAACACTCTCACGTGTTCTAATTTCAACTGGTGTTTTGTCTGGTACAGTTTAACTTGTGGATTAGTCTAATGTTATGACAGCTTAAAAAGCAAAAATAGCATTGTGGGCAGTCAGTTTCAGTAAGTGTTACTTGAAAACTGTGTAGGCACCAGGCTTTTAGGGTTAATTTCTGGAACAATAACTGGTGGTCATCCAGTAGTCCCAATTTCTTTTTCCAAATATGGTATTGACATGAATTGAGTGAGTAAAAATATAAAGTCACATCGGCAGTATTTCAGCCATATCGGGACCATAATGACACAGAAGAATGTCCTAACAAAAGTACTAATGCCACTTGTGTCCCAAAATTACCGACGCACTCACCGTTCACAGTTCTATCTTATGCACTATCATTAAATAGTAGTTGCTGGACGATACACAGATGCATCGGTGGATCATGATTTTTCACTTCTCGATACAAGTCTTTATCACAGTCACACACTAAGTAAAGAATATTGATTCTTATTTCAAATGTTTGCTTTAATAACTGTTACACCAAACACATATTTGAAGTGAAAAATTAAATACTTTTTCATACATTGCACCATACTTGACACTACCAATCATAAATAGTCAGCGTGCCAGGTATTTGGCAATCCTGTTGATGAAAAAGATGGTTTACAAGTATCGTGAAACGTATTGGATCACACAGTTGGTGTACTGACCCAGCCCTATCAAATAGATTTGAAGTTTGCATGTTGTATTGCTCCTAATTGTCCACTACATTTACAAGCCTTAAAGAACACAGACTATACCTTCCTAGTCATGACAAGTTATTTTATTTTCATGTTTAACGACCTGGTGTATGTGATGGAAACTGTAAACATGATACTGTTACATTAGATACCATGGGTGAAATTCTACTTGTCTGCCACTTATTTCAGGCTACAATATAAAAAATCATATGTTCATATTAATCCCTGTGCAAAGCCATACATGAACTAACTAACCTGGAAGGTTTTGTGTTTAATGCCAAAACTGTAACATACCCATAATTGTTAGAAGTTGACTTTGGGAGTAATTGACATATTGTTTTATGTAAACAGAATAGTGACGCACGGCCATACACTCAATAAATAACCCAAGCACGGAAATGGATGTTCCGGACCCCAAGTATTGTATAGAGGGGCCATATATGAAGGTGAACTATTATTGAACAGGTCAAAAAAGGTTGTCCTGTAACAAGTGTAAAGTGAAAAACAGAACAGCAGAGCTAATACTGAGACACTGCTGCACTAGGTAAAGTGCATTTTGGCCTTTGATACTTTTCACTCAGTGAGTAAATCACTGTATAACACGTATGCAGAATAAACTTGATATAGGTTATTGTTACACAAGTGGTGTGACAAAATCTGCTCCTTGCAATCCATCATGTTTATTATTTCATCTGTAGGCGGAAGCTCCTAACTTTTCCGCACGGAGCTTGGCACATGCTAACAGAGAAGGGAAACAGAACATTTGTTGAAGTCAGCACAATTCTGTACGAGGAAGATCATACAATAAGTAGCATATCTAAAGCTTCCAGAAGATGTGATTTTACGTTCGCCAACTCATGACGAGCTTTCATTTGATTTTCAGTCATTAAATATACATAAAAAATACATACCTCATCACTTTTGATAACTTCTTTGAATTCCCTCTTTATTCTGTTAATGGCGATCGGGATGGTAGCCATTATAAAAAGGGACAATAGTTTTTGTTTGGCTTGTTTCTGAAGACAACACTGTATTCCAACTCTAAATGTAACTTCCGGTTAACCCCGAACATGCGCATACCATTTCTACCAAAAACCTATGTCGTTAATTTTTCAAAGATAGATTATGGTTTCTGGATCATTCGGGATAAAATGCAACGGCACATTGTTTTGTGTTTTCTGTATTTTCTTAGGCACCCGAGAGCTGAAATGAGAATTTAGTTCCCTGACAAATCTGAAGATGTTATGTTACAAAAGACAAACCATAGCATATCTGAAATGTGAATCTGGTAAGGTTCACCAACCTTCGCGGGTTCACATTTGATATCTGTCATTTACTTACGTCACCAAAAGCCAATCAATACTATTATGTCATTTTATTAGATGGCCAGTGTTAAAAAAACACACAAAGAAATAAGAGAAACAGAGACATGAAAATGGGAGATTTTACAACCAGAGGCACAAATCAGGTTGAACAAGTGTCAATTTCTAAAACCCTTTCATTAAGTTTTCTGCTTAGGGAATTGATAGAGTGAGGTGTTATATTGTTGTAAAAAACACAATGGGCACAACTAACTTTGTACATGTATTTTTGTTGATTAGTGATAAATAAACATTCAGGCGTGTTGTTTATATTGTCATTACTATCACATGATGATACTGCTACTACTACTACTACTAATAATAATAATATTCCCATGAGAATGCGTGTATGGCAGCAAAAACACATAGAAACATATTCATTTTCTTGAACATGAGGGTCTCTAAAGACTAGTCTACCTGAATTATTAAATTTACATTTTGAAAGCAAAACCTTAGCAAACATTCGGAAAAAGACTTTGTTTGTTTGTTGCTTAGCGCCGCACTCAGCAATATATTCCAGCTATATGCAGCGGTCAGTAAATGCTCTAGTCTGGACCAGACAATCCAGGGATTGACATAATGAGCATCGATCCACTTAGATTGTAACTGGTCCATTCTTCTTTACATTAATGAAAATACTTGCATATATGTTCATTTGAAAATGTTATTATACCTGTTTATATATGCATAGTGTTAACAGTAGTGTCTTGTTTACATTGATATTATTACTTAATAATTGTAAAAACAATGTTTTTTGCAGCAGTGACAAGTGACGGTAGTGTCTATATAGCTGTCACTCATTTTTCACTGGTCACAATATCTGTCATTACCATCACATGTATTTAGGCCTATTGTGACACGTGACGGTAATGACATTAGTCCTTCTCATTTATTTTTTATAATTCATTTGATATTCAAAATGGTTTACTATAATGTATTTGGTAAGACATGGATTTAGTGTCATATACTAACCTCAAACATCACATCGCAGCCATGCTGCTCTGGTCCAACATGCAACTTTCTGATGAGAGTGATCTCCCTTGGAGCAAGTACTTGACATGATATTATAGTAGTACTGTGACGGTTATGAAAAAACATCCTGGGACATACATATTTCCTTTTAAAAAATGTAACTTTACCGATATTTTAGTTTTTCAGTCAAATATTTCATGAATGTTTATTTCGTGTTTGCGTATAAGCTAATAATCTAGACCTTTTAAGGATTATATTGCAAACTACAATGGGACAAACAAATGTCATCAATTACGTGTGGGACATGGGAGAATTGACAACATACACACATTAATAAATCACTATCTTTCTAAATATTAACATTTTTCATGAACTGAAATATTATGTTAATGAATTAAATTACCCTAAACTGATTTATCTAACTTGGATGTTATATTTTAAATAATGTTTCATTTTAATATAAAATCTATGTTCCGGACACCTGTTGTGCCCCCAGTTATAAAATCACCCGGATATGAATCGATTCCATTTAAGTGCCTTAAAATACGAAATTGCAATGGTTTCAATATAAAATTCTCCCTCATATATGTTACCAACACATACGTTGCTAAATAAAATGGGATACGTAGACAACAGTATATGGCTACTGTAATAACGAAATTGAAACTGTTCAACATTTTTCTGGTATTGTAACAATGTCAGCTCCCTCTGCACGCAGTTTGACAATTGGTTAAAAAATAAAGACACAAGCTACAGTTTAACTAGATACAAAGGGTGTACTCAAAGGAGACAAAATACCAAATTCAGAACCGGTTGATCTGTTAATACATATGTGCAAAAGTGTAATATTCAAACACAAAACATTCAGAAAAACACTTGAATTCGATAACACACAGAAGTAGCTCACAAATACTACCTTATGTCCAAGCACACAGCAAATGTCTCTGGGTAAAACAGTCACTTCACCAATTACGTGTTAGTCAAATTGTCATCACCCTTTTATAAAGCAATGTACTGTACAAACTGTGTAAATAACAAAACAGAAAAATGATCTTCGCGCATTACTTCAAATTCGCCTAGAATTACAGAACATTTTCTATTTTTGAATTGCAGTGCATTATTAGTAATCGTACCTTTTTTAAAAGATGTACGACATTGATTCCTTATCGAGACCTCATGATACCAGTATGTGGTTGTTGATTTTTGGCTTTATTTTTTGTGTTGCCTGGAAGGATTTTCACATTCAGCGATTCAAACTGTACAACGCCCATCCAAGCATTGTTTACTTCAGTATATTTCAAAGAAATTAACTTGTCAGATTTAAAGACAACCAAATTACCGAAAGTTTAATTAGTTTAGTGTCGAATTTGACACCAAAAATATTTGGTTTGAGTGAGTTGGGTTAAACGCCGCTTCGAACAGTATTCTGGTGCTGACAAACGGACGAAACATGTTCATGTGAATCTGTCATGAGAGCCCAGAATCTGTCATCTTAAGTATTTGGTATATGAGAATCTGGCGATATAAGCGTTCTGGGAAAACTGTAAAGCGAAGGACAGCCCAGACATTTAATACCTGTGACAATTTGTTCTGTCAACTTGGTCACCTGTCTTGTATAATGAGTGACCATTTTAAACAATGATGAATGAATACTCATAATTCACTGTTTACATGTACACATAACTAGAATAATGCACGCTACAGAACTACAGTAAACTACGGTTAAAGCGCACCCAAAGGGACGGACAATGTTAGTTCGTTATAACCGTAGATCGTTATAAGCATATATACAGCAAATGACCTGGACCAAAAAATAAATTCCTTATATCCGTCAGTTCGTTTTAAGCGTGTTCGTTATAACCGTAGTTTACTGTACATGCAAGCTTCAAGCAACACGAGGTCGGGATATCTGACTGAGACAGTAACATATGGTTAAAGAAATCAATCGAGTGCTAAAACAATAAGATATGGCTCAGTTTGACCCACTAGACATGTGAAATTCTAAACTTACGGAGAACTGTTATTATGGTAAGACATTTATCAGACATGTTCAAGTGGTTGACAACACGCTTTTCTCACTTACAGTTTTAAATTATTTCATTCTGACATCTTAAAGTAAGTAAGTATAAATTAAAATGGCTAAATAAGCGAAAAAGTCTTCAAGATACAAAAAGTAGCTTTTGGCCGGTCCGTGACCAAAGAGGATTTTATACCCCATATGTGTGTATATGTCTTTATTTACATCTCCTAGGAAAATCAGCTTGGTTCAAAGACATGCTCATGTTCAATAATAAAAAAAGCAGGTTCCCAAAACCTCTATAATCAGCCTTTTTGAGATATTGCTTAGTGTAAACATTTAGTGTGCACAAAGTATAGTTATTCATATAACATATCTGACTTACATAACAATTTTTAAAGTTTTTGCTAATTTCTTTAAGAATACAGATCCTGTTGGACCAAAAGGGCCTTATCACACCTTGTCTTATGTTCATTTTATTCGTAGTTCTTTACTAGCGGAACTTATCCTCCATTTTGTTTGTTTGTTTGTTTTTGAGTGAGTGAGCCAGCCAGCGTGCGACCGACTGACGTCAATATTTCAGCCACACAGCGACAAAAACAAATTATACATTCACAGTGAAATATCCAGAAACATATCCCACATATAGGAATATGTACATGTCAAACAATTTAGACAAATAACTATAATAATAAGTAAAAAAGCGCTTTTCCAAAACTCGGTCTTTCCTAAACGAGTTGGTAGTCTAGTGGTTAAAATACTCCCTCGTGACGCGGAAGACCCGGGTTCTATTATAATATGTGAAACCCTATTTTGGTGTCCATCGTCGGGATATTTCCCTGATCGCATATCAAGGCAAAGGTAATTGTGATCATATGCATTTATTGATTACATTTTACTTGAGTAAATTTTTCACAGCGGCTTTATATATAACTCAGTTGCATGTGATCAGCTGAATAATTTGGTATCTCTGCGTATACATTTAAACACACAAGTACAGTACAGTGAACATGGTTTCGCGACGCTTTCCAACAATATCACGTAGGGGTACATTAAACACAGGAGATCAACGGAGTGCGCGAAATTAAAAGAGGAAATACGGTATGTACCCGGAAACACCAAACCCTGTGGTGGTCTTAATCTTAAATGTTAAAGATATATAATTTGCAGTAAGATATTTGAACAGATCTCAGTGTTTTGAAAAATATGTTAGTTTTATTGTGAAATAAAAACATAATAACATGTATTTATTACCCATATGGGCTCAAATATGCAGTGTAATAACTTTTTGACAGTGTGCAATTAGTGATTCTCGAAGCTGATTGGTCAGTGGAACAAAGATCAATTTTCATTGGACAACGGAACTATTTTTTTCTCATCCCATTCGTTCAGAAATCCACGCCTTTCCCTTCAGATGTTTTACGTGCTACAATCTCACTGATTCGAGATTTTTAAGACAAGACACATAGTTTCATATTAACAACATGATTTCACATTATAATTTTTTTCATTTATTTCACATGATTTTCATTTTACAGTAAAAACCAAAACAACGTCCCCGTTTGTAAACAAATATGGCTGGCCATTTGAGACCTGTCAAAGTAAATGACCTCGTTAAAGCGGACGGAGATCTGACTGACATGAAAAGTTATTCGTATACTTCAACCTCTGAACACATTTAATGTCTTTGTTGTCAAAACTACATATGGCCGGATTGAAGTTCCAAGATTCAGATTGTGATGTTGCCAGAAACTGTTTCTAGGGCGCCAAGATCATCACCACCAAGTCCTGGTTTGCGTCTGTGTAGAGGGCTTGCTGTTTGATGAATTTTTCGACCACCCGAATCCAAAAACCGGACTTTGTATGGACAGGTTTGCCTTTGTGAACGATGATGACATCGATAACTGCCAATGAAAATGAAAACACAATGAAAAAGACTAAACTTGACAAGTTGACATGAACTTAGTTCACAAATGTAAGATAAGGAAAACACGAAAAATATGACTACTCACACTTTCAACGATGGCATGAGAATAAAAACAAATTCATTTTGCATCAATATTTAGACTTTCCGACAGACATCATAAAGATACACTATTTCGTACAATTTTGTAACGTTGTGTGAAGAAATAAGAACGTGACACTTTTTTATACAATAACTACGTTTTTCGTAACCGCGACGTCTGCAAAGTACGGCGCTGAGCGGTATGCAGGCTGACTGGCGTCCGGGGACCATATGACTATGAGGGTTAATGACACAGGAAAGGTGCAACTAAACATTATTATTTGCAAATTTATCATTTCGGCATGCACATCAGACAGTTCAGAATTCGAACTGCCTACTTTGAAGAAGATCAAGGGTAGCATAGAGTGTTACCTTAGCTACATAATTACCAGCATCTGATGGCGAAATCGATGCACTTTGCTGAACTCGGAGAGGTTTTGAAATGAAAACAATTAAAATACAAGGAAAAGAAAACTTACCCCAGCGAGCTGATCCTGTGTCCGATATTGAACTAAATGAACTCCGTGAATGCGGACAGCTTAGCACCAAGTCTCAAGATACCGTGTTTTTCTATCAACAGGTAGGCCTATTCGACCATTATGAATCACATCAAAATATCAACAAACTCCCGTCATCTGACTGTTTCCACTCCGCGTTTGACAAATCTTCCTGAAATCCCACATGCACATGTTTCCCATCAGTGACACTTGTCTCAAATCACACACAATGTTAATTAAACTTGTTGTCCGGATTAAACTGTAACGCTGTTTCTGTTGTCATTCCTGGTTTCGGCTGTCTCATATCTGGGTCAAGTCGGGTCATTCATTCCGACACTGTGACAGCAATCGTACTTTTCAAAAGTTTACCTTCTTTTCGTAACTTTTCTCTAACAAGCAAGACTTCTGTACATTCCGTTTATGTTGTTGTTATAGGTTTTGGCATTTTTGTCAAATGACACATAAAAAAATTGACAGGTTTTCCGTGTTTCCTCTTCTCAATGTGAAATGCATGTAGCCTATCTGCCGATGCACGACGGGGCTCTCTGTCAGTGACGAGATCTTGTCAAAACAAGCTTTGATTAAAAAACCTGATGAACCTTTTTTGAAACCTGTCTTCTTTATCAATGCTAGATAGTGTACGCTGTGTAAATCGGACAGAAATATAACTGCAATAATGTGATCTTTACAATTTTTTAACAGAACTATATTTTTCACGCGTAACAACACGTTAATTGTACAAAACAGCTGATTCTTATTCGGCGACAGTTGATTGTTTTTTTCTTGAAACACGTCTTTAATATGAATATGGGTAATAAATAGAATAACCCACTCGGTACGAGTGATAACGGAAAATATGTCACGAGTGAAATTAATGTTTTAAGTTCCGAGCTTTAGTTATTCTATAAAATAATATGTGTGTGTGTTGCAACTGAGTGTATTAATGATATATCTGTGTAAAGCGAAGCCATTTAGAATCCGTTTCCATATCCAAACTGCATTCCAACTTTTCAGCTGAAACTTCGTCTACCGTTCGCGCCGCGAACCTTAATGCAACATATACGGCCGCAATCTTCGGGTCCGCTGAAGGATATTGGAAGGATGCCAAATATCAAGGTGTTTAGCGGTACCTCACATCCCGATTTGGCTCAGAAAATATGTGACAGACTTGGTATTGAGCGTGGCAAGGTCGTCACCAAGAAATTCAGCAATGGAGAGTGTTGGTAAGCACATGGTGTGGGGCATTGTTTGGCCTAGGCCTAGACTAAGTCTTGTCACATGTGTTTTCAGTGCATAATCACCGAAATCACAAGTGACGAGTTTCGTCAAGTCAATAACCTTTCTGTTTTCAGTATGAGGTTTACTATGACACAACATTAGTTTAAAATCAATTACTCAGTTTTATAATATATGGAACAAATCATTGGTCAGTTCGATTAGTGGCGATATAGAAAACGTCACTTCATCACTTGGGGCCCATTTAGGGTTTAGTAGTTTGGTAAGATTGCGTTCTCCTTCACGCAGTGGGGCTTGTAATGTAATAATAATATTACTGTTACATCTTGAAAATAATCAAATAAATCTGTATCCAGAAGTTGAACGTATCTTCACCATGTTCTCAGAAATTCCTATGTCTTTTACATATCCTCAGTTGATTATGGGGAAGGAATATGTCAAATTGTCCAGCAGCGTTATTTAAGATATATGTTGAAATTTATATTCTGACCATGAAGTCATCAAACCATTAACAATGGAATAAGTAGGGGTGGGTTCATTACCTGGGTACCCCGACTCTTTTACCCAGGTAGTAGGTACCCCCACCTCTATTACCTGACATGACTTTGATACTTGTTACTTGACTAATTTGTTGAGTTATTCCCCTTATCAGCTGCTTATGCCGTGCTGCCCATGACCAACAATGGTTGGAAATGCAGTTGGAAAAAAGAAAAGTGAGGTTTGAAAGTATTTCAAACTCATAGGCCTAGCTGGAGACAAAGTACTTCTCCGTCTTTAACTTTTTAATTCATTTCATTACTTATATTTGAAGAGTGGAAAGTCCGGGGTTCAATTCCCGGCCACGTCATACCAAAAGACATTAAAAGATGGTACTTGTTGTTACCCTGTCAGGTACTCGGCATTAAGGGCTTTAAACAAGGACTGGTCGGCTCGGAGTCAGTATACTGTGTCTGAGTAGGGTATTCATGTTTAACTGCGGCAAGGTATCTCAGTGGGCTAGCACTATAAATCGGCATCAGTCCGGACTAGTACAAGCATCCACACACACACATGCCTGCACGTCGCTATATAAGTGCAATAATCTTGGACACGACGTCAAACCCCATTTCACTTCACTTATATTTGATGTTGTGTTCATATTAAGTACAACAACATTGTGTGTGAAGTGAGTAAAGTTATGAATGACTTCGCACATAATAACTGAATCGTATAAATATACTCTACCATTCCATCATGTAATTTGTACAGCATTTATCAGGGCTCTCCGAGAGGCCGCTGTTTGACTCTGCAGCAAATGTTGGTGAAAATGGAAATTTGCTATTGCACATACTTTAACTTTCAATGTTTTACCTATGAGAGAAAATCCCCCCTGGTATAAAACCAATGAGATTTTTTGCCGTGTGATGAGATTTAATCGCAAATTTTCAGACGTTTTGTCTTCCCACAGTGGAAACTGTATTTGATTTTCGGTATTTGTGACTCAAATTATGTTGCAATGAATGTTACTAGATTATACCGTATATTGCTGTGTATAAGGCGAGTTTTTCGTACCTAAAATGAGGGGGCTAAGAAGGGGGGTCGTCTTATACACGGAGTCGAAGATCTCACATTTTTTTTTTTTCATATATAAGGTTTGTGTGCGCACTTGTGATGTGTGCGAAATATGCATCAGTCGGAAAGCGCACGTTAAATCTCCAAAGTAACCAACTAACTAACTAACTTGTGATGTCCATGTGCAAAATACCCTACAGTCGGAAAGCGCACGTTAAAGCTTCTATATCAGTCAGACTTGTGATGTGTTTCATTCCCGGTCGCCTTATACACGGAGTATAGGATTTTGGGTTGATTTTTAAGGCGTGTACAGGGGGGTCGTCTTATACGTGGGGTCGCCTTATACACAGCGATATACGGTAGATACATCCTTCGATATTTTCGAACATTATCTATTGCACAGTGAATATTTACATATATTAGCATTAGTATCAACAAAAATATGCATTAGTAAAATTTATATTTCTGTTCATTGTCTACTTTAGGAGAAAATACATTAATATTTATGTATTTGCGAGAATAATTATAGATAGGCATGTTTACCACCATCACCTGTTCATTTCGTTGGCATGCGTGGGAGCATACAATTTATAGGTCTTCGACAATGTCTGTTAAGATAGAAATTTAATATATTTAAAGCGATGACATGAAACAGTTGTAAATGGTGTTACATTTTGTTGGCAAAAAATATATGTAATTAACATTCCAATGCGTTCATCAATGTCACTGTCTTGTAGTGTCTCCAGTGTGTACTGTATCAAAGACAGGGTGTCTGACTGTATCAAATGAAATGTTATCAATATGGACTCTTTTAATTATTTAATAGTGACAGTTCATTATACGTTGATTTTTTATTAGAAACAATTAAGTCATTTATTTTCTGCAGAAGGCGGCATGTTTAAGAGTAACCTGACGTTGAAAAGATTGTTGACATTCACAATGTTTATGAGTTACATTTGAATAATTAAGTCAGTTTTAATAAATATGGACAAATCTGGAAGCAAAAATATCGTAGCATATTCTAAAAAAACTCCATCTTGCTGTTTGGCCACTAGAAATAGTTCAAAATTTGTACGTATTTCATGCCTGTTGGCCATTCTGAAGAGGGTATTGTTAATGAAAACCAGTGCTGTCTTATCTAAAGTCTAGGCGAAGCTCATCTGAAATACGATCGTTTGTGATCTGAAATTTGTATATTCTTATGGAGAAAGAGTTGTATGTATATTCATTTAGGTTTGGTTTTGTCATTCAAAAATCAAAATTTGCTTGTGTTTTGAAACTTTACCCGTGATTTCTTTTTCTCTCTTGATTTCTGCACGGATGCACATACATGTACATCTTTGATTTCTGCTAGGATTTAAGTGACAAAAAAATACGGCTAATGACTTGTTGTAGATCACCGAATACAATTTGACAATCAGGAATACAAAAAATGTAGTGCAAAGCTCCACGCAGTGCTATAGGAATCATTAATGCACAGTAAGAGATGGCATGCAGTGTTACGAGTATGCAAATCGCTGTTTCGATTGACAACTTTCACGATTGAAGAAACTATCAAGTATTTCTCTAACACAGAATGCCCCTGATTTAAAAAAATCATAACTTTAAAAAAAAATCTACCTTTTGTAGAGAATGCTTTTCCCCAATTGCCTTCTACAGTCATTTCAAAAGTCAGAATTTATTATCGTGTTTATCCTGGTTCACCCTTAATAAAATTACGCTCCTGAACAAGAATAGGAAGAGTTAAGGACGAGTGACATTTCCTTGTAGACTACCACTTTTACCATAATGTAGATGGCCCCAGTAGATCATTTTTGCAGATGAGTAAATGCATTTCTAATCCTGTTGAGATAAGTCCCTGCATATTTCACACAGCTCATTGCTACAATCACAGAACATGTTCATTAATCTATAAGCTGAAGATGAAAATGAAATGATGAGAAGGGCACATGTTGAAAGTTTGTGAGAAAAATGGGTCATCATTAGTCAATACAGGTTTACAGCTTGACCATCTGACCTTTTGTATCGGTTAAACGTACAATGATAAGGCCACTTGCCATGCTCCTGGAACCCTGTTATTTAATGTTTGTGTACCCTACAGTCATGACCGGCCACACATGATGGAGCATGGTAAACACAGGGAGTAGTGAGTGAGATGACACTCACATAATGGTGTCCATGTTTGTCATGGTAAAATAATCCATTCTTTTCTCTCATTTTAAACTTTCAGTTTGACATTCATTTGGGGTTTATATGATGTATAAATGTTCATCCAGTGGGCACTAATGTTTAAATATCAACTGCATCAAGAAGAAATAAAAAATATGAAACATTCAGTGTGAACTTTATTAATTAATTCGTAGATTTATCTAATTTTGCTTAGAGCATGAAGAGGCCGATATCAGGCCCCAAGTCTGCAGCAAATGTCAGTTAATATTACCAAATTGGAATTAGTGTCCTAATTTATGTTATAAAACAATAACAATTGCAGTCTATACCAAACACTTTTGAGTGTACTATCCTGAACTTGGCTCTTAGCCTTATTTTCTGTACACTTAAGTGTTATGAGATTATGCTTTATTAGCTGATCTTACTTGACTGAACAAAATATTATTTGAGTCAGACTTTGGACGAGTGACTAAAGTTGCAGTCTGCTATTGTTATGGTTTCGCACAGGTGACTTCTATATCACTGACTGTATTGAGCAAAATAATGATTCCTTTCAAACTTCCCTGCCATGGGCACTTAGTTTGGAATCCTGCTTAAAACATTATCTGTTTTTAAAGAATCAGTTTCTGAATAAACACTTTGGTTTATCAGCATGCAGGTTTCGGAATTCCTTGTCTAAGAGTCTTGTAATTGTACCTCAAGCATAAGTTCCTAATGCCTGTATTGCAATCTTTGAAATAATATGAAGCAACTATTGTAATATTTTGACATGGGAAATGAGACCTGCGAACAAAGGTAATGCACAACATGAGCATGGTGAGTGACAATTAACCCTGGCGTGACAATTAACCCTGGCATGTAGAAATTGAAAAGGGTAATATTAATCTCAAAGGGAAAAGGTCACACCTTTTAACTTACACCCACATTGGGATTCCAGGTTATAATAGGTCTACAGCAACCGATGCTGGCCATAAGAGGTGACCAAATAGATCTGATGGGCTGGTTCATTGATTTGATTGATGTGTATCTTCGTACCCCAATCTCATTAAAATCAGATCTTAGTTCTCGCTACCGCTAAGCAAAGATCTGAGGACATCCCATTACAGGTCACGTCAGACCAACCTTGTGCAAACTTTGACTGACCAACGGAATGACCAATCAGAAGGCAGCTTTCTCGTGCTTTACGGCACTAATTTCAAATTGGCGACTACGCTTTGAAACATATTTTGACAAATTCTCAATTACAAATTTGAAACCTGAACAAAAGAACATTCTGGAATGGCGAATAGATGGTCAAGATTGTAGGGATTCAGTCGTTAAACCCGTAACTATTGTTCGGAATATCCTGTGTTAATGTTTTCGAGGTTGTATGATTAGAAATCACATTCCGACTGTCACTTTCATGATCTGGTAAGTGACGCTCTGATGGGTCGAATGATAGGTCGTTCTGACGTGACCCCTAATGGGATGTCTTCAGATCTTTGTTTAGCGGTAGCGGGAACTAAGGTCTGATTTTAATGAGATTGCTTCATGCCCTAACATTGTGAATCTTTGCTCACATTATCCTTTACTTCCCCGTGAAGATATGAGTTAGAATAGGTCTTCAGCAACCCATGCTTGCAGCAAGAGGTGACTAATAGGATTGGGTTGTCTGGCTCGCTTACTTGGTAGATGGATGTCAGTGTATCCCCATTGCGTGGATCGATTCTTATTATGTCAATCACTGGATTGTCTGGTCCTGATTTGTTTATTTACAGACCTCCGTCATATAGCTGGAATATTACTGAGTGCAGCATTAAACAACAAACAAGCAAACAAAACATTGTTTACTGGATTGTCTGGTCCAGACTTGATTATTTACAGGCAGCATCTTATAGCTGGAATATTTTTGAGTGCGCTGTTAAATACCAAACAAATCCTAACCTACAACTTCTCATGGGTCTAAAAATTAGCCTCAGCTATTGGTTCTATATGACAACTGGTAATTTTATGAAAGCTGTCAGTTGAAACTGTCATGTTATGATTCATCTATTTGTGTAATTTGTAATTCTCTGTTAACGGTAGTGATGTGACTGACAGATGTTGCAACATTGTTGAATGTTATTTTGTTTTAAACAGATCATCTCAAAAGTTAATTTCAAAAGCAATTAATGTTAGACTTAAATTGTTATTTGAATCAAGTGACCCCACTCAATATTCAACTTCTAACATTTTTGCTGTGACAAGGACGTCTTGACTTTACTGCTTAATTTCGAACACAGGTACTGGGTAGTTATTTAAATGAATTTTGGTCCTGCTGCAAGTTGATTCTTCTGTGCCTGTCCGCAGTGTTGAGATTGGGGAGTCCGTGCGTGGAGAAGATGTGTACATCATCCAGACCGGGTGCTCCGAGGTGAACGACATGTTGATGGAGCTGCTGATCATGATCAACGCCTGCAAGATCGCATCAGCGTGTCGGGTCACTGCTGTCATACCCTGCTTCCCGTATGCAAGACAGGATAAGAAAGACAAGGTAGAGTTAACTGTGTTTTAACTTCTCGACCCACGTGGCCCGACCATACAGAACGAGTCCTATTGTGGTTATCTGGCATTGAAGGGAATATCGTTACTGCTGGTGCAGATGGTATACAAGCACATTGCAATGATGGAACATTTTTAGATGTTTGGTACGTTTGATTACAGGTGCAGATGGCGAGTGCAAAACTTATTTCAGAAGTCCTCAGAATGTGTAGCTAGTTTTGCAAGACTGATTTGTTATAAGCTAAAGGCGTGGTGAACTGGTCCAAAATTCAAAGTACCATCATTAAATTTTCAGCTGTTCTCAGCACTCAGTTTTGTAGTCTAGGGTTAGTGGTCTATCATGATTCGGGACGGTCGGGTAGCCTAGTGTTTAAAGCATTCGCTCGTCACGCCGAAGACCCAGGTTCGATTCCCGATATGGGAACAATGTGTGAAGCCCACTTTTGGTGTCCCCCGCCGTGATATTGTTATTCTTATAGGAGCGGCGTAAAGCCATACTCACTATCATGAATTCCTTAAACAAGTCCTTAAAAAATCCAAATCATCAATGAAGGGTAAACATTTGCTACTCCTTAGTGGGGCCCATGAAGATCAAGGGTAGAATAGGTCTTGTGCAACCCATGTTTGCAGTAAAAGGCGACTATGCTTGTCGTAAGAGGCGACTAACAGGATCTGGTGGTCAGGCTCAATGACTTGGTTGATTGCTTGGATTGATGCTCATGATGTCAATCCTAGGATCGTCTGGTCAAGACTTGATTGTTTACAGACCGCTGTCATTATGTCTGGATTATTTCTGAGTGCGGCGTTCAACAACAAACCACAAAACTTGTAAAATAGTCCCAGCACTAAGATTGTTCTGTGCAGGTGATGCCTGGTCTGTGTTATAGGGGCAGTTCATCCCACATACCCTGACATGCTGTAAGTTTAATGAATATTATTCAAAGTAGACTTGAAGCGAACTCACTCACTCATTGATAGTCCAGGGATCTTCAGTACAGATTCAACCCCTTGAATAGGTCCTCAGCAACCTCTACTAGTCATAAGAGATGTGGTCGTTAACGGCATGGGTCATTGCGCACAAAATCAATCGCCAGATTTTAATGGCTGGAATATTGCAAGAAGCGGTGATTAAGCAAACAAAAAGAAACCTCATTCTTGTCATAAGGTGCTAGTGATGGGAATACATCTAGTGAAGTTTGGCTTGAATACTGAGTATGTGAAGGTAAATTGGTTGTCCTGTGTTCCAGAGTCGTGCTCCCATATCTGCCAAGCTTGTTGCCAACATGCTGTCCACGGCCGGCGCAGATCATATCATCACCATGGATCTTCACGCCTCACAGATTCAGGTCAGTGGGTTCGATAATGGAATTTATGATGTACATTAGACTTGTCTGATATATTTATGCTTATTAGAAATACAGTCACTGTGTTATTTGCTGTTGGTACACTGGTACAAGGCCTGGGCCCCCAGATATGTATTTTCGAGAGCCTGGAAGATTCACAAATATGCTCACTCAAAAGAAGTTCAAGTTTCAAATGACTATACTTAATCTGTCGTGGTTGGTGGGTATTGCAACACGCAGCCTTTCGATTGTTCTTCTTTATGAGTAGTATATATTTTGCTGTGCTAATTCCATTAGCATGCTCTCAGGGCATACAAATACTGCAGTCTGCAACTTTAGGTGCTGGTTTGAAGCCAATTTTTGCTATTGTTAATTTGTTACATGTGTAGTTACCTGTGGGGCTCAATTGGTGTTCCATTTTTTGCGGTATTTTAAGAGTTTGACCACATTCAAAGCTTGGTTGACACACGTCATTGTACCCCAATTGTGTGGATTGTGGTCAAGATGTCAATCACTGCATTATCTGGCCCAGACTCGATTATTTACAGCTGAAATATTCCTAAGTGCTGCAATTTACAACAAACTAAAGAAGAAACAAACAAATCTTTTTCTATTCTTGATTATGCTTTTAGTTGTAGACAATTTGTGAAGTATCACAATGTTATGTCTCCTATTTATTCTATGTTTCCTTTAATCTTGTGGCAGGGTTTCTTTGACATTCCTGTTGACAACCTCTATGCGGAGCCTGCCGTCCTGAAGTGGATTCGTGACAACATCACTGACTGGAGGAATTGTTGCATTGTCTCCCCTGATGCTGGCGGTGCCAAGAGGTTAGTTGGAATTGCAAAGCACACATTTAAATTACTTTAAAATATCACAATATTTAACAATAACACTGGTGAAAACTGGTGAGTGTCTGTGGAGATTCCGGATTTAAAAAGATCCCCAGCAACCTGCGCTGCTTGTTTGTGGCAATTTTGTTTATTTGGAGGTCAGTCTTGGTGACTTGGCTGATTACGTGTCACTGTACTGTGATGGCGCGGATTGTGTCTCATTATATAAGCTGAAGCATTGTCTGGTCCAGACTACATTATTTACAGGCCAACAAGTAAAAACGAAGTGGTGATGCCATCATTCCATTTTGAAAGCCCCAAGGAGATTAATGTTTTAATCTAATTCATTTAGAGTACAGTTTAATATAGAGCTCATGGCATGACAGATTAACTGTAATAACATGAAATAATCAGGTGGTCCTTAACTTGTTTTGAGTAGTATATATTGGCCAAGGTAAATCCCTGCAACAAACTAAGCTTCTTTTCAGTTTCCAGTGCTATGTTTCAGGGTGACGTCCATCGCTGACCGTCTAAACGTGGACTTCGCGTTGATCCACAAGGAGAGGAAGAAGGCCAATGAGGTGGCTTCAATGGTGCTGGTGGGAGATGTGAAGGACAGAATTGCCATCCTGGTGGATGATATGGCCGACACGTGTGGAACTGTATGCCATGCTGCTGAAAAGTGAGTATGTGTTTTGTGTGCGTGGGAGGACTGCATACTGGAGACTGAAGCCTGTTATGGGGATGACACATGCTGTCGTCCAGATAATTTTTCAACCATACGAGTACAGGGCTGGTCATTAAGAGAACTGACAAGCACTGAAGTACAGTACTGCTTGTTTGTAGACTTGAGGACAACTGGTATGATAAAATAGTAATATATGCATTGTAATTTAATGTATTCTTTACCTGTCCGGGGGCGGTCAGGTAGCCTAGTGTTTAAAGCGCTAGCTCCGAGGACCCGGGTTCGATTCCTGACATGGGTACAATGTGTAAAGCCCATTTCTGGTGTTCTCTGCCGTGATATTGCTGGAATATTGCTAAAAGCGGCGTAAAACTATACTCACTCATTCTACCTGTACTGACCACCATTACATTGGTTATCATGTTGTTTAAAATTCGTGTGACTATTTGATGACCGTCTCTAGATGAATTTATAGGCCTATTTGGATGGAAAATATTCCTCCTCACAAGTTGCATCATTTTAAGAAAACCATGTGTAGTTCTCTTTCAATTAGGATATTTTCAAGGTTATGACGTGCGGTGGGTAGCCTAGTGGTTAAGGCTCTTGCTCATCGCACTGAAGGGCCAGGGTTTGATTCCCCACATTGGTGCATTCTGTGAATCCCATTCAAATGGTGTAGTGTACTATATGTTTACATAATTACTTTAGAGCCTGGAATGAAGCAATGATCATGTAGACAGAGGTCATGCTTGATATGATTTGTTTGTTTGTTGTTAACGCCGCACTCAGCAATATTCCAGCTATATGACGGCTTTCTGTAAATAATCAAGCCTGGACCAAGACAATCCAGTGATTGACATCATGAACATCGATCCACGCAATTGGGATCAATGACAAGCATCAACCAAGTCAGCGAGTCTGACCACCCGATCTCGTTAGTCGCCTTTTACGACAAGCATAGTTGTATTTTACGGCATTCATGGGTTCCTGAGAAATAACAGACACCCATAACTACTTTTGATACTCTGTAGGTACAATGAATATTATTGTGCGTCCTTTGGGATGCCAATATTTTTTTCTGTGTCCATTCTCTGCTTTTGTGCATACTGGACGCACATTTGTGAGTTGCATAAAACCCTGAGGTTATGACGAGCCCTGTCTTCTTTCAGACTGTTAGAAGCTGGTGCAGTGAAAGTATTTGCCATCTGTACACACGGTATATTCTCGGGCCCCGCTATCTCCCGCATCAACAACTCAATGTTCGAAGCAGTCGTCGTCACCAACTCCGTCCCACAGGAGGAGAGGATGAAGATGGCCCAGAAAATAAAGGTATGTTACCATGGCAATAAGGTATGGTGAGGAAACTGAGATGTGCTAAGATGGACAAAATCTTTGAGTTGCTAAGGAGATCAAAGTGGTCATGTAGGAAGTTTAGCTGTTTTACATTATGTAACATGGTCTGTAATAGGTGTGAATTAAGTGTCATTGATTTTAAGAAAAATAACTTCAAGCTTGAGTACAAGAGGTGCCTGTCTAGATTTTACGAAAATGTGATCTTTTTGGTTTGTTGTTGGCGTAACTGATTTGCAGAGGATTATGAAAGGACTATGAAAAATGGCTGATAAAGAGCAGTGTGTATTCAACATGGATGGCTAGATTCGAACTGCAAGAGCTTCATATAGTGCAGAGAAAAATTGTAAAATGAAGTGTGTTTTTTCTATTTTTGAGTTTCATCATGTTTATGGCGCCAGGTTACTGGGCCAGTATGGAAGAACAGTGGTGGAGCAAGTTCAGTCAGTCGGGCCTTATGTCAGTAACCATAGTAACAGTAAACCTGGAATTGTTCCTATCAGGAAGTTGTCAGTATCTGACGTATCCTCTCTCGTTATTTCTTGTGACAACTTTTCCATGAAGTGTTGACCTTACAGTCTTGCCATAGGAACTAGATGTTTGGATGTAATGTTTCCTCTTTGGAGCAGTGGTGTTGCTGTTTAGCAACGTTTCGAGAAGTAATACCATTTTTGATACAGTTCAAGCAAGTTGGCAGTGCTTGATGATCTTGGATACCTATCTGTATCTTGATGTGACAGAATAGGCTTCGAAAAGTTGCCACTCTCTTGATCTTGCATGAAGCACGGGTGGCCAAGTCTGAAGCACCTCATAATGCTGTGCAGAGTTGCGTCCTTATAATAGTAGGGGTGAATACTGGTTCGCCTGGTATATGTTTTTAGGTTTGTCAGCACCATACCCGTGCTAGTGGGTTTCACATGTGAAACTTCGGGAGGGAATAGTGTTCTAAGCCAGGTTTGTGGTGTGAAGTACTTGCCACGTTAGGTGGTCATTGACTTCGTCATGTCACAAGTGATAAACATGCAAGTGTAAGAAAGAAATAATCCTAGATGGCAGCCCTCCATCTTCCCGAGGCAAGAGCATCCTCTGGCCTTATTATCAAAGTTTTTTTTCCACCCTTGCCACATCAAGCCCACTTTTCTGTGCTAAATATGACATTATCGCACATATCGATAGTCCAATCAGAGAAAGTTTCACAAAATCAACATCCACTACTGGAACACATTCGTAGGAAAGTGGTTTACCACTGCCTGTCTTTGTTGACATGAATATGTCTTTTTCACCTTTTAGACCCCCCAACGATATCCTGTGATTTTGTGTCAGGGACAAAATTGCGAATGTTTTCGTTATCTGATCGACTAAGTCATCGCCTATTGTGGTCGCCATCTTTGTGAAGCTATACAAGGTTGGCGCCAGGGTCGAGCCAAGAAAAGTGGCTTTGATGTGCCAAGGGTAGAAACTAGGCTTTGGTATAGGCTAGTGGACACGCTTACCTCGGGTCCTCATGTCCAATACTTTTCATGACATTTCATGAACGTTTCCTGTAACCTTGATATTTAATGTTTCCTGTGGGCCAACAAGGGTTCTTGTCACACCTTGCAGGGGCGGTCGGGTAGCCTAGTGGTTAAAGCGTTCGCTCGTCACGCCGAAGACCCGGGTTCGATTCCCGACATGGGTACCATGTGTGAGGCCCATTTCTGGTGTCCCCTGCCGTGATATTGCTGGAATATTGCTAAAAGCGGCGTAAAACCATACTCACTCACTCACTCACTCACTGTCCCACCTTGCAGACATTCTTCATAGACCTATTGCTGTGTTGTCAAGTTTCTATTTTTAAGGGTTGATTTGTCTGTCAACTGGCTATTTTTGGAACTGCAGAAGTCGAGAGTTTTTATATTAAAATGGGCCTTGAGGATTCGTTCCACTTTGTATCCTTGCGCTTGTACGTAACAGATTGGCGTCGACTTCACGCAGGAATGACAGTGGGCCTGAGTCCACGTTATGGCAGTAGATGCAGAGTATTGGTAGTACTGTGTTGGTTGACCCTGGAAGACAGTGCTGTGGCTGATGCCTTCCTATTATGGGGATTCTATGGCATGCTTGGTCCACTGTACCTCTTGTTGTAAGAGCTGATGACCGAGGTCATTGTACACTGCTGGATCCCTGTTTGAGTGATGCCGAGCTGGTTTGCCTGGTCGGATATTTACAGTTCGCCGTAATGTAGCTTGAATATTGCTGACTGAGGTGTACAGCAATATTAACTCACTAGTGTTTCACAAAGGTGTGGGTGAGGGTTTTTTTTGGGCTAATGGTTTGCCTGCTCTACACCTGGTGTATATTGGCAGGCTGTTGTAATGTAATAAAACTTGGTGTAAGGTATCTCTCATTTTTTCAGTGCCTATCACATCTACATGTCTACCCTCCATCCTCACCCCTCATCCATTCTCCACCCTCCAACCCCACCTTCATCCATTCTCCACCCTCCAACCCCACCTTCATCCATTCTCCACCCTCCAACCCCACCTTCGTCCATTCTCCACCCTACAACCCCACCTTCGTCCATTCTCCACCCTCCAACCCCACCTTCGTCCATTCTCCACCCTCCAACCCCACCTTCATCCATTCTCCACCCTCCAACCCCACCTTCATCCATTCTCCACCCTCCAACCCCACCTTCATCCATTCTCCACCCTACAACCCCACCTTCGTCCATTCTCCACCCTACAACCCCACCTTCGTCCATTCTCCACCCTACAACCCCACCTTCATCCATTCTCCACCCTACAACCCCACCTTCATCCATTCTCCACCCTCCAACCCCACCTTCGTCCATTCTCCACCCTCCAACCCCACCTTCGTCCATTCTCCACCCTCCAACCCCACCTTCGTCCATTCTCCACCCTACAACCCCACCTTCGTCCATTCTCCACCCTACAACCCCACCTTCATCCATTCTCCACCCTACAACCCCACCTTCATCCATTCTCCACCCTACAACCCCACCCCTTCGTCCATTCTCCACCCTACAACCCCACCTTCATCCATTCTCCACCCTACAACCCCACCTTCATCCATTCTCCACCCTCCAACCCCACCCCTTCATCCATTCTCCACCCTCCTGCCCCACCTTCATCCATTCTCCACCCTACAACCACCCCTTCGTCCATTCTCCACCCTCCAGTCCCACCCCTTGTTTAAGGGGGCAAGGATCCCCTCCTCAAATCAATACCCTCCACCCCTTCCATCTAAACTCCCCCTCCATCTCCACAAGTCCTCAAATCTTCTTTAGACCCTTGCCCTCTGATCTCCCTCCTTCCACCCTCAGATCCAGGGCTCAATTTAAGGAACTTGATTTAACATGCACCAGGTATATGTTGACATGAAAAACTAGTTGCACCAGACAATACCAGGTTGCACACTAGTTCCATAATTTTATCAAAGTTAAAACATGCACATAATCTTGAAGTACCCACAGCTGGATGTCAAGCCCTAAAAAGCAAGACAATTACAGACAATGCAGGGATTATTGATGAAGTATGGCAAATAAAGCTAAGAGATATTGAGGAAGATGTGTGGACTAGTAAGGGTTAGACACAAATTTGAAAGATTTTGATATGCACTTGGTGCACAGACATAATTATTAGGTTTCATATTTCAATAATAGGTTGCACTGGTGTATGTCTTGTACAGCTAAATCAAGCCCTGAGATTCCCCCACCTAAGTTCTCGACTCTCTTGTGTACACTTTTGTAGTCATGTTAAATGTCCTGTCAGCCTTTGTGTGTCTTGTATGTTTAAACTGCACATCTTCGTCCTATTGTGCTTCTAGTTGAGTATGCTGTAGATAGTGTCTTTATAGTGGGATGAAATATAGGGAATGATAATATAATGACAATTAGTAATAAAATATAATATTAATTTAGTGAAGACTGAAAAAAGGAACCAACCTGTGGTTCCGTGACATTTCAGCAGATTTGTAAAACAGAATATATGTTCTTCATTGCAATCCTTTATATGTGTCTTTTATGTGCACTTGATTTATTTTTCTGTCCTTTGTCTCGTATTGGTGCTATTATTTGTTGATGATCACTTACTATATTTATTTATATCTGCATTTGCACAGCGTTGAAGGGATTTAGGGATTCTAGTGGCTAGAATTTGTGCTTGACTAAGAAAGTGTAATCCCAAACATGACATGTTATGTTACAGCTGTACAAAGTATTAGACGTAATTTATGGGATGTGGCAAATCTAATGTTGTCAAAATACATTGTCAAAAATCTATATAAAGAACTGATTTCTATTCTAATGTAGCATATTATATTGGATACATAAAATATTACTTTTGCTGATTTAGCACATTTCATGTCTTGAATTGTTTTTTTTTCATTTTGTTATAAAGTAAATAGTGTAACTACAGTTCACACATAATTTATCTATTTTAGACTGTCTTTTCTTAGAAACTAAATAGATAGGTGAAATCTTGATATTTTAAAGCTTCAGTTAGCTTTATGGTACTCCATGGAAAAGGCATACTCACCAATAGACTACCTGCAGATATCCGACCCGTGAAGATCCGGGTCTTCAGCAACTCATGCTTGCCGTAAAAGGTGACTATGCTTGTCGTAAGCGGCGACTAACGGGATCGGGTGGTCAGACTCGCTGACTTGGTTGATGCATCATCGTATCTCGATCTCGATGCTCATGATGTCAATCACTGTATTGTCTGGTCCAGACTTCATTATTTACATACCGCCGTCATATTGCTGGAATATTGCTGAGTGCGGCATTAAACAACAAACAAACAAAACAAACATGCAGATATCCAGACAATCAGGTCAAATGTCACTCCGATGACTGATATCCATCATGGTTGCAGTGTCAGCATATTTTTCAAAACAATGCAATAGTGTTAAAAAAACAGGGAAAATAGGTGAATGAAGTGGTCTAGAACACAGAGTCGCGTGGTAATAAACATGTGCTTGTTTATCTGACATACACTTTTTCTTGGAAATGATTAACCCGAAATATCTGTTTGATTTTCAAAATATGTTGAAAGTATTGAGACTGTTAAAAATCAGAAACTGAATCAATATTACATAATTGAACAGCTGTCTGAGGTGCCTCCCATAGGGGTGGGTGGGTGGGATGGGATGGGGTGGGTTGAAGAAAACATTTTTGTTACCAAGCAAAACTAATTTCTTAAAAAAAACATGTCTCTTAACTGATTTGAACATACTACAGGATTGTTAGGAAACTTTGTTAATTTAAGGGACACTAGACATGGGACAGCTTTTTTTTGTTTCTGATCATTCTTAACTGTGTCTGCAAACTCACATTTTACCATGTATGTTGATCTGACAGTAGATTAACTGAGGATAAGAATTTATTGATGAACTTCTTTATTATAATTAAGAGCGACATTTCGGTGTAGGTTCTAACACTGTTGTCAAGCAAGTGATATTCGGAGTATGGTTGACAAGTATATATACAGGTAGGAGGCAATATTTATACAGTAGAGTAGATATCAGATGTAGTTATACTGGAGTAGAGAAGCCTGTTATGTATACACATGGTTAGTGATGACAGTCATCAGTGAAGTCAGTAACATAAACAAAGGATGAAGCCAGTAATATAAACAACAGGATTATGGCTGGTTGGGGTCTTTGATGAGTTGATGGAACGCTGGGGGGGGGGGGGGGGGGGGGGGTGTTATGTAATAGCCTTGGTCATGGTTGATTGATGGTTGGAGTCTTTTGATGTTGATCGCTTCTTGTAGTTTTCTGATTTTGAAGTCTTTGAGGTTGGTGGTGACTTCAAAACTTCTAAATGCCTATCAAAGAAGTGACAGTAGATTGTAAGGCTAGAACAAATAACGGCAGTGTTTCTTGGGCATTGGCTCACTACTAGTAATACTGTGCATCAGTCAATTGATTGCCAATTTCATAACATTATTTTTCATATTTCCTTGTCATACGAAGGAGACTCTGTTATCCTTGCTTGACAACTGCCGTTGTATTTAAGATCCAAGTTCCATGTGTAGCCCAGTTGAGTTTGTTGGTACTCTTGCTTGGGAAAATATTAAAAGTGTCCCTTATTACTTGTTTTTAATTAAAAAGAAGGTATTAATAGTCTCCATCCTCACTCTGTCGAAAAATGTTTTGTTTTCAAGCAAAACGGACACATTGCTATGTCTCTGTTTCACATTGAAATATTGAACTAATTACATTGAGTTAAAAATTTAGATAATTAATGTTAAACCTTCTAACTAAATTTGATATAAACATACATTATCAATTTGATTTAACATGTTTAAGTTTAACGATGTCATTTTCTTGAACACATATTTCAAATTGATTTAAACATACCAATTTATTCTACACTTATTTCTAATTGATTAAAATATACTGTTTTCTTGAACACTTATTTCATATCAATCTAAATAGGCTGTTTTCTTGAACACTTATTTCAGTTTTTTTTAACATGACATTTTCTTGATACTTATTCCTAATCGACTTAAACATGCCACTTCAATGTTAGAAAATTGTTGGTTACATGGTGACATATTTTATGTGAGTTGTTGGGATTTGTGTTGGCCATGTGTATGTTGTAGAGCCTTCACCTCCCTCTTTCTCTTCTGCTTCAGCTGATTGACATTTCTTCCATTCTCGCTGAGGCTGTGCGAAGGACTCATAACGGAGAATCTGTCTCTTTCCTCTTTTCCCACGTCCCCTTGTAACCACGGAAACTGCCCGTTTTAGTTTTGCTCATGTGGGTGGTATTCAATCTTTGATATTCTTGTAATCCTTACATCTACCACCCAGCCGATTTTGCAACCTTACGCCATTTTCTTGAACCCTTACTGTTATCTCATTTTCCCAACTTTTGTATTTAATCTTCAATACTTTCATTATGTGCTGCCTTTTTGTGTGACCGTAATTCTCCTATATCTTGTGCATGGTTCATTATCTTACAAAATCATATATATTAATTTTACATGTATGTGTATTCCGAACTCATCTGACTAAGCCATCAATCATATGTATTCGACAAGCCTGAAATAATTAATATAAGTAACAAACTGATTCGTATACTTATTGTGTGATATATATATCTAACACAGACCTGTATAAAAAAAATGTTTTTGTTTATTATTTGATAAAAGGTGTAAAACGAGTAAAAGAATTTAAGAGTAATTGCCACCTGTCGAATGATCTGTACAGATTATGTTGGTACTCGTTTATTGACAGGTTTATTGATGTAGATTGAGTACATAAATTATTATCTTCAAAGATAGTGTTTATTTCGGTGTATGCACAATGTATTCAATCTTTTATGCTACATTAACATAACTCTCTCCACTTACTGACTCTTTTGTGTGGCGCCTTTCCCCTCTCATGTCTTCTCAGCTAATGTAAACAGTTTGACATTTATTAAACTCTATGATGATAATCTAAAGATGATATGTTCATAATTAACACTTAAATGTTAATGTTGTTAATAATTACCAGATAATGCATTATAATAAAAGTTATGGATAATTTGGATGAATGCAACATTTGTGGTTTTATCGTATTTGACATTATGTTTATGGTTGCTGCTTGTTTTTAGATTTTACCACTTGTACTTTTAACCTGTAATGCATCTCCTAAAATCAAGGTGTACATGTAAGTTGCTAAGTTAATTTTGACTTTTTTCACAAATATATTTGCACAAACACGGAAATACAAAAAGCACTAACTTATTTTAACTTTACACAATGTTTCAAGGGATGTAAGCTGTATCACCTTATCTTAAACCAGATGTGTAAATACCTCCTCACAATACAGCACCAACACTAGACAACATTTGATCTTCTTAGCACCTTTTCATATTATATCTGGTCTCCAGTTGTTTCCATGGGGAAGCGGTACATTGTCACTTTGATGCAAACTTTCACAGTATCACACAGCAGTGATGAATCAGGCACTGACTGTTATTTGAATACCATGTTCTTAAAAGCACATTTTAACAGCTTACTAAATTAACTTCTACCATGATTTTGAGCATATCAATTCTGATTTGCCTGTCAGAGGTTTCAAATCACAATATTATGCCTCTGATAAATACTGCTGATTTGATGGCTGCGTCATCAAGGTAGTTTGAACTGTTGAACAGCTTGGTAAAATAACACAATAACCTTTGGGAACTTTGAAGGAGGGTTATCTAACCAAACCACCTCGCAATCACCAAATACACCAACTATAATCAAAACTTAATTGAACCACATTATTGATGCATATAAATCTTTTTCAAAATGTATCTGAAGGCAGTTTGAACAATGATGTCACTCTGCATCACTACACTACCATGAAGATCAGGGGTAGAATAGGTCTTCAGCAACCCATGCTTGCCGTAAAAGGCGACTATGCTTGTCGTGATAGGTGACTAACGGGATCGGGTGGTCAGGCTCGCTGACTTGGTTGATGCATGTCATCTTATCCCAATTGCGTGGATCAATGCTCATGATGTCGATCACTGGATTGTCTGGTCCAGACTCGATTATTTACAGACCGCCCTCACATAGCTGTAATATTGCTGAGTGCTGCGTTAAACAACAAACAAACAAAACTTATGTTTGATTATTTGATTGTTATGCTGAATTGGAATTGTCTTGGTTTCTTTAAAGTGATGAAATTGAACCTGAAAAGTCTACTAGCCCAAATAGCCCAAACAATTTTATAAAATCCTCTTTAAAAACTTGAAATTCTAATAATCTGAAGGAAGATTTTCTGTGAAAATGGTATAATGCTATTTATAATGCTAAATGTTTTAGTAAGTAATAGACATTTTCTGAAATCTAGATTCTTATGAATGAGCAAATTCCTCCTCACACAAACCTGACTGGAAAAGCACAAAAGAATGCTTATGATGCACTGACTGAATCAACAATCACACATGTTAACAAACTATTCACTGCCAATTAACAAAAATATTATCACAAGACCAGGATTACTGTAGCACTCAAAATATGAACTACCAAGTTACTAAAATATTTTTTCGATAACATCTTATAATAAGATTATACCGAATTAACTTGCTAAAGTCATATTTATGAGCAGTTAACAATTTTAACAAACAAGCTCAATAACACTATTACTCTGTTTCCAACAGTATCATTTACTATGTATGTCCAGAACATGAGACTGTTTGAAGCCAGCCTAACAGGCTCAGAGACCTGAACAGTTTGGCACTGTTGGCTACATAACTATCCTGGCCTGTTCCCATTTCAGCTGTTTGATCTTGCTGTTTGATCCTGCGCTCTAGGAGACTGGGTTATGACTGTCATTGCCTTGCAGATTGTTCCAGCACTCAAGTAGTCTCAGCATGGCTTTCTATCTCCCACCTTACATTTTAGCATTGCTCTCTTCTTAAATACTTTGACCATAATTTAACGTTTTGTCTCTAAGATGCTGCATTTAACATATTATGAAACTATAGTTTTACCTTGATGAAAAATTGCATATTCATTAAGAGAATTTTAACATTTGTTAATTAAAAAATTCTGTTTTTGCTTCTTCACATTTCTATGAAGATTTTTTTTTAGCAAAAAGCACTTGGCAAGATAGGGTGTATGCTTCCTCACTTTTTAGAAATAATGTTGTTATTTGTTTTCTCCGCACAATACAGGCCTTGCTATTTGCTATGCGAAATATTCATTATGAACTTAATGCTTTCCAAATTAATGGCGCAAAATATGCAAATGGGTCAAGGTCATCTGAGCTCCAAGGTCATCTTCCAGTTATCCAGTTTGCCTGTGCTAATACATGGTCTTAGGAGGGCTAGCAGGCTAAGATAGCTTTGTGCAAATGGGCTTAAACCTGTAATTGTTCCACTGTGCCACCCTGACACTTTGTTTATTTTCTTTGCAGTGTATTGATATATCCATGATATTGGCAGAGGCCATTAGAAGAACACACAATGGGGAATCTGTGTCCTATCTCTTCAGCAACGTTCCCATGTAAGAAGAAATAATTTCTCACATTGTTCCTATGAATCTGCCTCAAAGTTGACATTTTGTCGTTTCAATTATAAAAGAAAGAAAAACTGCCCATGAAACTAATGGTCTGCACCTTGATCCGCTGGCGTGGAGCCCTGTGTGTAGGTTTTCTGTTGTAATCAATGAAGCCGTATTGGCCTCATATGATGGAAAAGGGCTAAAAGTGCAAAAGGTTTTTGGTACAGACTTTTTTTATATCATACTTCATGTCCCCTAACTGTCATAATCAATTCACTTTCCAGTCAGGTCCTGTCTTAGGTGGCGGTCATGCGAAACAGGGGCCCATGGTGAGGAAGTAGAACATGGAGCCATTATAACATATGTCCTTAGTTTCTTATTCCCCAGGGGCGGTCGGGTAGCCTAGTGGTTAAAGCGTTCGCTCGTCACGCCGAAGACCCGGGTTCGATTCCCGACATGGGTACAATGTGTGAAGCCCATTTCTGGTGTCCCCCGCCATGATATTGCTGGAATATTGCTAAAAGCGGCGTAAAACCATACCCACTCACTCACTTATTCCCCAAATCTTGAATTTTGCTTATCGACCTCAGTTTAAGTCTGTTTGACCTCCACCTTAGACACAATGCCATTTACACCCATGAGGAACAAGTGAAAAAAAGAATTCAAATTTCACAGGCATGGAACGTTTTGAAAATATATCCACTAAATCACGTATTATATCATACAGTAACTATTTTGGTAATAATTTTTTTTTGGTATAATGTACTTTTGGTGGGTGTGAACACAATGGCCTCCACCTTTGACATAAGGCACACCAAAAAATTACTTGTGTTTCCGGTAACCCGACCATCCATTGTTTTCACTGGCTATAAAACAATATATTTGTTTATATGTTATGTTCCCACAAATTATTCTTGACCTACAGATTTGAGGTACTTTGCAACAAACATCAGTTCTAAACATAAAAAAATGACCCTACCTGCGGACCATGTATGTTGAGGCCATGTTACCATGGTGACCTGAAACACAAGTATTTGTTTTTGGCCTGAGGTTAATTCCTCTCAATGGATAAGAAATGATTCAGGAATGCTATGGCCTCTATTGCAAGCAATGCTTTCTTGTACCAATGTTTGCAGTACAACAAAATACATCACCGATGCATCGTGTTTGTGTGTTGCATGTTGTTTGATGGGCATGGGTAAACATATATCGGTTTCCTAGAAGTGTAGCCATTTGTGTGAGGTATATATTGTAATACACAAAAATGGAATACAGTGAAATCTTGTTCACTCAAGTTTAGCTGACTCAGTGCTGTGTTCATGAAGAAGTATGGTCAGGGCAGAGTCATCCTCGGCCCTCTTGTTTGCTCCAATAGTGATGACAGATCAGGAAAGATCTCAGTATCTCATTCTAGTATTGATCACAAGTAACCTATGCTGGTCGTAAGAGGGACCAACCCGCGAAGATCCGGGTTAAAATAGGTCTTCATCAACGCATGCTTGACGTAAAAGGCGACTGCTTGTGGTAAGAGGCGACTAATGAGATCGAGTGGTCAGGCTCGATGACTTGGTTGATGCATGTCCTTGTATCCCAATAGCGCAGATAGATGCTCATGATGTCAATCACTGAATTGTCTGGTCCAGACTTGATTATTTACAGACCACCATCATATAGCTGGAATATTGCTGAGTGCAGGGATAAACAAGAAACAAACAAACCTCGTTCTTGTCGTAAGCTGACAAATGATGGGGTTGGATGGGTGTGGCTCAGACTTGATTATTTACATGCCCAGCATACAGCTGGAATATTTTAACTCAGGCATAAACAACACACAAGCAAAGAAACATAAACAATATGGATAACACAACAGCTCTTCGACTGTCTTATGACTTGAGGCACCTGCTTTCACTGTATTAAGTTTTTGCTAGATATTCCTTCGATTATAAGCTGCAATGTCATCCTCCTCCAAATGTGCATCCTGTTGCTTGAAGCTCCACACTAATCACAAAAGAATAGCCAGTAGCCCAGACAGTGGCATAGTTTTAAACCAACCAATAAATGTTTTCATTTCAACCTGGAGGACACATTACACAGGTACCGTTGTCACCAGTCCTACGGTAATCTTTGGACATAATTTCTCATCTTCAGCAGTTGATTCATCAGTCTACAAAGTGAAATGAAATCCTTGTACATTGGATTCATGAATGAATTTATTCCTGCTGTAGAGATTTCATGGATATACATCATGTTGTGTACTGAACCAAAAAGTTAGATATCTTTTATGAATTGTGTGCTCAGTGTTCACTCCAAACAAATATTGCCCTAATATTCATGATTCCTAACTTTTTCTTGTTTAGTATTTTAGTATGTGATATGTTACATTTTGTCATGGATGAGGTAAGAATTTATTTGAATATCGATGTCATCTGTCTAATGTTTATTAATTGTTTTGTGGTCATGAGAAGGTTTGACTTGGGCATGGTCATTTGGGGCCAGACCAGTTAATTTTTACCTTAAGTTTACCTTACAAAATATCAAAACAAAATGTGATAAGATTATAAAACAAATGTGAAAATGTGTATGGTGGAAAAAAATCTTAGTTTAAATTACATTTTGTTTGTAATTCAGTTTTAAACAACTTCTATTCTGTTTTAAGGAAATTAACCTTAAATCTCATTAAAATCAGATCTTAGTTCTCGCTATCACTATACAAAAATCTGAGGACATCCCATTACGGGTCACGTCAGAATGACCTTTCATCCAACCATCAGAGCGTCGCTTACCAGATCATGAAAGTGACAGTCGGAATGTGTTTTCTGATGATGCAACCACGAAATATTTAACACGGGGTATTCCAAATGACAGTAACGGGTTTTATGATTATATCCATTACAATCTAGGCCATCTTTTAGCCATTCCAGAATGTTCTTATCAGCTTTAAATTTTTTAATCGAGATTACGTCAAAATATCTTTCGAGGCGCAGACGCCAGTTTTGAAACTAGTGTTGTAAAGCTCGAGAAAGCTGCCTTCTGATTGGCTAATGTCGATTTCTTGTCAGTCATTTCATCTGTCGGTCAAAATTCGCAAAAGGTCGTTCTGACTTGACCCGTAATGGGATGTCCTCAGATCTTTGTTTAGCTATAGCGAGAACTAAGATCTGATTTTAATGAGATTGCTATTTGAATGTAGCTGCAAAAGTTTGATTTCATGTTTTGTGAATGTTTGGTAGAAGTATGAGTGCAAAAGTGTCATCCCATACCATTGTCATCCTGAGTGTCTCATTCAGTGTTATTCTCAAGTATTACCTTATTACAGAGACCCATGGTAGCTCATGTTTGCTGAATTAGTCAGTTTATTGCAGCTTGTTTTTAAAGAAGTTTTGTTTTTCCACAAGGCCATTAAATCTTGAAAAAATGTTACTTGTCATGTGGGTCAAGGTAATTAAAGTTTTGGTTGGTAAGAAACAAGGCCAATACTGACCTTGCCTAAATTATTTTGCCATTGTTGCAAAAGAATTTCAGATGAAAAAAGGAGGCAGGGCAACTGGTGTCCATGCTATTTTCAAAATGGTTCTAAATTATTTCTTTGGTCTTTGTTGCTTTTTACAAAATTATTTTTATCATAGAAATTATGAATAGCATGATCATGTGCAAGATTTCATTGTGATAGTTTTTGCCTTGCTATTAATGTAACTTCACATTGCATTTTGTTCTTCAGAAAGTTGTATTTCACTTTCTTTGAATACTCCAGAGCTGTTTTCTCTTTGACATCATAATGTGGTACTCTATATCATCATTGCACCATTGGTCCTGGAATTAAACTATGTGAAACCCCGCGTGCTGTTTCTGTTTTGTGGACGAGTTATGATGGAATGTGGTCTCCTGCCGTTGGAATGGTCAGCAGTCCACCTGCACAGTATTAAAGGGCACTACAATACGCTTTTCTAGGTATACATATTGCAATATTCTTGTGTTCTGTTATATTGGGTATAACAAATATATAACAAGTTTTGTTATTTGTATCAATTGTCCTTCAATTCACAACTGATGTTTCCTTTTGGAATTGTTTGCCAAATTTGCTGAGTAATATTTACTTTGACATGTAGAAATACTTCGGCTCCAAATATATTACATTGTATATCGCAATACTTATTGCAATCAAGATACCCGTGTCGCAATATACTGAGGTACAATTGTTTTGCTAATACACAGCCCTAGGCATAGCAGCCAGTAATCAGGCCTTTATCTGACAACCTGCTGACTTGCTCATTCTCAGTCTCTCCCAGTAACCTCCTTGAGCTTGTGAGACTGTTCTAGTGGATAGTGTCTCCAAGGAGAGTGGAAGGTCTGTGGTTCCATCCCTGGCCGCATCATGCAAAGAGACAGTAGAAGATTGAACTTGTGAACCTGCCTTGGTGCCGACCATTATGTGGATAAAACAAGGACTGGTCTGTTTGGAGTCAGTATAAGTATACTGAGTGAGTGAGTGAGTGAGTGAGTGTGGTTTTATGCCTCTTAGCAATATTCCAGCAATATCAAGGCAGGGACACCAGAAATGGGCTTCACACATTGTACCCATTAGGGGAATCAAAACCGGGCCTTCAGTGTGACGAGGGAACGCTTTAACCACTAGGCTACCCCACCGCCCTGTGTCTGAGTAAGGTATCAATGTTAAAGTGCGACATGGTATGTCAGTGGGCTAGCACTATACATTGGCAGTAGTCCTGACTTGTACAAGCAGCCGCCCGGAGAGCAGAAGGTCCTGGGTTCGATCCCTGGCCACGTCATACGAAAAGATGTTTAAAGATGGTACTTGTTGTTACCCTGTCTGGTGCTCGGCATTAAGGGGCTAAAACAAGGACTGGTCGGCTCGGAGTAATTATACTGCATCTGAGTGGGGTATTCATGTTAAACTGCGGCGTGCTATCTCAGTGGGCTAGCACTATAAATCAGCATCAGTCCAGACAAGTACAAGCAGCCCCACACACACACACACACACTATATTAGTGCAATAATCTTGGACACTGGAACTTCAAGGACACTGAAACTTCAAGGCGATGTGCCTGATGTGTATACCCAGTTTCATGAAGAAATATTGAATGGTTTATGAGTTATGCTCTTGGAACAAAACATGACAGAGTCCGTTCCCCAACACAACTTGGGAGAGGATAATAATCAGGGCTGTGGAGATCAATCCTCAACAACACAGGCCAAGAGTGGTGAAACTGTCGCCTACATTCGTCACCATTCGCCTCTTTTCGTAACCTGCAAGAAGACTCGTCCCCCTATCGATGAATGTTATGTGCGAAAATACAACAAACCAATCCGAATGCGCGTATGATTTCAAGTTGTTCGTCAAAGAATCCCTCAGAAATAATTTTTGATTTTACATATGTCGTGCATCTAAAAATATACCAAAGACACAGTTAAATGTGTTCAATCATACTGTATAATTACACACGTCCCGATGTGGTTTAAATTGCATCTGAAATATATGTAATATATGGGGAAATATATGTGAACCATTACGCAACGAGTTGACAATTGTTTTATGTATGCCCGTTTGCGCTAAGACGGAACCCGGTCGCCTATTTATTCAACTTGACTTGACATTACCTTACAGGGTGCACGAGATACATGTAGTGTTTTCACAACAACTAACATTATGATGAAGAGGTGCTTCTGTTGAACCTTTGTAGAAACTCTGCACAGTGAAGTGAAGAAGCTTGACGACATGGCCATCTGATCTCTGCCAAGATGATTTGGATCACAACAAACCTCTGGAATATAGTTGAACGTGTTTATTATGTTTACACATACACAGTACACAATACACAGCCGCTGGCAGTGATACAGCTGCAAGTCCATGAAGTAATGGCACTATCTGTGGAACAACCCTCGCCAAAGTACTTGCTCAAATCTTTTCATTAACAATCCTGAATATAGTATGTCAGAATGTTCATTTTGGTGATAAACAATTTCGTGAGGGAAAGTTATGCTGAGAATTAAGATTTCTTAACTTTATTTATTGCATTTTTCACTTGGAAATTTAGGAATATATAAAACAAAGCTGTATGAAATGATTACAATGGAAGACAGCCAATATTATAATTGTGATTAAACTTTTGGCAAATTGACTGCAATGGAACCCTGTAAAGTCATGGGAAATCAATGAAAATATAAGTTTTCTGTAGTTTGAAACAGGCGGGGAACCGATACAAGCCCAAAATACGAGTCGGGATTCTGTCAAAACCATAATCTTAAAAATGAACAATGGAGTTTTACACAGCTCTTCATATAGCAATATCACTGCAGGGAACACAGAAATGGGCTTGACACATTGTATCCATGTGGGGAATCGCACCCGAGACTTCAGCAAATGCTGTAACCACTAGGCCCTCCTCCCCTCTGATGTTACAACGATAAAATGAGTTTACAAGGTTTTGAATAATAAGCTGCGAGGGCTGATGCCTCCATACTATATGTTTGGTATTACTGGATTTGTATGTATCTACAATGCCTGGTTTGACGGAACGGTCTTGTACGATCATCAGATGAAATGATAACACAACAAACTAAACAGTTGAATAAATAACATAGAATACAATTCACTAGCATGTTAACAGGTCATAACTCAAAGCTGAATATATCTTAAATAATATCTAGCTATGAAAAGCAAAATAATATGGATGAATAGTTTCATGACAGACAGGCCATGGTATGAAATATAATGATGTGTCAAGCATAACCAGAATAAATAGCACCAAGAATCGGACATGATGACATGGCAAAGATCACTGCATTGGGAGATTATTCAGAAATATCCTGCAACACAAATATCAGAAGTTGACAAAATAAAAATTTGGATGGACTTTTATATGAATATTTGTGTCGGAGAGAGATCATTGATAAATTACATATCAGACAAAGGATTTTAAGTGAGAGAGGTTAACATTGTAGTGTAATAAAAGTTGTAGACTTTACACATTTTATTTACTCGAGGACTGAACCCAGACTTTGTGTCCGTCAAGCAAACACCCTATCTACTGGGCTACAACATCTTTGGACAGATGGCAACGGTTTGTATACACTGTCATTTCTTCTTAAATTTCCTCAATTCAAACTTGCAGTGATCTGAGGAGATGGGTTTTATTGACATTCAAAACACACAGTTCTCATGTTAACAGGTAACATATTGCTGCTTAATCTGTCAGCCCAGCTCATGGAACAATAGAGCGTCAAACAATATTATTTTCTACAACTGTTTGATCACAGAATCTGTCAAACAATATACAGATGTACATAGTGTACTATATTGTTGCTGCATCTAACGGTTGAATTAACCATATGTACACAAACATTGTCAACATTTCCTAGACAAGAACATGGAAATGCCATTTCTATTTTCCTCTTCATTGAACATCTATTTGATAAATTCTGTTTGTATTGTCAACAAAGCTACATTGTGGAAAGTAGGAATAAGACAAATACAAACAATATTATTATCATTTGTACAGCACTATCAAACAATAGGCACACCATGGTACACATCACTTGTCTGACTGACAGCCCAAAGTTAAATATGAACCGTGTCCCATGCACTTGCTGAGACGCTTTAATGCCCATTTTAAGAAATTAGTACCAATCTTACTTTTATTGCTCAGAACTAATTAAAGCTGCAACCCAAGATAAATGTTTAAATAAGTATTGAAGAAATAATGAACAGTTTGTGAGACATCCCAGAATGCCATGACAAGAAGCCATGTGACCCTGAGGGTGTTAAATGGAACACAGTGATGGAAATCTCCCTGACAAAAGAGGATGTCATTGTAAAACCTAAAGGTGAGTCAGGTAGTCAGTTACTTCTTTCAGGGACGGAAACTGACATAGAAACATTTACTAGCCTGATTAGTGACAATATGACACACCTAAACAAGCCTGAAATTTTGCTAATCCTCAAAATACCATTAAACAGACTCAGGCTAGCTCAGGCTAGCTCAGGCTAGCAGGTGCCAGCCAATTTGCCATCACAGTAAATGACAGTAGCCATGTTAGCCAGATGTTTCAGGGCCATGGTAGCTATAAGAGGATCATGGCGGCTACTAGAAGAAGGATATTTGTACCCAATGGATAGCCGGACGTAGAGCTTTGACAACAATTTGATGAAAGATATTGCTTGCCAGTAACTAGAGGATCACATGAGCCATCTGAAGACCACAACCACCCTTGTCTTGCCAGAGAATATTATGGACAAGCGTAGAGTTTCTGGACTTCCTTCAGTGGTGGATTTAAAGTTTTTAGACGCAGAGTGCCTTCAATGATTGACCCTGCTTTCTATCTGGGGTGGACGCTGACCTAACTGCTCAGCTTCATCTTCTCTAGGATAGGGATGACCATGTCGTAGCGCGGCCGTTTGCCCGCCTCCTCGTTCATGCATATCTTGATGAGGCGAGACATGTGGCTGGAGATTCCTGGAGGGATCTTGATGCGCAGACCTTCTAGGGCTACCTGGAAACACACAGTAGGCGGCCATGACAGTTACAGCTGTAGCCCACACCATCTGCATCCTTAAGTGATCAGAATAACTTGAACAATTCCAAAAGTGGGCAAGTCTGGCAGGAAATATGAAGATTTTATTACGTCCTTTACATAGGTTGAACATACTTTCAAAACAACTACAGACCATAGACACCTATCTTTCTGTCTGATAGAATGTCTTTCTAAAAAGTATGTTGAATCATCTACATTCTTGCCAATCTCCATGGACGTAAAGTCAAAGATACATACATAAGAGTGGAGCCAAGGTCACTTGCAGTGAGGTCAAGGTCACTCATATGAGTAGAAGGTCAAGGTCACTTTCATAAGTGTGATGTCAAGGCCACTTACCTTCATGCCAATCTCCATAGGTGTGAGATCCGCAAACGGCACCTCCCGAGTCTCCAACTCCCACAACAAGATGGCAAAGCTCCACATGTCCGCTCCTTTCATGTTAATTTCTGAAGGCTTCTTCAGCATAGCTGTGTATTGATACAATATGTTGTGTATTGATACAATATGCTGAGCCTATGTTTAAGCTCAGTAGAAATAGAAATCCCTATTTAGTAATACAGATTGGACAATAAATCCAGTTAACTGCTAAATATTTGCCTGTGATTAGTAGTAACGGTAACCATCTTCCCGAGGCAAGGGAGTCAATTGACCTTAAAAGTCCAGTTTCCACCCTTGCCGAACTAGACTTAAATTTTGTGGAATTTCATAGCTCGATCGTCGAGCAACCATTGGCTATTACTATTTAGCCAATGGGTGCATCCCAGTCATCAGGGTACGAAGACACGCAATCAACAAAGTCACCAAGCCTGACCTTCCGATCAATGTAGCCATCAAAATCCAAGGTTGCTAGGGAGACATTCTAACCGAGAATCCCTTTGACATGCTGATCATGCTGTCCACCTACCTTCACTTGGTCAGGCTTGCTGACTTGGTCGATGCATGTCATTGTATCCCAATTGTGTGGATGGATGCTCATTATGTCAATCACTGGATTGTCTGGTCCAGACTCTATTATTTACAGACTGCCGTCTTAAAGCTGGAACAAAACAAACAAAACCTACCTTCAGGGGCCATCCAGGCCGGGTTGTACTCCTTGCCTCGCTCGTGGAAGGTGAACCGATAGTCCGCCATGTTGATCCGGGCCGTCAGGTCCTCGTCAATCTGATCACACCAAGGGAAGAGATGGTATCACAACTGGATACATGGAGGACATCTTTAGAACGATCATAACATCATGCCAAACATCTCAATCTCTCAAGCATACCCGATACTGTTTTGTGCATTTGTGACCAAGTTTTGACAGCTAGAGTTGATAACTAGAATGAAAAATTCAATCTGACAGTAATTATTCATACTCATGTAATTGAAAATGGCATTATAAAAATGCTCCAATTCCAACACTGGAGTGAGTGAATTTGTTTGGTTGAACACCACCTTGAACAATATTTCAGTTATATCACAGTGTCAGCTTCATGTAGTATGCAATCCTGAAGGGATGCAGGCCTTTTAACACTTTGTTGAAACCTAAGAACATGGGTATGGTGCTGACAAACCTAGAAACATAATCAGAGTGAACCTGGATTCGAACTCATGATCGTCGGTCTGTGGCGTGCCTAAAGGACCAAACTCCGCCCAGCCAATCAACAAATGGGCCACCCATGCACCGCCACAAACACCTGGTGATTATAACGGTTATGTTACATTTCCTCATAGTTTACAATCATGATTTCCTTTTTCATGTTCTTTCAAAACCAAACGTTATGTGAAATATTCTTGTTATGTTTTTGTATTTGGCATTTTCTTTATGGTCATTCTAAATGCATGTATATAACTGATCATGATAATTGATAACAAACCATAAACAACAATATTTGAGATATTTCATACTCTACACCACCTTTACTGGAGGCCATGAACACGAAAGAGATCAAAATGTTTTAAAATGGGATTCTCGTATGTAAAGACCAAACTGTGATCTTTCAACCATCTGGTGGAAATGTTCCTTAATAATCTTCTTCAAATGAATATTATTCATATCTTTGTAAGTAACACATCAACCCATTCACAAACCCATTCCTCTTGTGTTACCATGGTTACGTATACATTCTAACTATCTGTATCAACCCAAAGTCGGTTCATTCTCCACAACAATCAACTTAACCACACAAACATAATTTACAATCTTTAGTGCACAAATAAATTGTGTGAATATTGACATTGATGGAACCTTGGTCAACCACAGAAGACAAAACTTTTGACAAATATTTTTTTAAATGTACGGAAGGCTCGTATTCAAAATAACACCACAAAGAATCAACACTAGCACTGGTTCAAGCTGCTGTTAAGGGGAGACAACCTTTCCGAGTGTTCAGAATTAATTTCAATCTGAATCTTTTCGGTAAGCAAAGCTTGCAAAACTCCATCAATATGTTTTTTGCAGTTTATTTAGTCATCAATTTTTCATATACTTGATTTCACAGCATAATGGCGGTTGAAAACGAAGTTAAAAACACTACACACGTCTGTGTCGGGAATAAAACTCAGTATCCCAGCTTAACTACAGAACATTTGAAACAGTGGGCCACCCTCAGCATGCTTGAACAACAGCAACGACAGACTGATTCGTCATGGTCATAAATAATTCAACTGTCGAAACAGAAGCCCCAAACCACACTTTTGAAATATTTGTTTCTGGACGTGGGTGTCCAGGGTTCCATCCTACATGCACAAGCATACATCAAGGACTAGTCCTCCTTCATGGTGGGTCTGCATCCCACTGGCTAGCTGCGAGTTCTGTTACCCAGAAATGCTGATGGTGTCGGTCAGTATATAATGTTATTCTGGTGGATGTCCAGTGCATTTAATCAGAATTCGAAAAAAATATACATGTACTCTGAACCCCTGACCAACTTCCAACTGACAAAACGTGCCTCAACATGATCATTTATCTAAAAGTAGATATTTTTATTAAATCTAAATTCTGTTTCAAGTGGGGCATAAAGGTTACTTTGAACGGTATTTCACATGTCAGCTTAATGTGAAAAGAAAATCCAGATGAAGTTATGAGATGTTTACCACTTGGGTGAAACCCATGAACACAGGTATCATGGGGAACCAAGAAAGGACGGTGAATCTGGGATTCGAACCCATGACTAGCAGATATCTTATCAATTCCCCATACTAGGCCCCCACATTAACACGACAGTCCATATTTCGGTATGCATATTTCAGAATTCTTTACAGAAATCACAGCAGTTGAAAAGGGGTATTTAATTGCCTCGTTACTATTGTCAAAAAAGCTTTAGTTTCTTCGATGTTAGACAACAAATTTGACTTGTATGGTATATGATTTTAATAACCTTCCCTTTGTCAATTTGCTTTGGACACAGGGCACATATTACATCAAATATTGTATTGATCATTGCATTTCTGGGCTATGGAATCCGCAGCTAGCATTTCAACTATATATAGTGTCCGATTCCCATCAAACTTGGTATGTGTCTACACGTGTGTGTGTGACCTCTATAGCTGAAAATGAAGACACAGTTCCATCAATATGGAGAGAATATGTTAAATGAATATCTGATCTGTCAAATAAGAGGCCCAGCTTCCAAGAATCTCTATGTACTACCACTAAATAGTGACAAGTGACCCTTATCCCAATGAATATAATAACAGATTGAAAAATGAAATAGATTGGAAAATGAATGAATGAAAATGATTGAATTGTTTATTGAATCATTATGCAGCCATTTATTTATATTTTTCATGGGTCGTTGATTTATACCTAGAGTGGCATGAGGAAAAATAAAATTATCATGTTGTTGTTGACAAAATATATTTGCGGTTAAATAAATACATAATATAAAAATAATATGCTACAGGAAGATTTTCAATCAAACAAAGCATTTATGGTTTTTAAAAGAGCTTTTTAGCAATTTGGTATATAATTTCCTGTCAAAAAAGGAAATTAACTGCTAGTTTTCAAGTTATAGGTCGCACACAGAAATTTTCTTGAAAGGATGGATGGACGGAATTCCTTGGTATAACGATATACCTCCGCCCTTTTAGGTCAGGGTATAATAAAGACACCTTGCTAATTTTAACCAAACATAAAGTGATAGTGTATAAGAGATATATCTTTGTCTAGTTTGTGATGGGTGTCCACACAAGGTCTTACTTGCGACTCGTTGGGCACTATATCACTTGCTGGATGTCTTCCCAACCTCACAATTATATCTTTTAAAGTGTTTGATATTGATATTGTACTTTCATAGTATTGTAGTACATAAGTTCATAAATGACTGATCACAAATAAAATGTGACCATCACAGGGAACAAAAAATTCCTGGAAGTGCACTTCTTAATTTATCCACTAAGCCATTATCTTTTAATCGATTTATTAGCCCAAATCAATGATTTTGATTGGAAAAGGATATAATAAAACATTTACCATTCAAAACTACAAAGCTGTCTTAGCAATATCCCTGCAGAGCTCCAGATAAGCTTTTGGTGTTGTGGGTATTTTACCCATGCATTTTAAAATCATTGGGTATCAGTAATTCTATCTGGGTATTCAAATTTCTGTTACCCACTAGTTTTTACACTTGGGTATTTAAGTTAAATAGTAAAAAAATATTCATCTAGTCCCTGCAAACTGGTGTCGTATGGGTTCGAGAGCTTTATAAGGACTCAAAAATAGCACGATACTTCCACAAGAAAGTGTGATGGCAAATGATCATGATCTGACTGTCATCGTGGAGTTTGGCAAGGTTGACAGACTGCCCGTTTATAATTTCAAAATAAGTTGCTGATTTGCTAATCGAATACGCAGGGTTACTTCACAATATTTTGATGATACGCCCAAGTTTTATTTTTGTAGCGTATCTGTAATGTTCGTTGTGTATTTGATATGTTTGGATTTTATTTTACTGCATATTTCTGCATTTCTGATGCGTATTTTACGCAGATACGCAGCTTATCTGGAGCTCTGTCCCAGTGATATGACGTTAAGTTAAGTTCTACATGTTGGCTTTAGTGCTGTGAACGTTTTCAGCAGCTGACCTACAGCCAAATTACATAACACTTGGAATTAATTATGTATCTACCATAAATAAGTGAGCTGTGTGTCTAAATATACTTTTGTCAATTCATGTTAGGTATTAATGTGCATGTGCCCTTCTTGTAAAACACAAAAATAATTTTCTTGTTTCCACTGTCTGTTCAGCACAAAAATAATGTGAATGACTCTTACAATAGATTCTTTCTTTGCATTCTCTATCTCTGCGTGCTTTGTCAGAAACAAATAATTGGTGTTACAGACAAATAATTAAATGGTGGGAAATTTATCAAATCAAGATAAAGATTCATGCTCAAAAACAGAATTAGCTTAAAACACATTCACAAAACAAATGAAAACTAAGTACCCTTGCACCACTTCAACCAACAGAAAGTCATTCATAAACAACACAATACACAAACTTGTCTCCTAACAGATATTGTGTGTGTGTGTGTGTGTGTGTGTGTGTGTGTGTGTGTGTGTGTGTGTACTACTCGGACTGATGCTAGCCCACTGAGATACCATGCCGCAGTTTAACATGAATACCCCACTCAGACACAATATAGTGACTCTGACCCGACCAGTCCTTGTTTTAGCCCCTTAATGCCGAGCACCAGACAGGGTAACAACAAGTACCATCTTTTTAACGTCTTTTGGTATGACGTGGCCGGGGTTCGAACCCCGGACCTTCAGCTTTTTAGCAAAGGAATACAGTATAGTAAAACAATGAAGCTGAGGAGAAATGTGGTGTTTGTTTCAATCACAAACTCAGAACAGAACATGTGGCGAACGTCACTGAAAAAAACAGTTACCGTATTCAATGTAATAAGCACCCAGGGCACTCTCAAAATTAGAAATAGGGGGCTCTTATTAGAATATTATTTTGAGTTGAAAGATTGTAAATTTTGTAAACAGCCTGAAATGTTTACATACGACAGATATATTTATCAAGAATTTAATTGCCCATAATTAAGGGTGATATAACACACGAGTGCGTATTATACACAAATAAATAAGTCTTGTGTACATTGATCAATCGGAAGGGGTGCTGATTGGGATTGTTCACTAGCCAATATATTGGCAAATATCGCCGTGAGCGCTTATTAGAACGGGGCCTTATTACGTTGAATACGGTAATGAAAGGGGTGTAACGATTCACCTGATTTTCAGTGCACTGCGATAGAAATATTGCATTGTGGGCTTGTGTATCGATACACAATGATACAAGTACATCTAAGGAGGGCACTAAAATGGTAAGAATTTGTTATAAAAAAATCATTCTAATGAATGTACAAAAACTCACAGGCCAATTTGTTTTTAATTGGCTTAAATTTATTCAATTAACTTTGATTGGGTGTCTTTTCATTCCCTTTAAAAAGATTAAGGATTAAATGTGTCTGCTTAACAAGACATGCGTCACATATTCATGGTTTGTATCTTGTATCACAGCCCACCTTACTATTGTGTCCGGGCCCACTTGTACAAAAAGCAGTCCTTATGCTAAGACCCTCTTAGTGAGTGAGTGAGTTGGGCTTAACACTGCTTTGAACAGTATTCCAGTTATATCAGTGAGTCAGCTTTATGTTGGAGGAAAGCCTAAGTGATGCAGGTCACAGACAATTATCACTTCGGTGCAACCCACAAGCACAGGTATAGTGCTGACAAACCTAACAACATTAACTTCTTTCATAGGCATTTAGAAGTTGAGTACTAAGTAAGGATAAGAATTTATGGATGAACAGCTTCTTAATTACAATTAAGAGCGATGGTTTCGGTGTAGGTTCTAACACTGTTATCAAGCAAGTGATATACAACACAAGGAGTGATTGACAAGTATATATATACAAGTAGGAGGCAATGTTTATAAAGTAGAGTAGACATCAGATGTAGTTAACAGGTTTCTCCACTCCAATATAACTACATCTGACATCTACTCTAGTGTATAAACATTGCCTCCTACCTGTATATATACTTGTCAACCATACTCTGTATATCGCTTGATAACGGTGTTAGAACCTACACCGAAACGTCGCTCTTAATTGTAAAAAAGAAGTTGTTTTTCCTTAAATTCTTATCCTTACCTAACAACATTATCAGGGAAAACCAGGATTTGAACCCACAAGGGAGGCAACTCTGCCCAGCGATTGCGGCACCATAAACAACTGGGCCCCCCATGCCCCAAACATCTTCATAACTCCCATACTGGAATATACACTTACAGTCTCAGCACCAAGATGGCTTTGTGCAAGCAGGCTCTGTATCGTATCACTAGGGTGCATCGTTAAGCCCTAGGTAATGATTCATGATTGGCTCCTATAGATCTGTTTGTTTCCAGTGTCCACAATGCATGTTGTTACCATGGCAATTACTGGTGTAGCCATTGTTGGATAAATATGATAACCAGTTATAGAGACCATAGAATAGTTTAGTTTCTGAGAACAATATAACATGTCAATACCTACAGATACCAAAGAAATGGAACAATTGGTTTCATCAAACAACTGTTGGAATGTTTAGTGTCTGGGAACTGATTTGGACACATCAACAATCGACAGTGAAGTCTCAATAATCCAGACGATATGGTCAACACAATATTGGCTTCCAAACAATTTCTTGATAGATCAAAGATGAATCGTGTGTTGTTATTCTTATTATACTGAACAGGAAAACAAATAAATTCTGTTTTCACAAATCTTCTCAAGTCAAGCATCCTTGACTAACAATGCCATTAAGCCATTATGATCAACTCATGCTATTGTTGTGGCAGTTGATTCTGAGCCAGGACTTCACTGGCCATTCTGACCATTATAACAAGAAAACCTGATGCAACGATAGCTCACTTTGCAAAATTACAGAGAAATCATAATTTATCAACCATAACATGTTTTAAGTCGCAGAAATCACTCAAATCCAAATTCCAGAAGTAGAATCATCAGATTCATATGATTTCCCCATTACGGAATAATGAGTCCTCACTGCCTGTCTACTGGTAATTCAGTTGAATTGAATTCAGTTCACTTCAGCTTGATTTCAAATTTTCTTATTCCAGTTCTTTAGACTCCATGATATAAAAACTAGGCTGTTCTCAGAAACTTAATTTAAGTCCAAATTTGAAAATGTTTTGGTCAGCAAATTACACAAAATAAGTAATTAAAAAGAAATGTCTGAGGAATGTTCCATAATTACAATCCTATGAGACAAAAATCATTTAATCATGTTCACCAGAAACAAACAAGTCTTGTATTTGAGCCTGACTATCTGATCACCAAAGAGTGCACATATCATATAAATATTCTGTAATACCGTGCTGAAATACATAACCATCCACTCCAAGGCATCACAGTGTTAGTGCTACACAATATAGGCTACATCAATGCACAGGCGCTTCTTCTGAAGTCCTTTACCCCGTTTATTTCGCTGGCATATTTGGGATCATCAACATTAATTTTAGCCAAGTCCTCGTCGATCTAAAATTGAAAATCCATTAGCTGTAGTGTGGCAAAATCAAAGCTGAAGCTCAAAACAACAAAAGAAACGTGAAGACGAAAACAGTGATTGAACAGAACATCATAAAACTGTGAACAAATAATCAACACAAGAATTTGTATAATACACAGGATATCACCATGGTTATGTTACCCCAAATTCTTCAAATATTAACTCACATAAAAAAACAAATAAACATGTATTGATATTTACCGTTAAAAATAATTACAAGTAAAAGTAAAAGATTCCTAAATATTTGCAAAAACAAATAATTTCTATATGATAACCTGGTTACCATGGTTACCATCATAAAGACAGAATTAAATCCCAAATAATTCTCACATGTCTGCCAATCTGAACAAATATTAACTTCGGGATACAAATTCACCAGATTCAACCAAATTGCTAAATGACGTCTGCTCTGTAGTTCAAATCCATGTATTGGTGACAGGCATCCTACCATGACGTGTTTGCTGGTCAGCAGGAAGTTGGGGATCATCGGCTCCATCGAATGCAGAAACTCCATCCCCCGAGCGATGTCGATTGCAAACCTCAAGGCCTGGTTCTGGTCCACCACAATTCCTGCAATCAGAGACCTGATAATGCAGAGACCTTTCTTGACATTTTCCTGAATTTACTAGCCGCCACGATTTCTGATATCTGAGCCTGTCATTCACATTGTTCTCTCTGTCATAATGCAGCACCTGACAATTTCCTGAATATTCAGCATTTTTCAGACCAGACCAATTACGTTTTTTGTTTGTGTAAAATATATTGTCATATTTGAAAAAGAAAAACAATGACATGCTGTGACATACACTTTTTCATAACATATTTGTTTTACTTTTCTGATATTTTGTCTTATGTTTTTTGTTAAACTTTGATTTCAATTGGATTACCTTGACTAGAATATGATCAGTCCATTGTGTCATTGGTGACTGGTGTTGGACTAGTGGACTAGTGGACTAGTATGTATTTACAGTGTGATATATACAGGTGTGAATTCTCATACTTGTACTTCTCTATACAGTATAGTGAGTGAGTGAGTTGGCTTAAATGCCGCTTTGAACAGTATTCCCGTTAAATCACAGCATGTCATTTTAATGTGGGAGGAAAGCCCTAAGTAATGCAAGTCTACCACCTTGGTGAAACCCACAAGCACAGGTATGGTGGTGACAAACCTAGAAACATAATCGGATGAACTGGGATTTAAACCTACAAATATCAGGTTTCTGGAGTGTGGGTCGCAACTCTGCACAGCAAACTGTGATGCCTTCGACGATTGGGCCACCCGTGTCCCCCCTCCATGCATAACCTGGGTGTATGGCCTACATTACGTCTGAAGACACTACCACAGTGCTGGTGAACTGACCTGACTCCCCGTGTAGTGTGTTGAAGAGAGACCCGAAGGGCATGAACTGGCTGATCACCACCAGGTTGGGGGGCTGGTTGCAACACGCCAGCACCGGCAGCACATTCGGGTTGTTGAAGATTCTGTAGAGAGGCAACAATTCGGACATGTTGATTTTTACAAAAGAAAAAATCCACACAGAACACAAAAATACCTTCAATGGTATTTCCTTTAGTGTGTCAATGCCATGGCAGTAAAAATGACAGGGTGCATAAATACCCACTTGTACGGAAAAGTTAGGAGCTTCAAGCTGATTGGCTGAATAGAAAGTTCACCTAACATGACCTCCCATGGCAATGCCGTCAGAGCTTCACCCAGAGAGGTATCAAATCAGAGTCAAAGATCTCATCTCAATGAGATTACAATATATCAACTGTACATTACAAATTCAGGAAGAGGCACTAAGTCAGTAATCAGTCACAGAAATATAGAAATGGTTAGGTTCCTACAGTACATGAATCTATAAATCCTTCAACTTTGACATAAGATGCATGACAGGGCCCCCTTCATTTCCATGCTTAATTACAAACATTGTGACTGTTGACATAAATGGAGTAAAATTGTGTTTCTTTACGGTAATAATTATTACATCTGCAAGATAAGGCTGAAAAACACCATGGCTGTCAGGCAATGCCTCTACCAAGTCAGTGCAGTTCTCTTTTGTCTATATGTGTCTTTGTGACAAAGTGCCACCCTGGCAGCAATGAATGCTGGGCAGTGGTCGACTGATGTGGGCAGTGCCCAAGACAAAGGATGAACCAGTTCAATAATTTTGTTTTCTTTGTTGTTTAACACCGCATTCAGCAATATTACAGCTATATGACAGCGTTCTGTAGATAATCGAGTCTGGACCAGACAATCCAGTGATTGATATCATGAGCATTGATCCACACAATTGGGTTACAATGACATATATCAACAAAGTCAGCAAGCCTGACCACCTGATCCCGTTAGTTGTCTCTTATGACAAGCAGAGTCGCCTTCACGGCAAGCATGGGCTGCTGAAGACCTATTCTACCCCGGATCTTCATGGGTCTAATAATTTTGTAGCCATCAAAATTGTCAGCGAAAGTTGTTGCCTCTGTTAACAGGTCAAGACTCACCTTAGGCGAGGGAATTCTTCCTGGAAGTCCCGTGAGTTTCTGAGAGTACACTCTACAATGTTGAGGATCTTGGCAACAATGTCGTTATCTTGCCATCTACCGCGCCATGTCTGGAGATAAACATCAAACATTAAACCTACTCTGCAAACAAATTTAAAATTTAAAGTCTGACAAACATTTAATGGACCAAATTATATATATTTATAAATATCCCATCACCACCACCCTCTTCCCAACAAATAATGTGAAATGGTCAGGCCCTAAATCAACACACAAAGAATATTCCAAGGGTTTGTATTCAAGAATACAACTGTTCAAAGCAGTGTTCCTCCCACAAAAAGCTGACATGTTGTGATATAACTGGAATACTGTTTTTGCAGTGTTAAACCCAACTGACTCACAATCCCAAAGACCGCCTGCGTGGTCTAGTGGTAGAGCGTCCGCCCAGAGAGTGGAAGGTCTGGGGTTCGTTCCCCAGCCTCATCACACCAAAAGATGTTAAAAGATGGTATTTGTCGTTACCCTGACTGGCGCTCGGCATTAAGGGGCTAAAACAAGGACTGGTCGGCTCGGATTCAGTATACTGTGAGGGGTATTCATGATAAACTGCAACATGGTATCTCAGTGAGCTAGCACTATATAATCAGCATTTCACCTATTTCACATCCTGACTTACCTCCCCTGAGTGAGTGGAGGCAACATGGCCGACCAGCTGTAACTGGGCAATGTCAATACCCGGGTGGCGGGACAGGAGGGCATCACCTGGGGATTGAGACGGTGCAGATCATTATCACATTCGGGTTGTTCAAACTGTACCAAACTCTCCAACAATAACAGCACAAAGTCATATACACTAAACAATGCAAAAACAGACTTGAACAAAATGACAAAAGTCCTGTTTCATTAAGCGATCTCAGTGCAAATGTGTTCGTAGCTCTCATACTATAACACATAGATTTACGAAAGTAGTAGCGCTAAAAACACATTGTAGAATGGGGCAATGTCCTATACTTTAACATTGATTTAGGATAGGGAAAGCCTAAAATTCAAGAAGTGTGTGCAAATGGTGTGGGAGTGAGAATTTATCAAACTGAGCTTCAAGCAACTTTTTTATTCCATGGCTTATGGACTTTCGCTAACCAAATACCCTGGGTCAGTTGAACCACAAATACAAACAACTCTGTAGCTCAGTAAATTTTATTTTATTACGCAAAAGTTGTTTTGGTCGGTCGGTATAGATTAGTCACAAAGATAAACATTAATAAGTTGGTAATCCATAAGACAGTGCACCTGCAATTATGAGTTTTATATATATCAATACCCTAAATTGGTACATTAAATGTTTCATACAAACATTATATTTTAGTGAATTTCTTCGTGATAATGCAAGCAGCTACTCACGACTTCTTGTCTTGTAGCCCAGCCAGCTCCTGTCCTTGAAGGGGATTTTACTCAGATCCTGGCCCAGTGCCAGGGCTCGATCTGGAGAATAAGGTTTCCAATAATGACCATGTTTTATTCATTTCTTGTATTGGCTGTAATTGTCTGTACGAGTTTGACTAGTGAGTGAGTGAGTATGGTTTTACGCAGCTTTTAGCAATATTCCAGCAATATCACGGCGGGGGACACCATAAATGGGCTTCACACATTGTACCCATGTCGGGAATCGAACCCTGGTCTTCGGCGTGACAAGCGAACGCTTTAACCACTAGGCTACCCGACCGCCCCAAGTTTGACTAAGACAAAGTGCTGGGGTAAGGGGTGCAAATACACACCTCTTTCAGCACAAATTCATTCAAATATTTAATCCATCTTGATTTGTCTTTGAATGAAGATCTACCGAAAAGGATTCAGGTCTTAGACGTTTACCACTTTGGTGGAACCCACAGGCACGGGTATGGTGCTGACAAACCAAGAAACATAATCAGGTCATGTTGATGAAGGAACCTGGATGTGCTGCACCAAATGCTTTGCTCCCTTGTACCAAGGTTAAAAGCAAAAGTAAAAGAACTTATCACTACTTGTTACACAATGTAGCTGTTTGACTGGCCAGTTACCATCTTGTAAAACCCCATATAGTGAGTGAGTGAGTGTGTTGGGTTTAACGCTGCTTTTAACAGTATTCCAGTTATATCGCGGCATGTCAGCTTAATGTGGGAGGAAAGCCTGAAATGATGCAGGTCTCAGACGTTTACCACTTCGGTGAAACCCACGAGCACGGGTATGGTGCTGACAAACCTAGAAACATAATCGACTTAGACGACTGGGCCACCCGTGCCCCCAAAACCCTATATAAGTCAGTTGGCCTGCCTGTTTGGGTATCATGACGTGAAAATGTTTGGTGTGACGTCACTTGTTTGTCACATTTGGCCCTGTTGGCACTTCAAGTTACCATGCTGAAAGTCTGATGGCAGTCACAAGATAGATCGTACTATCACACCAATAGTTCACCGAAAAACTCAGGATGTGTAATGATAAATGTGTAACACGTGTCCCCTTATTCTTGTGGTGTATCAGCCAATTCAGCATGTAAGGTCTTTATCATACCTCCATGTCAGAATGACGAGATCTGCTGGCCCACATCATCTTGATAAAATACTGTGTAAACCCGCCTTGGAGGGGAATAAATTTCTCAGTGGGGCAATAAATCTCTTATACCCTGCCATGAGCAATGCAGGCTGCACTGCATTTCTCAGAGGCAGAATAAATCCCTTATACCCCGCTTCCTGCATGCTTTCCCCCCCGAGTCAATGGAAGTTACATTACATAGCACAAGCTAACCTCAGCTGATTCGTACAGCTGTTTTCTATCAATTTTAAATTTGTGTTAATTCTTTTACAATGTCACATTAAAACATGACGGTAAGATAAATTAATTGTAGCAGGACGCCTTGCCTCAGGTCTCATAAATCCCCATGTACCCTTCGTGATCCTGCTACCACTTAGGCCAGGCGTTTTATATTTTTCAGATTACGGACCTGCCAACTCTAATTTTTGAGAAAATGTTAAAAAAAATCTTAAAAAAATAATCAGATTTCCATATTTTTTTTCCCACCAATGGCCACGTAGTCAGTTATTTTATTTGTTATCATCACCTTTTAACAAAAAACATACGAATTTACCGTTGTAAACTAGTAAAGAGATACATAATCAATCTTTGTTGATCTCTAGGCCGAACATGAATCATTGATGAATAACCTCCCTTGATAATTGTCCGTGTTGTAAGTGGTAGAATTTTTATTGCTTCAAGGGGCTTTATCGTCACAAACGGCAGTCTTTTGAGCACAGAATATGTTCATAAAGTATGCCAGAGGCATTCTGCATTTAAAAAAAATGCATCTGGCTTTTTTTTCCCTCCTCCAACCCTGGACTTGGGCTGAAAAATCTGTAATCCTAAAAATAAAAAAAGCCTGGCCTTATAGTATACCCATCTGGTGACACATGTAACATGATGATGGGGTTGCTTCAACAGTTCCTCCAAATAGATGGGAGGGGGCCTGGGCCTTAACCAGGGAAATGTCCCTACTGCTTGTTCTGTGTTATTCAGAAAACCTACCTTTCAGCATCTTTGTCAGAAATGGCTTTGCTTTATCGAGTGGGACTTCATCATATTTGTTGGCAATGCTGACCAGAGCTCCATTGTTGACAAGATCCTGACAGAGGAAAAGACATATTTGTTGGATACAGTTGCAACAGCTTACATAACACTTAGAGACGAACTTCAAAAGTACAAGGATTTTGGATTATTCATATGGTAAGTAGAGTCTTAGCACTGGGTTTTTAACATTAAAGTTTGGAAATTGCGTGCAGCATATCGTGGTTAATAGGAAGTCACTCTGTGGTAACACTTGACTGATTGATAGTTTTGTATTCAATTGGTACACATTGGAAACATCTCTTCTTCACGTAGATATGTCATAACATGTTTCTATGGTTCGCGTTTCTTTTGGCGGGGAGTATATATTATTCAGCAACATACTGTTACTGTTCTATAAAAGTTGTAATCAAGACCTGGGCCCACTTGCACAAAGCAATCTTAGCACTAAGATGATCTTAACTCCCATTCTTTAACACAGGCTTACGATAGTCTTAGCGCTAACATCGCTTTGTGGAAGTGGGCCCTGTTTTACTAACCTCAGCAATCTGGTCAAATCCCCAGAAGCAGGCATAATGCAGTGGTGTGTTGCCATGTTCATTGATGGCGTTGATGTTGGCTTTGTTGTGGAGGAGCTGAAACAACGAGTGAGTGAGTAACTTGGATGTCACTTTCAGTATTATTCCAGGTGAGGTGAAATGGGGCTTAATGTTGATTTCAACATGTTCACGATTTAATATCACCTTAATATAGTGATGTGCATGGAAGTGTGTCTGTGTGTATTGCTTCAGGTACTAGTCCGCACTAATGCCGATTTAACAGTTCTAGCCAAATGTTTGTTTGTTTATTTGTTGTTCAAGGCTGCACTCAGCAATTTTCCAGCTATACTACAGCAGTCTGTAAATAATCGAGTCTGGACCAGACAATCCAGTGATAGACGTCATGTGCAGCGATCTACGTAATTGGGATACAATAACATGCAACAACAAATTCAGCGAGCCTGACCACCCGATCCCGTTAGTCGCCTCTTACGACAGGCATAGTCGCCTTTTACGGCAAGCATGGGTTGCTGAAGACCTATTCTACCCCGGATCTTCACATGTTGGGTGAGATTTTCTAGGGCTTCAGCCCTGCCCCACACTGAAGCACATGTGACATGTGTCTCATTGGCAAAGGGACTTTGTTTGAAGAATACTTCTGCTCACCCAGCAGTGAATGGGTTACCGGTAGGATGAGATTTAAATGTGACTGCTCGACTTCTAGCGCCTCATAGGCAGCTTAGATTGTATATATTTTCCAGGGAGCTGAGAATGATTTTTGAGTGCACAAGGATCCATTGACTGAGGTAATGATAAGGTAGTGCCATGAGTATTCACTTGGGGACTGGATGACTGGTATTACACATTGGGTAATTACACAGTGTGCTGTTATTCTTCATGTGTTATAGTACACAAGAGACTGCCCCGTGGTCTAGTGGTAAAGCATCTGCCCCGAGAGCGGAGGGTTTGATCCCGGACGTGTCATACGAAAAAAATGTTAAGAGAAGGTACTTGTTGTAACCCTATCTGGCGCTTGACATTAAGGGGCTAAAACAAGGACTGGTCGGCTCGGAGTCAGTATACTGTGTCTAAGTGGGGTATTTATGTTAAACTGTGTCATGGTATCTCAGTGGACTAGGACTATAAAATCAGCATTTGTCCAAACACACACACACACACAAAGCAATAATCTTGACCCCATTTCACCTCACTTTGTACGCAAATACCTTAATGAGTGAGTGACTGAGTATGGTTTGACGCTGCTTTTAGCAATATCCCAGCAATATCATGGCTGGGGACAACAGAAATGTGCTTCATACATTGTACCCATGTCGGGAATCGAACCCGGTTCTTCGGCGTGACGAGCGAACGTTTTAACCACTAGGCTACCTGACCGCCCCACAAGTACCTTAAAATTAATAGGGTAAAGGTGATGTATTTTGCGTATTTACACAAATATGCATCTTATCTGGACCTCTGTAGTGATACTCAGATGTCTGGTCATTATCTCCCTTGCTCACCATAACGACGACATCCCGGTGTCCGTGTCCAGCTGCCAGATGCAGCGCTGTGTCGTCGCCCATGTTGGTGGCGTTGATCCTGGCACCTCGCTGTATCAGCATGTCGACTATGTTGGTACGTCCCTCTCGTGCTGCCCAGTGCAACAAACTGAACCGATGGTCATCTCTGAAACGTTATACATCAAAATTAGCAAAGGACATCAACACTAGTTCGCTAAAACATTGAAAATCAAGGCTGCTGTTTGGATCATCTCAAGCGATCGATTTTCAAAACTGATCAGTTGGCGTAACTTGGCTGTTGTTCAGTGATAACATCGTCAAATTAGATCGCACGTAAAAACAAAAAAAAACACCGATTTCACTGGTTTTCACTTTTTTCTCCCCTTTCTACGTTGTAAGTAGTGAATAAAACTATTGTGTTTGATTCTTTGGTTGTTTGGGCCTTCCGATCAATCATTGATTATTTCATCGGAACACCACTAATCATCATCAAGGCAGAAGCTAATCTCTTCAGTCATAATGATGAAGATTCCAGGGTAGAATAGGTCTTCAGCAACCCATACTTGCCGTAAAAGGCGACTATGCTTGTCGTAAAAGGCGACTAATGGGATCGGGTGGTCAGGATCGCTGACTTGGTTGATACATGTCATCGATCCCAATTGAGTTGATCAATGCTCATGATGTCAATTACTGGATTGTCTGGTCCATACTTGATTTTTCTACAGACCGCCGACATATAGCTGGAATATTGCTGAGTGCGGCATTAAATACCAAACAAACAAACAAACAAACATAATGATGTGCTTCTATATCAGAGTACACCATCAGTTTGATCAAAATAATGGACTTCATGGAATGAAGCCAAAACGTTGATAAGTTCACTTTCATCATCATCTCGTCTCATTTGTTCTGTATTGTGCTGTTTTGAAATATTTTATCATTCGGGTTGTATCGATTCATGCTTAAATTCTGTATGATCACTTTTCAGCAAGTAATATTCACTATGTCTTGTGATAATTGAGCCTAATAACTACGTGGGCTAGCCTTACCTTACCATGCATCACTATACAAAATGTTGAATCTGATCACATGGCCAGCCATTGAAGCTAGGCAACAACCTCTATTTAGTTGGTCCACACGGAATACAGATAATTTCATAGAAAAATGGCACCAAATTGAGTCCCGCAATACTTATATCTGACTCAAGTATCGCAATATGTATCGATACATGAGGTGAGCATATCACGATACCTGTCGTGACTTCAACCCCGACCTAGTACCACTACCAGTTTGTTCGATGGTTCCAGTATGAAATGATAAGAATTACTGTGTCATCAATAGAGCACAGAGCTGGATAACAAGCTGTGTTTGCCCACTTGGTTTTCTCATTGAGATTGAATGGGCGGTCGGGTAGCCTAGTGGTTAAAGCATTCGTTCGTCACGCTGAAGACCCGGGTTCGATTCCCGACATGGGTACAATGTGTGAAGCCCATTTCTGGTGTACCCCGCCGTGATATTGCTGGAATATTGCTAAAAGCGGCGTAAAACCATACTCACTCACTCACTCATTGAGATTGATAATCCCTTCTCTGCTTCTGAATCCCCAGAATTATCTTATCAAACCAAATATTTTGCGTTAGGCATGTCCAAGACGTCCACACGTTAATCTCTATTGTTATTACTCTGGTTCATTTGTTCAAAAGTACTGACTTCATATCATAAACATCATCTCAAGGTGTTTGTTTTTTAAAAATGAGTATGATTTCTTAGTGCGTCCTTTTGGCAATGGCATCTTACTTTAACTGTGCCAATGACATTCTTCATACAATGAATGCTGGAATTTCGAACCCTGCAGCCATACACATTTGTCTCCCTGGATGTGACAGTGAACATCATTGTGTCCATTCTCCATTTTTATTAGTACAGGACACACTATTTTGCATCTGGTAGAACCCTTATCATGTCAACAAATCTCTGAACTGTGTACGACTGCATCATATTTGAGGTTTTGTATATCCCCACTAGGGTTGGGGTGAGTCCAAATTTACTACCCGGATACCTAACCCCGGGGCCCCTATTACCCAACCCTACCCAGGTACCTGCTGTAGGTCTCGGGAGATAGGTAAAACATGTCTGATTCGAAATAGTTTGACCGCTACTCCTGTCAAAATAAATTTAGATACACGTATAAACAGATCTGGTCATGCATACACTGAAGTTGACTGGGTTTTTTTTATCATTATGAAAACACATAAAGTCAGAAGGAATGTGTGCAAAGTCAGAAAGAAACGTGAACACTTATGACTTATAGTGAAACCATAGAGTTCAAGATAATTTTAGCCATTAAACAATATAATCATGTGACTAACCACGGGTCCGGGTAGTCCTGTGGGTACCCAGGTCCTACTCAGTACCCACCCGACCTGGGTACCTGAGTTACCTGTCCCAGCCCTAATCCCACCTAACATGTTTTCAAGCCTCACCTCTTTTCGAACCCCTTAACAATACGTAACCATGTGCTTAATGACGTAATCAAGGTAGACGTTCACAGCTCACTTAAGACACCAAAGTGTTCGCAACTTGTCGCTGAAGTTAGGTTACAAATTAAGCTCAACGAGGTAAGATATTCAATAAGTAATGGAAACATACCTCAAAGCTTACTATTTCACTGATGCACATTTTAATCAAACTTGATCTGATGATAATTTTGCACCACAACAATTGTATGCACCGATGATATATCTGCTGCTATTTGTAAACTTCCTGTCTGTCATGTCATGTGACTGAACATGTTGTGCATCTATTTTTAACTTGAATGTCATGGAGGGGCTCGAAATAAGGTGACGGTAACATGATTGACTCGTCTTGTCTGGAAAGACATTTTCACGATTAAATTGACAAGATGTGGTCATTTCACTATCCAATAGTAACAGAATAAATGTTCTCAAAGGTAAGACTTAATTTTTGTGTATTGCGATTGTTACTAGATACGTAATGAGAAATACTTCTTAGGGCCTCGAAAACACAGTACGCGGGTGAGTGAATCTGTCAAAACCTTACTCATCTGGATCTTTGTTCATACTGGGCCAAATTTATGTTTAGAAATTTACTACATAAATTTTTCATGAAATAAAATGTGTCTAATCTGTGCTTCCTTTACTCTGTATTTCGGGCTGAAACTGTGCTTGTAATATGCTGCTCCCTAATACAGATTTACCTTTCAAACATCCGGTAACATGACTAATCGAGCTAGTTAAATTCTTATCCTCATTTAAACATGAATATTTCTGGAAAATAAATAAATAATAAAATGAAAAAGTAAGCCATTCACCTATGGCAGTAACACCAGATATAATAAAGATGAGAGTTTCTGTGAGAATCTAAAGTACACATGTTCAGCATCACATATGTGTATGTGTTCAGTGTGAAAGTTATATGCCAGAAGTACATATAGTTATGTTTATTTATATTTCCCCCACACCCCTGTATCAACAACCTGCTCCATCCCGTTAAAGGATCAGTAAGTCAATGAGTAACAGGGATGGACTCCTGCCTCTATCTCCTTTTTGGTTGCAACAGCTGAGCCAATCAGAATCCGTTTTTAGCACATTTCAACAACTTGATGCTATAAATAGAACAGGTGCTCTACTTCTATTTAATAAAACAGACCATTAACAATGTTTGATATTGATTATATGTGCCAGTTGCTGCACTGGCGCTTACGGGTGTAACAAATTGTTATAATGTACATGAATTCATTACAACGACAAACACTTTATCATTATGATTCATGGAACTGTGTGTGTTATTATAAGACCAAACCTTACCCTTGGTTCAGATCGTTCTCGGTGTTATCCAGCCATACTCGTACATGGAAGGCATTGCCTTCTCGCACTTGCGTGAAAATATCATCCATGATTGCTTGTTGAGGTAAATAAAGTTTCCGAAATAAATAACACCAAAGCTTGACCTCCTTGGAAACTTGGAAGCGGTTTCCGGAGTAAGCGGGAGTATCCTCACTGTCGGTGTAAGTATGAGGTCTTATTTAAGCTCACACGGATACCAGCTTGTAAATCCTTCACTGGGGTGATATTTTACGTTTCCAAATTATCCATGGCTTTTGTAGATCGCAAGAAACTCGAAATCATCAAATTGTTGACATTCTTTCAAGCTTGAGGGCTTTCCGATAGTAATGTGTGCAAAAATGGATAATCGAGTGTAATAAAGCGTTTACTTGGTTTCGTCAAAATGGGTTATCGGGTCTATGATTGACATGGCGAAGTTGTACTTCCGTTTTTATGTAGGTGAGAGTTGTAATCCGGAATGAGATCAACAACTCGAATAAGTCGTGTTTCGATTTTCGCGCTTTTTGTTATACATAAGGGAGGCAATCGGTGTGTAATTTAATATCGTAAACACTGAAACGTGCAAATGTGAAAACATGTGCTTGTAAATATAACGGTACGTTTGGGTAGAATCTAGTCAGTTATTACATGCAGGATGCTTTTGATGTTTTGTTTGGGGACCACACGGTCACATGTATTTTTCAGTTTCGTTGTTCATTTTCTTTTGACTTCTATTCAATTCATTCTATAAGTTTACGTCACACGTACCTGATTCTATCAATATTGTTGGACGTACTTTTATAATTTCCAATTGATTTAGGCATAAGGGACAACAGCAAGTTAACATGACAAAGTAGACACAATTTATGAATAAAGAAGTTGTTGTCCATAAATTTTGTCTTCTTTGATATCCGTCAACTTCTAAGCAATGCCATGGACACATAATACGATATTTAGGGTTCATGGTAATGCATATCAAACAATTCAAACGTTAACATGTTTAAGATCTGTTTAATGGCAGATATCCCATACTACCGGCTTTCTCAGAAAGCTGCTTAAGCAGAGTTTGTGCATGGAGCATCCATGACGACTATGTTTCATATTGTATTGAGATTTTGTGTGTACAGTGATTGAGTTTGATCAAACTTTCTAGTACTGCCAATCCTGATCTATGTCCTCCTTGAAAAAAGCCTGAAATTTGTCAGGCTACCCGTTTTCAGGCCTTATTTTAATATTATTTGTATTCTTTCTTGAAAATTTGATCAGTTATGTCGTGAATTTGGCCAGTGTGGTTAACCCTGCTGTTAAATAGAAGTTACATTCATGGTTTCTATATTAATGGTTGATAACATCATCAAAAGATTTGTCTATAACTCAGAAGAATGTTGTGTTGACTGACATGTTTTTGTTGTGTATTTGAATGTACAAATAGAGCCATTCTTGGGCCTTACTTTTTACCCTTGAAAATTTAGATTTTTGCCTCTATGGGACCTTTGAAAGGCTTTAAAGGGACAGGGTGTTGACCATTCTGCGGTTGAAGGCTTATCGCATGACCAGACTTTTCTCTTGTTTGTAAACAAATGCACATACACTGAGATAAGTACAGACTGGCCAAATACAAGCCTTTCGATGCAATTTACATATTGTTTTGTATTACTATGTAGACATACCACTGCAACTGCGACAGTGAGGTGAATGACAATAAAGCTTTCCACATCAAAGTAACCATATCGCTAGCACTCCGTGGGGCTTGGATGAAAACAGGTGGAGGATAAGTACACAAATGGAAATAGTTTTCACATTTTAGGATATTTTCTAAATGAAAGTTATGTATGCAAGGTTTGTACAGGCTTGAAAAGCCTTGATTTTTAGTGTCAACCTTGAAAAGCCTTCTAAATCACCCAAATAGCTTTAAAAGTCTTGAATTTGTACAACGTATGCAAAATAACATATCCTAGTTAATAAAAGTATTAAAACACACAAAACTAACAGTTATGTACCATGGATGTTTAAGTGTGATTTGTCATTGTGTTAGATTTGCCAAACACCTTGAAGGTTTCATGACAGACTTATAAGTTTTATTTTTTGATGGTGAAAATCAATCTTCTTTGAACATGATCAATATATAGTATGCTGGATTTAAACAAATATTGACAGGCTAAGGCTTATAGCCCAACTTAAAAAGCCTTGAAAATTACAGTTCAAAGCCTAGAAAAAGCCTTGAATTTCTGAATTTCATTCCATATCTGAATGAACCTTGGTTCATCTAAATATTTGGGCTCGTCCAAAATGAAACAGATGAAAACACATATATATGGACAGCGTGAGATGTGACAGAGGTTCTCAGGTGGCTGCATGAAAATTATTTCATGCATGATTTAGAAACACACAGAACCGTGAAAGCAATGTCCCTTTAAGTTTGGTGGATCAAGTGTTGTGTGAACCATAGTTATGATACAGTTGTATCTGTCTGGGGCTGAGTGATGTTTGATTAGGACAGTGGTTCAGATTTTAGCAGGAGTTGCTTCCCTTGCTGTCACAAGATTGAGTGAGGGAGTTGGGCTTAATGCCGCTTTTAACAGTATTCCAGTTATATTACGTTGGTCAGCTTAATGTGGGAGGAAAGCCCGAAGTGATGCAGGTCTTATGGGTTTACTTCAGTGAAACCCACGAGCACGGGTATGGTGATGACAAACGGTGAAACATATTCGGGGTGAACCGGGATTGGAACCCACAACCATAGGTTTCTGGCATGCCAAGGGACGCGTCTCTGCACAGCGAAATGCGGTGGCCTAGACAACTGGGCCACCTGTGCCCCTCTGTCACAAGACCACAGACAATATTTAAAATTACACCATGTATACAAGAATCTGTTCCCTGTTTCTACCATGTCTACAATGTTTGTAATTAATTGAAAGAAGAAGAAATATCCTAACAACAATATACAAATCTTTGATAAAAATGGCAATCTATATTTTTAATTCATGTTTTGTGAATAAACATAAACTTTGAGAGAGTGTCTTAGTTGCAGGCAAGGAGTTAGTCCAGATAAGAGAGGATCCATAAGTTGGTCCTTTGTCACACAGTTTCCAGTTCAGAATACAGACTGAAGGAAGTTTGGGTTAGACAGGTTTTACTTTATGATAAATAAACACAGTGCCAGTAAATAGGAGACCATACATTTGGTCCTGTATTGACTGTTTGTTGACAGAGGTTTGGAAGGGTCTAGTTTTGTTGACAGAGATCCGATATGGTCTGATTTTAACTGATTCCACTGTAGTCATGCTGGCTGTTTACTTCTGCAGGTGGGCGGAGGGGTAGCCTAGTGGTTAAAGCTTTCATTTGTCATGCCAAAGACCCAGGTTCAATTCCCCACATGGGCACAATGTGTAAAGTCCGTTTCTGGTGTTCCCTGTCGTGATATTGCTGGGATATTGCCCAAAGCAGCTTAAATCTGTACTCACTCACTCACTCACTTCGGCAGCTCACTCACTCACTCACTTCTGCAGGTCTGGCAACTGATCCATGCTGACAGAGCTGAGTACAGGACAGAGTACAGCGATGTTTGACAACGAGGACTGGAATGTGGATGGCGAGGCGGCCCATCTTGCTTCTTCTCTGTTTGACCCTGTCACACCAACTCCTCCCAGAAATAAGGTCAGTAATGTCAGGACAAATTCTTTTGCCATAGGCAATTTACTGCCCACTTAAGTCCACTTATACAACATCAATGCTACTTGTTAAGGTCTTTCTGGATGTATGAAATATTATTAATTTACGTATCACAAACTGTGACTTCAGTACTTCAGATTAAACAATAGGTAGTGGGGTAGCCTAGTGGTTAATGTATTCACTAGTCATGCCTGGGTACAATTCCCTGCATGGGTACATGGCTGGAAGGCCTCACTCACTCACTCACTCACTCACTCACTCACTCACTCACTCACTCACTCACTCACTCACTCACTCACTCACTCACTCACTCACTCACTCTCTCACTCACTCACTCACTCACTCACTCACTCACTCACTCACTCACTCACTCACTCACTCACTCACTCACTCACTCACTCACTCACTCACTCACTCACTCACTCACTCAGAAAAAAAGTTAAAAACGGCGTAAACCAAACTCACTCTCTGTGTGATTGGTCCAATGCTAGAATATTGCTGAGTACCGGTACAGTCTGTCACAGCAAACAAACAATTCTGAGCAAAAGGGATCCCATGGCTGTATACAGTCAAGTCTTGTTAATCCGACAGTCGGCTTTATCCGACACAAATGATGGGAACCGATTTAATCAGTGCTATTTAGACCCGTTAATCCGACAGTCTCGCACTCTGACTCCGACACACCTAATTTGCAACGAATTGCTGAAAATCAGTCTCATTAATCCAACACAGTGATCAGCGTACTCCATGGTTCGCCCGTGAGTACACAGCCCCGTGTTTTGATGCGAGACGAGTCGGCGAGTAGCTGCATATTCTTTTCCAACGTGTTCGTATCGTTTTCTATCGTGTAGTCAAATTTTCGATCATGAACGTTTCTACTACCTAATTTCATTTATCCGACATACTCGTTAATCCGACATAATCATATGCAACCAACAATGTCGGATTAACGGGACTTGACTGTATATATTTTATGCCTGGCTTATCATTTTTACTGTTAATAGGTCCAGAATTCACTAAAATCTGCTCTGAAAAAACATATCTGATTACACTTGTATTTTCAGAAAAAGAAGTCGAAGCATTCTGATCCAAACTTGACAAACACCAGTGACACAAAGTCTCCTGCGAAGAGAAAACATGCTGACGAAACCAGTCCTACTCCGAAGAAGAAAAAGAAAAACAAGGACAGTGAGGAGAGAAATACAAACGTTACACCAGTAGTAGCAAAATCTGGAAAACAAAACCTTCACAAGGACAGTGATTCAGTGAGCAAGAAGAAGAAGAAAATGTCGGTATCTCCAGAAAGTGCTGGGGATATCAGCAGCGAGGGAAAAGTTAAAAAGAAAAAGAAGAAAAAGAAACAAATTGTGTCTCATTCACAAGAAAATGTTGCAAAACCTGATCAGTCTGAAAATTCCCAAGGTGACAAGAAAAAGAAATTAAAAAGGAAAAAAATAAGTGGAGAAAAAGACAAAGATGATGAGTCAGCATCTAAGAAGCTGAACGTTCAAGAAACCCAGGGACGGGATGAAAGTAGAGTTGAGGGTGATACCCCTCTGACTAGGAAGGAAAGAAGACACAAGCATAAGAAGAAGACATGTAAGAAGAACAAATATAAACATCTAGCTGATGCTAGTAAAATATCGGACAGCACTGATGGGAGCACAAGCAGTGTGGCTGTAGCTTCAAACCCAGATGTGAAAGGCCAATTTGTTTTGTTAAAGAAAAACACGGATGATAGTGGCGAAACTAAGCCAGGACAATCTTTAGATAGAAAGAAGAAAAAGAAACGCAAGAAGAATTTAGTGGTTTCTGATCATCCAAGTCCACAGGTGAAAAATAACAAAGTGAATATGAATGTCTCTACACTTAGTGAAAATAGAACTGATGAGAATTCAGAAGATAATGTTTTTGAAAAAAGTGCTGGTGGAAAGAAGCGGAAAAAAAAGTCAAAACCTGAGAGTGATGTTTCTGGGAATGTGACGAAGTTGAAGACTCCCAAGAAACACAGTTTCGATTTGGAGAAATTGAAAGAAATCATTTCCTCTGATAAGAAACAGTATGTGAAGAAATTAACTTCTGGTAATGGACAAAAAGAAAAGAGAAAATCAGTGGAGGTTACAGAAACACCTAAGAAGGTGATTAAAAAGAAAGGTTTTACAAACGGTACTTCAACTGATACTAGTGACACCTCAAGCAGTCCCACGAAAATAAAAACTCCCCCAAAAGAAAATTTCGATGTGAAGAAATTGAAAGAAATTATGTCCTCTGAGAAGAAAAAGATGGACACTCTGAAGCAGGATCTCGAGAAGAAAGTGAATAGGAGAGGCAGGAACCAAGGGAAGTCTTTAACAGACAGGATGCATGAACGCCTGTCCGCTGCGCGCTTCCGCTATCTCAATGAGCAGATGTACACCACAACGGGCACCGAGGCGGCGCAGCTGTTTGCTGATGATGAGGAGGCCTTCCATGTATATCACGAAGGTTATAGGTCACAGGTCAGCAAGTGGCCAATTGATCCACTGGACATCATCATCAACGAGATCAACGCCAGGCATAAGTAAGGTCACACATCTTTTTGTTTTTTGTTTTCTAATACGCCACTTAAAATATTCTAGCAATAAGGGGCTACAATTCTGTGTGCAGAGTTGCCTACCTTGGGCATGCCAGAGACCTATGATCATGAGTTCGAGTCCTGGTTTGTCAGCACCAAACCCACTAATGGGTTTCACTGAAATGGTAAACGTCTGAGACATGCATCCCTTCTCAGGTCTTCCCACATCAAGCTGTCACACCTTGATATAATAATAACCGGAATAATGTTCAAAACGGTGTTAAACCAAACGTATTAGCTCACTCTAGGAGTATGGCGACAGGTTGTATATGAATTGAGTCTGGACCAGGGAATCCAGTGATTGATGTGTGCGGCGTTTCAGATTATCAGGGAGTGATGACACGCAATCAACTAAATCACTGAGGAAGATCATCGATCAATTTAGTTGCCTGTTCCAACAAGGATAGGTTGCTAGGGACCAATTCTAACCAGGATTCCCCTTTGAGGACATCGTTTGTTTTGTTTAAAGGTTTACAGATCCATTGATATTGCTCTGTATGGCGTTAAACAACAAACAAACAGATTTGTTACTTGCATGCCAAGATAATAATGGATGGTATTTATTTAACATTGAGTTATTGCCTTGGCTGGTTCAATTGAGGAAAAGTGATGCTGTCATTAAAGCTGCAGAATGTTTACTAGTGTTACAGTATCAAGGACATGTATTTACTTTTTAAAGTACCTGTGAAGAAAAATGTTATTTTGAATATTATTTATTCAAAATATTTAAAATATTCGAACATTTCTTTGATCTGTGAACAATTACACATAAACACATATTTATCATCATGATCATAAATATTCAACAAATCAAGTATTTTAAGTAATAGAAACTAACAAGTTTGAACAAACTGATAAATGATAAATTCCCAATTGCTAATTGTAAGTCTAAGACAAGCGAGACAACCATAGATAGTATGCTTATGAACATGATAATGTTGGACTGTATTTTTTCAGAACCCCAAAGACTGTCATTGCAGATTTAGGATGTGGAAGTGCAAGACTGGCTCAAAGTATCTCTGGGGTCAAAGTTCATTCGTTTGACCTTGTCTCAGTCAATGAAAGAGTCACTGCATGTGATATGTCAAAGGTAAGTGGTTTATATCAACACATTTGGTATGTTGTATATGCAGGTGCCCCGCGATGCCGGTTGTGTGGATGTATATGCAGGTGCCCCCAGATGCCAGGTGTGTGGATGTATATGCAGGTGTCCCCAGATGCCAGGTGTGTGGATGTATATGCAGGTGTCCCTAGATGCCAGGTGTGTGGATGTATATGCAGTTGTCCCTAGATGCCGGTTGTGTGGATGTATATGCAGGTGCCCCTAGATGCCGGGTGTGTGGATGTATATGCAGGTGCCCCCAGATGCTGTGTGTGTGGATGTATATGCAGGTGCCCCTAGATGCCGTGTGTGTGGATGTATATGCAGGTGCCCCTAGATTCTGTGTGTGTGGATGTATATGCAGGTGCCCCTAGATGTCAGGTGTGTGGATGTATATGCAGGTGCCCCTAGATTCTGTGTGTGTGGATGTATATGCAGGTGCCCCTAGATGCCAGGTGTGTGGATGTATATGCAGGTGCCCCTAGATGCCAGGTGTGTGGATGTATATGCAGGTGCCCACAGATGCCAGGTGTGTGGATGTATATGCAGGTGCCCACAGATGCCAGGTGTGTGGATGTATATGCAGGTATACCTAGATGCCGGGTGTGTGGATGTTCAGCAGGTGTCCCTAGATGCCGGGTGTGTGGTTGTATATGCAGGTGTCCCTAGATGCCAGGTGTGTGGATGTATATGCAGGTATCCCTAGATGCCGGGTGTGTGGATGTATATGCAGGTGCCCCTAGATGCCGGGTGTGTGGATGTATATGCAGGTATCCCTAGATGCCGGGTGTGTGGATGTATATGCAGGTGCCCCTAGATGCCAGGTGTGTGGATGTATATGCAGGTGACCCTAGATGCTGTGTGTGTGGTTGTATATGCAGGTGCCCCTAGATGCCGGGTGTGTGGATGTTTATGCAGGTGTCCCTAGATGCTGTGTGTGTGGTTGTATATGCAGGTGTCCCTAGATGCCAGGTGTGTGGATGTATATGCAGGTATCCCTAGATGCTGGGTGTGTGGATGTATATGCAGGTGTCCCTAGATGCCGGGTGTGTGGTTGTATATGCAGGTATCCCTAGATGCCGGGTGTGTGGATGTATATGCAGGTGCCCCTAGATGCCGGGTGTGTGGTTGTATATGCAGGTGTCCCTAGATGCCAGGTGTGTGGATGTATATGCAGGTGTCCCTAGAAGCCAGTCATATGGATGTATATGCAGGTGCCCCTGGATGCCGGGTGTGTGGATGTATATGCAGGTGTCCCTAGATGCCAGGTGTGTGGATGTATATGCAGGTGCCCCTAGATGCCGTGTGTGTGGTTGTATATGCAGGTGTCCCTAGATACCAGGTGTGTGGATGTATATGCAGGTGTCCCTAGAAGCCAGTCATATGGATGTATATGCAGGTGCCCCTGGATGCCGGGTGTGTGGATGTATATGCAGGTGTCCCTAGATGCCAGGTGTGTGGATGTATATGCAGGTATCCCTAGATGCCGGGTGTGTGGATGTATATGCAGGTGTCCCTAGATGCAGGGTGTGTGGTTGTATATGCAGGTATCCCTAGATGCCGGGTGTGTGGATGTATATGCAGGTGCCCCTAGATGCCGGGTGTGTGGTTGTATATGCAGGTGTCCCTAGATGCCAGGTGTGTGGATGTATATGCAGGTGTCCCTAGAAGCCAGGCATATGGATGTATATGCAGGTGCCCCTGGATGCCGGGTGTGTGGATGTATATGCAGGTGTCCCTAGAAGCCAGGCATATGGATGTATATGCAGGTGCCCCTGGATGCCGGGTGTGTGGATGTAGCTGTGTTCTGTCAGTCACTGATGGTTCTAACTATGTTGTATATGCAGGTGCCCCTAGATGCCGGGTGTGTGGATGTAGCTGTGTTCTGTCAGTCACTGATGGTTCTAACTATGTTGTATATGCAGGTGCCCCTAGATGCTGGGTGTGTGGATGTAGCTGTGTTCTGACTATCAGTGACTGGTTCTAACTATGTTGTATATGCAGGTGCCCCTAGATGCCGGGTGTGTGGATGTAGCTGTGTTCTGTCAGTCACTGATGGTTCTATCTATGTTGTATATGCAGGTGCCCCTAGATGCCGGGTGTGTGGATGTAGCTGTGTTCTGTCTGTCACTGATGGTTCTATCTATGTTGTATATGCAGGTGCCCCTAGATGCCGGGTGTGTGGATGTAGCTGTGTTCTGTCAGTCACTGATGGTTCTATCTATGTTGTATATGCAGGTGCCCCTAGATGCCGGGTGTGTGGATGTAGCTGTGTTCTGTCAGTCACTGATGGTTCTAACTATGTTGTATATGCAGGTGCCCCTAGATGCCGGGTGTGTGGATGTAGCTGTGTTCTGTCTGTCACTGATGGTTCTAACTATGTTGTATCTGCAGGTGCCCCTAGATGCCGGGTGTGTGGATGTAGCTGTGTTCTGTCTGTCACTGATGGTTCTAACTATGTTGTATATGCAGGTGCCCCTAGATGCCGGGTGTGTGGATGTAGCTGTGTTCTGTCAGTCACTGATGGTTCCAACTATGTTGTATATGCAGGTGCCCCTAGATGCCGGGTGTGTGGATGTAGCTGTGTTCTGTCTGTCACTGATGGTTCTAACTATGTTGTATATGCAGGTGCCCCTAGATGCCGGGTGTGTGGATGTAGCTGTGTTCTGTCTGTCACTGATGGTTCTAACTATGTTGTATATGCAGGTGCCCCTAGATGCCGGGTGTGTGGATGTAGCTGTGTTCTGTCTGTCACTGATGGTTCTAACTATGTTGTATATGCAGGTGCCCCTAGATGCCGGGTGTGTGGATGTAGCTGTGTTCTGTCAGTCACTGATGGTTCTAACTATGTTGTATATGCAGGTGCCCCTAGATGCCGGGTGTGTGGATGTAGCTGTGTTCTGTCAGTCACTGATGGTTCTAACTATGTTGTATATGCAGGTGCCCCTAGATGCCGGGTGTGTGGATGTAGCTGTGTTCTGTCTGTCACTGATGGTTCTAACTATGTTGTATATGCAGGTGCCCCTAGATGCCGGGTGTGTGGATGTAGCTGTGTTCTGTCAGTCACTGATGGTTCTAACTATGTTGTATATGCAGGTGCCCCTAGATGCCGGGTGTGTGGATGTAGCTGTGTTCTGTCAGTCACTGATGGTTCTAACTATGTTGTATATGCAGGTGCCCCTAGATGCCGGGTGTGTGGATGTAGCTGTGTTCTGTCTGTCACTGATGGTTCTAACTATGTTGTATATGCAGGTGCCCCTAGATGCCGGGTGTGTGGATGTAGCTGTGTTCTGTCAGTCACTGATGGTTCTAACTATGTTGTATATGCAGGTGCCCCTAGATGCCGGGTGTGTGGATGTAGCTGTGTTCTGTCTGTCACTGATGGTTCTAACTATGTTGTATATGCAGGTGCCCCTAGATGCCGGGTGTGTGGATGTAGCTGTGTTCTGTCAGTCACTGATGGTTCTAACTATGTTGTATATGCAGGTGCCCCTAGATGCCGGGTGTGTGGATGTAGCTGTGTTCTGTCAGTCACTGATGGTTCTAACTATGTTGTATATGCAGGTGCCCCTAGATGCCGGGTGTGTGGATGTAGCTGTGTTCTGTCTGTCACTGATGGTTCTAACTATGTTGTATATGCAGGTGCCCCTAGATGCCGGGTGTGTGGATGTAGCTGTGTTCTGTCTGTCACTGATGGTTCTAACTATGTTGTATATGCAGGTGCCCCTAGATGCCGGGTGTGTGGATGTAGCTGTGTTCTGTCAGTCACTGATGGTTCTAACTATGTTGTATATGCAGGTGCCCCTAGATGCCGGGTGTGTGGATGTAGCTGTGTTCTGTCAGTCACTGATGGTTCTAACTATGTTGTATATGCAGGTGCCCCTAGATGCCGGGTGTGTGGATGTAGCTGTGTTCTGTCAGTCACTGATGGTTCTAACTATGTTGTATATGCAGGTGCCCCTAGATGCCGGGTGTGTCGATGTAGCTGTGTTCTGTCTGTCACTGATGGGTCTAACTATGTTGTATATGCAGGTGCCCCTAGATGCCGGGTGTGTGGATGTAGCTGTGTTCTGTCAGTCACTGATGGTTCTAACTATGTTGTATATGCAGGTGCCCCTAGATGCCGGGTGTGTGGATGTAGCTGTGTTCTGTCTGTCACTGATGGGCACAAATCTTGTAGACTACCTTCTGGAAGCAAACAGGATTCTCAAAAAAGGGTAAGGCTTTTACCTTAATCAGTCAGAGATGAAAGAAAGTTAAACAATAATAAACATATTTGCAGTTATGTTCCATTTTGATTTGGATAATATCATAACTGAAAGCTCATCTATTGTTTCATCTTTTCAAGAAGTGTTGCTTTAAAACTGACAACTCTATCATTGGTTATACAACACAGTGACATTTTGTTTTTGTGAATAGTCTACGCCTTGTGGAGATAGGTCTCACTGCCCACTGCTTGTTGGAAGACTAATGAGGATTGGGTGGGTACAAGGTGTCACCTGACCTGAAGGGGTCGTTGTCGGCTCAGGTACTACAGAAATGTACCCTAGGTTGAGTCCATTCCGCCGCAGGGCGCAATGCTTGTAACCGGTTCTTTAGGTATTTGTCACTTCCTGTATGCCAAACCGCGGTTACATTTAACGTGGCAGTATGCGTTCGTCAGGGGAAACCTTTGAATTATCTTCTTAAGCTGCATTCCAGCGTATCATATAGGAAACAATCATACACAGTGACGTATGTACATTAAGGTAATATTCTGGCAATATCCGCGATGCACGCATACATTCGTAATGATACTAATCAGGCGAACCGGAACTAAACATGAACTGGTTTCGGTTTCGTGTTGGGGAATATGGACACACCCGCCGTTTAGGGAACCAGGTACTTTTTCTGTACAGTAAACTATGTTTATAACGAACACGCTTATAACGAACTGACAGATATAACAAACTTATTTTTAGTCCTGACCATTTGTTGTATATATGCTGTATGTATGCATATAACGAACTGCAGTTATTATGAACTAAAATTAGTGGTCCCCTCGAGTTCGTTATAACCGTAGTCTACTGTATTTTGATTTTGGCTAGGGTACATTTCTGTATACAAAATCGTACCTGGGGTACATTTCTGTAGTATCTGTGCCGATATCTTCAGCGATAATTCACCCTCATGGAGTCAACGACTGGTTTTACTGGCCCAGATTGAATATTTATAGACTGCCATGATATTGCTGAAATCCTGCTGACTGTGGGGTTAAACAACATTCACTCATTTTGAATATTGTTTGTTTTGTTGTTTCAGGGGTGTAATGATGATTGCTGAAGTTGAGAGTCGTTTTCAGAAAGTTGGTGCTTTCATATTAAAAGTTGAGAAACTTGGATTTGAAATTGTCAACAAGGTAGGTCTTGCCCATTGTTGTTTTGTTGAAAATATGGAATGGATGGTAATTTTAAAGGATAATCAGGATTTTAATAATAGATGGAAATAATATCCACTGCAAATCTCATTGGATACAAGTGAGTATTGATGTTGCAGGGTGTTACGCGACGCAGAAATGTGCATCCAGTATGCACAAATGTTGAGATTGGATACAGAAAAAGAATAGCCTACATCCCAAGAGATGCACAGTAATGTTCATTGTACCTACAGTGCATCAGGAGCAGTTATGGGTGTCTGTCATTTCATCCATCAATCATGACCACTGTCCACATGATCATTGATTCATTCCGGCTCTAAAGTAATTATCCAAACGTACAGTACACAACACCATTTCATTACTTTACAGGACCCTCATATTCCCTGCAAGGACCCTTATAACTAATTATTGGGAATCCCATGGACTCCCACTATTGTAAGTCAAGGTAAAACCCTGATGTTGGAAGCTATTTTGATAAATAGTCGGACAGTCTATGCCTTAGCGATGACAGAATATACTGATTCAGGGTTTTAATCCCACATTTGCCTGGTCTATGGGGTTGACATTTGAGATATTGTTGCATTTTGTGACAAAGAAATGGTTCTTTGTTGATTCAAGTACTTCACAATGACAACTTAATGATGTTTCAGGACACCTCAAACAAGATGTTCTATCTGTTCCACTTCAAGAAGGTGCGTGGTATGAAGGAAGCCCCTCTCAACTCAAGCATTGAACTGGACCCCTGTATCTACAAGAAGCGATAACCAAGAAAGCGGTGACCTAGACATGTACCTTCAAGAAGGCGATTTTCTGGACACATATGTTTCTACAAGAAACAGTTACCTGGATCCATTTACCTTCAAGAAGCAATGACCAAGATCCATGTACCTTCAAGAAGCAGTGACCAAGATCCATGTACCTTCAAGAAGCAGTGACCAAGATCCATGTACCTTCAAGAAGCAGTGACCAAGATCCATGTACCTTCAAGAAGCAATAACCTAGACACAGTTACTTTCAAGAAGCAATGACCTACACATGTACCTTCAAGAAGCGATGACCTAGACACATGTACCTTCAAGAAGCGATGACCTAGACACATGTACCTTCAAGAAGCGATGACCTAGATCCTTGTACTTTCAAGAAGCGATGACCTAGAGCCTTGTACCTGCATCTTGATACATTATAAACATCTATTAATTATTCAGTTGCTTCTGTGAATTATGAAATCAAACTTTTTAACTTACGATGCTGTTGTCCCCGTTACTCCAGCTAAGAACTTTATGCATTTTGATACAAATGTTATGGCTTAAATATTGAACAGTCTTGCAATGCTCTTCACATGTGATCTCATGGTGTGATGCATTGCATGTCCATCCGTTGTGTAACATTTTTACATCTCCTCTAAACCACATGGCCAAATATTCCAGCTATTGTGTCAAGAAATTCTCATAGAATTCTGATTCAATTTTAAACAGCAGCCATAAGAACAATATTAACCTATTGCTCATTATGCAGTTTAAAGTTATGGAATTATGAAAAAGTGTGTAATGACAATTGATATGTTGTATATATATATGATATATATATATATATATATACAACATATCAATTGTCATTGTATATGATATATATATAGAGAATCTCACCCGAGTGTCTTTTGATATCAAATATATCAACATGAGTTGATAAACGTGGAAACATTCCGAGGCTTGCCGAGGATTTTTGCCACTTTTATCAACGAGTGTTGATATATTTGATATCAAAAGACACGAGGGTGAGATTTTATTTATTTTCCAACATCATTTTTCAAACTTGTTCAATTTGTAGACAGTAATTAGCAGTGTCTTCAGTGTAAAAAGTACTGCTAACAGCTTTAGTAGCAGAGCCATTAGTGATGTCATTTGATTATGACGTCATGGTAACCAGTGACGTCACAATGGTCTGCAAAGCATTGTGATGTAATTTCATTACAGCGATATCTACAGTGTAGATATCGCTTGATCTAATCCAAGCCATATCACCTGTGGGAGCCAGTTTTGGATGATAAATTCTCCATATCGCTTTGATTTTCCAGTTTTTCTTTTTTCTGAATTTTGTTTTTTTTATAAGCTGTCAAAATGCATTTGTCTCAAGCAATTGTGTCGCAACATGCTCACGGATTCATAATTTTCAACATGGTAAGCATATTGAAAATGTCATTGCCACTACTGCATCGATCAATTTGAGATGTTCAAGCTGTTTTGTTGTATCGCTTTGTTACACTTCTTTCTGATCCTATAGTCTAATGCAAATATTGGTACAGCTGTTTTTATTTGATATGAATTTGCAACATATTGCGTATATTACCCACATGTCTCTACAAACAAGGTGCATTTCAGACAGTTATCAGTATTTTTTCTTGTCATGACTTTACTGTCTGTACTTTACCAATGCTTTGTTTGTTTGTTGTTTACCGCCTCACTCAGCAATATTCCAGCTGTATGACGGCCGTCTGTAAATAATCGAGTCTGGACCAGACAATCCAGTGAGTGACATCATGAGCATCGATCCACGCAATTGGGATCGATGACATGCATCAACCAAGTCAGCAACCTGACCACCCGATCCCATTAGTCGCCTTTTACGACAAGCATAGTTGCCTTTTACGGCAAGAATGGATTGCTGAAGATCTATTCTACCGCGGATCTGCACGGATCTTTTGCCAATGCAGCAATGCAGTATCAGTGGTAATTTGTCATTTGGCCATGGATGGATCCAACTCGATAGTTTGATTAACTGTTACGTACTTCCTGATGTCCCAGGTTGTTATTTTCTACATCAGTACTGTGTTTGGTGCATTGTCAGTTAATGTGGCAGACCTTGTACATACATCATATATATCATGTAAATAAAGATATTACCATTGAGTCTATTTGTTTATGTAAATTGGAACTGGGCACCACGGGGATGCACCATTGTGAAATTGTTAATGAATTTGTAAATTAATTTATCAGTATACTCTTTCTGGTAAAAGTGCATTAATCCTGCAAATTGTCACAGATTATGATGTGTTGTTATTTGTTTGTCATTATACAAGAGTGCAAGCTTACAGTCAAGTACTAGTCCAGTTGACCAGACAAACCAGTGATTGATACAGTGAGCAATGTCCCATGCCATCAGGGTTCGATAACATGGAAGAAACAGTCACCAAGCAACAAGCATATATCACTTGAGACCTGTTCTAACACAGGATCCCACCTGGGCAAAGTTAACTAACCGAACAAAATCTGGAACATTGCTTTTGTTGGTCAGTCGCTAATATCTGGAAAGGAGATTTGATGACATAAAAATGAAGCTTGCAACACATAATAAACATGACATCAGTTTTGTCTCTAGGGCAACACTTTCACTGAACCATGAGAGATATTTATTAAAACAAATGTTTGTACATGTATGAATGAAATGAGATTACAGTATCTTGGAATACTACATAGAAACCAAAGAAGGCCATTTGTAACAATAATGTTCATTAAAAAATAGCAAATAATAACAATATATTCTGTAATATGTTATTGCTTCATGACGGACAATATTGTAAAGTTGTAAATAACATCATATGACGGATTCATTCAGTACTATAAATATTGAATCTGGTTTCAACAAAATTTTAAATCAAAATGCATTGAACATTAAGTACGCATGTTATCAGTGTTCTGTGACCTTCAAATTCCATTGTAAAATTATTAAACGCCAGTGCCCCACACGCAAACGGCACTACTTTTTTCTGGAGCCAGTACTGTATTTATCTTACAACGAAGGCCTTGCCGGCAGGGAACTTTCTCCCGAAGTTGTCTGCCTCACTGACGTAATACTCTGTTCTGTACATCCAGCTGGGAGGACAGTAGGCAGTGAACGGCCCGTCGTCCTCGTGGTAGTTGCTGGGGTGTGGAAGTGGTGGGAGCAGGTCGTCCAGGAGGTAGGGAGCCTGTCCTGGGTCCATATCCCCCCATCTGTTGAAACTGTTATCCTCAAGGCCGATGTGAGGCTCTGCAACAAACGTAATTATGTTATTAACGCCATATGGATTCATTTAAATAAAAGAAATTACTTCATTAGCATCCTGTATTTTTATTTCTTCTGTGTAATCGATCTTAGTCTGGGGTTTTGCTTTTCTGTCTCACAAATTGGCCGTTCCTTTCATTGTCACGTGTCGTCATTTGAGTCACGTGTAGCACTTACGTTGATGATGTGGTCCGACCAATACACTTATTACAAAGATCGCTCAGCTGAATGTACCTTGACATTTACGCCGATTCCTAGGAGTGGAAATGGAAAGAGTTGTTTTTTTGCGGGAACTATTTGCTAGATACTAGGATGCCCCTCTCTTGAAAATCGAGAATTTGATTGCTTTATGACAGAGAGAGGACTCGTGACAATACTTAAGTGGAGTACTTACCACGAGACTTCATGAATTTCTTGACTTCATGGGACGCCATGGCGAGAAAGGTCATTAGAATCATATTGACCAATCACGTTCTGAAGTAAAAACAAATGAGCTATGAAGAGGTATTTATTTCTCCGAACAGAAATAATAAATAAGGAACTAAGACTACCCTATGTCGACTAAAGTACAAGATACAGTAGATTCGTGGCACTCAAATACTCAGCCATAAAACATTATTTGGGTAAGAGATTAAAACATTGAGTTTTCACTATGGCAATAAACATTCATTAAAGACAGATTATTGAGGCACTATGTGAGCGGACCTGAAGAGTTGTTCTAGTGCTAGCATCTTAGATCATAGGTAATTGTTACCCAGATAAAACTCTATCAAAATATATTCTGACTGAAACATTAATTTCATTTTAACGCAACGTCAATAAATTTCAATTTGACCAAGAAACTACATGGAAATATGAAAGCACAGCTAAACAGTTAAACCAACTGGCTCACAGCAACAGATGGCGTCCATAGCTCACCTACTCCAGGTTATAAGGTTCAAATTTCCCGCACCGTTCTACTTGTATATCTGACAGCATCGACACCTTCAGCTGCTTGTGACGTCATAATCACCTCACGTGACTCTACGTAGCCACTCTGTCATCGTTGTGTTGCGAATGCGAATGAATGGGAAATACGTGCATTGTTAAAATTGCCTTTCTATCTTTTGCTTTAACACGAAACGTGTCTTATACATGTATTTATATAAGAATTAGATATATAATATATTTCCAAGACGCCTTGAATTCTATAGTGTATATCAGACATTTCGCTACAATAATGAGAAGGAGATATCTGTCTGCACTTGATTAATTGATCGTTGCAAAGTGAATGCGGCAGGATCCGGCGATATCACACACCCTTGCATCGCCACATGACTCAAATCAATTCAGATTAAGAAGTCTCGCAAACAGCGTACGGGTGCACTTGGTTGCAGCAAGGTTTTTTTCGCTTGGCGCTGTTAAAATAGATTGCTGCACAATTTTAGTTATTCGGAGACCGACACATCCATCATATGGCTGCACTTGACTGCATCGAGCTATTGTTGTCGATTTTGCAATGTGAGAGAGTTACAATTGGCGTGTCATTAAACAGCGGAGTTGCGAGTTTGTCACCCCTTTTTTGTACGTGCGAACCTCTCCGTCGAGTTTTCACATCAAACACGAAATTGAAGTTTCGCCATATTTGCGTATTTTTCGAATCGTTAAGCATAACCATGCAATTGTCAGTAAGAGACCTCTTGACAATGACAGAACTATTAGCAATTTGATGAAAATCGTGTGTCGGCAGAAGAATTCGAACCCGCGCAGTCTGCACATTACGAATGAAGAATTCTGTCACAAAAGATGTTGCGGTGATTTAACCACTGAGGTATTAGTTGGTTGCACGCAATCAATCGTAACCGTCATGGTATTCAGTTGAGATTGGTGTGGTAACGTAAGGTGTGCCTGCCCTATTTTGTCTGAATGCTTGTAAATGCCTTTATCATATAAATAACAGATGTTTGTTACAGACAGTTTGTTATCCATATTCATTGGTCACTGTCGAATATCTTCAAAGCTTGAAACAGGCCTGTGTCTGTTCTTGAATCCGGAAAAGTAATGGAAGCTGGTAGGAATTCAGTGTTTTACAAAATTTCATCTGGATGTTACTGAGAAAACAATATGTGAATTGCTGGACTTCCTCATTGATAGCATCTATGTGAAATTTGGAGACAAGACATTCAGGCAAGATTTTATTGAAATGTATATATTGTCGCTAGAGCTTCTTGAAAATTATGCTTCAGGCTCTTAAAAAAAATGAAATTGCGTGCCACAAAAATTAATATTGTTGCAAGGTGTTTTTCTTTAAAAAGAATTCAGGCTCATAGTTCTAAATAAAAAAAACAACCTTTATCGTTTTGTTTCTGAAGCTGAGAAAATATCTAGTCTTGATACAAACGTTTTATGGTGACATGTGGAAGACATTTCCAGATTTTACGCTTCAGTGACAAAAATGGTATTGTTAGGTGTACAATCAATCTCATTGATCAAATCAGATCTTGGTTCACACTACAGCTAAACAAATATAGATCGGTGTGTAGCAGTAGCGAGATCTGATTTTAATTTAATTGAGTGAACAATTGCCTTGCCTTTACATGTATTTGTGACGAGTGCCAGAGTTGAGGCAACATATACGCCCACATTTTCACAAACACCTGGTATCATCACTATTTGATAGTGATTCATGAACACACGCTCATGATATAGTCGGATTCGAACTCTGCTTTAAGTAGAGATTTCTAAATGATTATGGAAATGTTTTGTTTTGTCATTTTGAATAATTTCAAATGGGTATCCAATCCGCTACGTGTCAAGTCATAAAAGAACTCGATTCGCCCTTATTATGGAATTTTTTTGTCTATTTTTAATTTCAAATAGGTACTTGGCAAGTCGATAAAACAAATGTCAACTCGATTCGCCCCTATATAGGTACAACCAGCCTTCCAGAAACGGTTCAATACCGAGACTTCTCGAATGATCAAGTCTGCCATGATCAGTAAAAAAGGGCGGTAATTCTAAATTCCAGTTGACATTTTACTACCCCATCAATCACTTGCTGCCACTGATTACTGTCACAATTACTACTACTACATTTACAACAACACATCTCTACTGCCACATTACAACATATAGTTCCAAGGCCACATTATCTAGAAATAGTCTTGTATTTACTTTCCTGCACAAAGGAAGCAGAAAATTGACACTGGAGTTTGTGACGATATTTCATTTAACAGTATGGAATATATGCGGTACAATTCAATGTTATTTGATATATACTGAACAACAAAAGTTCCCGTGACATTGAATACGATTTAATGCAAAGTTATGTGTTTTACCAAATCTGAAACAATTTCGGTTTGCAACAGATAAAAGACTCCTGTAAGTGTTCAAATGGTTTAATTTGCCATCCTGACTTCAGAAAATGCGTGATTCCATAAAAAACAAAACAAAACATGAACATGCCAAAATGTCAATTTACAAATCAATAGCGTGTGTCCACCTCTGGTTGCGATGCAAGCAACACATCTTCGTCTCATGGAATGGACCAGGCGTCGCAAAAAGTCCTGTGGGATATCTGTCCATATCTGCTGGAGCATGTTTCGAAGTTCCTGGAGTGTCTGTGGAACACGTGGTTGACGTCGTAGGCGCCGATCCATCTCATCCCACATGTGCTCGATTGGTGAGAGATCAGCGGAGCGAGCCGGCCAGGGGATGACATTCACGTTGTTTTGTTGAAGGGAATCCTGAACAAGTCTAGAAATATGAGGCCAGGCGTTGTCATGTTGAAAGGTAATGCCTGGGCCATGACGACGCAAAAACGGTAGAACAACAGGGCCGATGATCTCGTCGCGGTAGAGCTGTCCATTGAGATTTCCCTCTACCACTATCAAACGGGTCCTCTGTCTTGCTGTAATCCCACCCCATATCATAACGCTGCCGCCCCCGAACCGATTTTCTTCCATGACACAATGATTGATGTAACGTTCACCTCGACGTCGGTACACTCGAATCCGTCCATCGCTGTGGCTGAGGTGAAAACTAGACTCGTCAGTGAATAGAACTTGTCCCCACTGCATGGCCGTCCAGCATAGGCGCTGTCTGCACCACTGTAGACGTGCTTGACGGTGGTTTCCTGTCAAAAGGGGACGTCTGGCGGGTCTTCTTGCGACAATCCCTGCACATCTGAGGCGACGACGTACGGTTTGTGAAGTTATTCGTCGAAGGCCAGGGATGCTTCTTGCAGTCACTGTTGCTGCCTGGAATGGATTTCGGAGAGATGTGTTGTTCGAATCAAGTTGTCTTGTCGATTATTGGTTACGCGTGGCCTGCCACTCCGAGGATGGTCTCTGACTGCATTCGTCTGCTGCCAACGTTGCCATAAACACCAAATGGTTCAATTGTCTTGCAACATCACGTTGACTCGATCCTGCTTCAAGCATACCAATGGCTCGCAGATGCTCATTTTCGGACAGGCGAGGCATTTCGTAATGTTGAATAATTGCGTAATTTTGTTGTTTTTCTGAGTGGTTGTTAGCACGATGCTAAAAAATGCATATGGAATCCCGTTAACGCACATGCTTTTATACCCATTCTTGGGTAGTGAAATGCATGGGGCTTGCATAAAAGTCAACTTTTGCATTGAATGAATGCTTTTCTGTAGCAGTTGCGTTTTTGTGACTTGATTTCATACATGTACTACAATATTGAAAACCAAATTTTACTTGTTTGAAAAATACACTAAAATATTGGTGTCACAGGAACTTTTGTTGTTGAGTATATGTATCACAGTGCTACACCGAATGACAAATTTAAACTTTCCCTTCGTAGCGGACACTTCCATTTTTGGTGTACACGATCACATGGAGGGCTATATACGTCAAATAGCTTCTCCATATAGGCTATTGTAGACCGCTTTTATACAAATAAAATCAAACAGACAAATTTCTACACTATCGGGAGAGGGATCTTTACTTACTGTATGACGTCACAATGTGCCTGCCAGGCCATGTGGTTACGTAGAGTCATGTGACGTTGATTATGACGTCACAACAATCAGACCAGCTGAAGGTGTCGATGCTGTCAGACATACAAGTACATCAGAGCGGGAAATCTGAACTTTTATAACCTGGAGTAGGTGAGCTGTGGACGCCATCTGTTTTTATATTCCCTGTAATGTTTTTTGTTCAAATTGAAATTTATTGAAGTAGCGTAAAAATGAAATTAATTTTTCAGTCACATCAGATTTTTATCTTTGTAACAAAACACTGTCTTATTGCCTGTTATCGAAGATGCCAGCATTAGAACAACAACAAAGGGACATTTTCTTCGTTAGGCGTAATTTATTCTGAGAAGTACGAAATACCTTTCTAAAGTTCCGTTGTTGTTTTCCAGAACCTCAAACCAAGATGATATTTCTGACCTTTCTCGCCATGGCGGTACATGAAATCAAGAAATTCAAGAAATCCCTTGGTAAGTGCGATTCTTTTACTCATTGTATTTCGGCAGGCGAATGAGTGAGTGAGTGAATTGGGTTTAACGTCGCTTTGAACAGTATTTCAGTTATGTCACGGCGTGTCAGCTTAATGTGGGGGGAAAGCCCAAAGTGATGCAGGTCTCAGACGTTTACCACTTTGGTGAAACCCCCCAGCACGTATATTCGGGGCGAATCGGATTTGAACCCACGATCATAGTGTCATCATACATTTGGATTTCTCTGGATCCGCCTGTGATAAACTGCACAGTAATAGTGTGTATTTAACATTCTTATGGGGTAAATCTAGCTTTTGATCTATCTGATGTTAATAGACTGTGTTTGTTCAGAACCTTACAACGGCCCCGAGGATGACCCTTTCGTCAGATGGGTGGATGTGGACCCAGGACAGGCTCCCCCGAACATGCCCTTCCTCCTGGACGACCTGATTCCCCCGCCGCCAAACCCCAACAACTACCACAACGACGGCCGGAACCACGATCCGTCCGCTGCCTACTGTCCTCCCAGCTGGATGTACAGAACAGAGTATTACGCCAGCGAGGCAGACAAGTATGAGAAGAACTTCGGGAGAAAGTTCCCTGCCGGCAAGGCCTATGTTGTCACATAAACAGTGACTCCAGAGAGACTATTGTTTCGCAAGCGAAAGGGGGAAGACATTTGAATAATGCGATTTTTTCGAACATTGATCTCAGTATAAGTTTTAATTGAATACTCATTATATTTTAAATGTATGTGAGGCACAATTGCCAGATGCAGTATATATATGTATATAATATTATTATAGTTTTCATTCTTTCAAACATGTGATAAACGATATTCTTTCATACATAAAATGTTTACAAATACATCTTGTATTAAATATATATATACATATACATATATATACCATTGTATATATATACAGTATATAATATGTTATATACGCACGAGAAGCGGCATTGCACGGAGCTCTCGTGAAAATGAACATATATCTAGTTTTTATTTATGTACGGCATATACGGCCACTATATTTTTAATAAACATTTGTTAAAAATTGCTGGCCTTTGACTTTCTAGAACAAGCAATGGAAATTGAGTTCTATAGTTGAGAAGAAGTACATGAATGTGTACCAAAGTCAGGGGTACTGATGGTCCGCATTACAGAGTTGCGTTACCTAAACGTGTCAGGATCTGCTAATCGTGGGTTGGAATCCTGATTTGTCCTGAATCTATCCCTTGTATGTATGCACCATACTTGTCAGCGACCTTCATCTTTTCGGGCTGTCCTCCCTCACTACATCAAGGTCTGGTATTGGATGGTGGAGAACTGGAGTCGCTGAAGCACAGTATGGAGATTGCCATGATTATTCATTCATTCAAACATATTTCATGTGTATTAATTTTTGTTGGCATTTGTTTTTAAAAGATTTACCAAAACAATTCCAAAATTCCGGTTGTTGAAATGAAAAACACATGATGAAATACAAATGACTATTTTTAAATTTTTGTTTGTTCGTTTCAGTTTTTTTCTCCTTCGATATTTGAAGTGGGGTTTGGGATTTAATGATATATAATCTACTTGCCCTTAATTAACAATTACTGTTAACTTTATTATTCGTGGAAACTCAATTTCGCAAATGCGCGTGGAACAAAATATTTAAATTTCAGAAAGCAAGCAACCCCTTGTCATGTCACTGCACGGGCCTCCAAAACATATAATATTTATTCTTAAGTTCACTCGATCGACAGCAATGTAGAGAACCCATTTTTGAAAACCACTACTTTGTTGTGAGGAGTAGTGTATCAAGTGAGTGAGTGAGTATAGTTTTACGCCGTTTGGGCAATATTCCAGTATTCCAGTCCTGGGGAACACATTGTACCAATCTCATTAAAATCAGATCTTAGTTCTCGCTACCGCTAAACATTGTGGGGAGTCAAACCCGTATCTTCTGACGAGCGAACATTAAATGAAAATGAAGTGATTATAATGTATTTATAAATTGACTAATGATTGAGTAGATTAACATTTAAACCATTCAGTTTAACTTTTTTCGTCTCATATTTAGCTGGTTGAATGTGTGTTTTTTTAACAAGTAAATGAAAGAATGAAACTAGCTGGCACTATTCATATTTGAAACAAGTACATTTATGTGAATAAACTGTTTATATAAATGTATATTCTGACTCGGAAAGAATCCCCAAGTACAAACCCACTATCCCCCACCCCAATTAAAACGTAAACAAAGTTTTACACCTTTCATAATAATGGTTTCATAGCAGTGCAGTTTTTATACGTCAAATAAGGACGTTCACACATTTCAAACCTAGATATGCCCTCCACGTACTTACATTACTCTTGTCATTGAATCTAAAACAAAACAAACAACACATTCAGTATATAAGTTTAGAATAGAATAATAATAATAAAATCATTACCAGTAAAACTTTACGCGTGGAAATCAACTAACCTGCTAAGTTATGAAAATTAATATGAAAATATTGGTCCAAGGGAAACAACTCTGACAGTTTACGACATATAGCATCGCAACAACTTTTAACACGTAATATTGTTATAACTCTGAACATCTTCAATTTTCGTTATGAAAAGAGTTTTCGGGTATAAATTTCAATAATTTATAGGAAAACATATTTTTTCATTTAAGCATTTATCAACATGCCGTCATCGCATCTGAAAATAACAATGGCGTCCTACACAAGCTACAGACGTGTCTTGGCATCAGGTAAACAAACTTTTTGCGCTTTCTGTGATGCAGTTTGTGCATGTGGCATTAACGTGTTAAATGCTGACAGACAAAAGTTTGAATTGCTTAAAACACGTGTTTTTGAACAACCTTTATCCTAAAAATTACGAGTTTACAGTAATCCTAGTAACGAACAGTGCTTCACTGTGTGAATATTCCGGTCAAAGTCCAATGACAGTAACAAGTAGACGTGACAGAGTACAGCGTTTTGTGGAACCTTTGGATTTTATGAAGGTGAATGGAAGGATATTTCTCTTCCTTTTCCTTATTCACCATGACGTGTTTGTTGCAATATCTGATAACAAACTATGCCTGAAAGGGATGGTAATAATTGCGGCTAATCACTAACATTTTAGTGATTGCATCTCTTACCCACTAGAAACATTGTACACTGTCACATTAATATCACAAGTCTGCATTCCAGTGTATTTATAGCTTTAGCAACATGAATAGGTTTTCTGTTTGTTGTATGTTAGTGTAGCAAGTGTACTCTGACACAAGTTATATAACTTATATAACTTATATAAGTTATATAACTGATGTCTACCCCTACTTCTATAGTTTAATGATTTACTAGGATATCCGGATGCCTACAGCCATTTTGTGTATGTGCACCGGAAAATGAGCTGGAAATAGCAAGATCTACTTCCTTAGCAATGAAGGTCATATTTACAGCAGTAGAAACTAACATTGTTAGTCCTTATAATGATAACATATAGCAAAACACTTAAAAATATCACATTTCTACTAGTCCCCGTGATATCTTAACAATTGGGCAGTTTGGTAAGGACTATAGGACAAGTGCCAATTTTAAAGCTGATTTACGTTTCTGTATTTTAACATGTTTATGTCGATTTGCCTGCCTTATAGCTTATTGTTGCTTCCAGAGATTCTTTTAGCTCTAATATTGTGTGAAGTGACTTCTTTGGCCCTAATAGTAATATGTTGCATGAGTTCACTTCTTTACCCCTAGAACGTGTATTGTTGGACTTCTTTTTAACCCTTATCATGTTAAATACATGAAAGTCATTTTTATACTATGCACTGACTTACTTGCATTACATTGCAACATCACCTAAACTGTCATTCACAGTAAGCCTATTATTGATAGGAATCAGTGGACAAATGGAACAGGCACTCTTGTCTGAGGCATGATTTTGACAGTGCTCCCTACATTAGCCTGAAGTCTGAGTAAAATTATGTTTGGTAAACTGAACTAAGAAATCTAATGAAATGATTATGATGCAGCCAAGAGACTAGTTTTTGGCACAGACAGCATTAGTTGACAGCATTAACAACTGGAACTACTCCAATGATCATGATAATCCCAACCAAAATTACTATTGGTTGAGCATGTTGAGATAACCATTCCAGCAGAAACTACTTAAATTTTGACATGTTGGAATTTAATTCCTGCCAATATCATGTATGTTATCATTGTGCTCCAGATAAGGAGATAATCCCCACACCTTGAACAGTATTGAACACTGAGCTAGAAACAGTATTCATTCCACTGTGAAATGTCTCTTCAAATTGATGTTGTGATTGAAAATGGATGGTGGAGCTTACAGTTGTGTTTTATCATGGTTCTAGTGTTATTGTGTGACACATGTCTTGTCGATTTCAGCTCGTCTCGTGCGTCAGTGTTTGTACCAGAGTCGTGCATACTCATCGCAGACAACACCTCGCATCACCACACACTATACCATCCATCCTCGAGACAAGGATCCAAGGTGGAAAGGTCAGCCACATACTTATTCCTGATGGCAGGTTTTCATTATCATGATTGTAGGAAACATGTGTTTGTGTCAACATGACATGTACAAGACTGATGTCATGTATGTTATTGTACATGTTGTAAGGCTATAGAAACAAGGAAATGTTTCTCGGGCCTTGGCAGGTCACTTTTAAGTTTTGTGGGGTCTCTGAAAGGTTTGTCTGATCATGCTGATAGGTACAATAATGACATTAAGTACTTGTAATCTGATTGTGTTTTTATTTTGCAAATGTTATGCATTAGGAATAATAATTGAATTACGGTAGGCGTTTTAAATGGGCTTTTGGCAAGCAAAAATACAAGGGATATCCAGGATTTTCAACTACGTTTTTATGGTTGCAAAATTTTGAAAACAAAATTTGTTGTCCAAAATTGGGATTTTTGTAACATTCTCATATAATAACATGATAATATGCTTCATACATGTCATATGAAGCAGAGAATTTGACAAATATATTTTTAGAAGCAATAATAAATGACTATCGTGCAGGATCTAAAGTGACCTGCCAGGTCCGAGAAAACATTTCCTATATTTCTTTTGCTTTACAACACATACAATTACATACATGATATCAGCCTTGTACAAACACCTGTTTCCTACAATCATGAGGAACTGATTGTTTAAGCCATAGTTTCATTCAGCTAGGTAACTGAAGGAATACCATGTCTTAGTTAACTGCCCCATTCATCATACAGTGCCAGTTGATTTGCAGCCATGTTTACGTAAGGACTCATACAAAGTAAAACCTCTACAGGTGTCAGACAGTAGCTTTTACTGCAAGTAGGTCATGTATTGATATATGGAGCTGATTAAATGTAATTTCTTCGAGCATTTCTAGTTGACATCATTTGCATATTTGGAGATCATGATAGCACACTTATGGTTTGCCAACTTGAGTTTAGGCTTTCAAGACAGTCCAGTCAACATCAGATGGAAGTCTATTATCAAGACTAAGCTTGTCTCTAACTATTGATAACTCAATATGCTTTCCATGCTAATAAAGCTTTAAGTTTAAGAGGGCAAATATTTAATGTGACATGAAAGACGTTTTGAATTTTACTCATGTGGCACACTGTTAAAATTAAATCTCTTAGTTTTATATAATGATAGTAGCAGAAATTAAAACCTATGTGATTCGGGGCTCATATTAACATGCTTGAGTATCTGATACATGTAGTTGTAATGTGATGACTGGCAGATTAAGTGTCACTCCACTGATGCTCTTGTAATCTTTGGTTGGTTTGTTGGTTTACACCGCACTCAGCAATATTCCAGCTATATGACTGCTGTCTGTAAATAATCGAGTCTGGACCAGACAATCCAGTGATTGATATCATGAGCATTGATCCACGCAATTTGGATACGATGACATGCTTTAACCAAGTCAGCTTGCCTGACCACCCAATCCCGTTAGTCGCCGCTTACGACAAGCATGGTCGCCTTTTACGGCAAGCGTGGGTTGCTGAAGACCTATTCTACCCCGATCTTCAGGGGTTGTAAGCTTTGGACTGAATTCTGGAGCATATAGATTGTAGAGAACTTCTCTTTTGCTTTCTTTTTCATGCATGGATCGGTCTTTGTGTTCCTCACCAAGAATTGATAATTGACCACTCCCGTTACAGAGATTGAATGTTCCTAACTGCAGCATGAAACATAATTCACTATTTCATCATTTTTTAAAAAATACTGACGTTTCACTAAAAATTACTGTTCTTTTCCCTGAAGATGTGGACATGGAGCGCTTCGCAGATGAGGCTGACGTTGTCATCGTGGGTGGAGGGCCAGCAGGGTTGTCAGCTGCCTGTCGCCTCAAACAGATGGCCAACGAGCAGGGGAAGGAACTCCGTGTGTGTTTGGTGGAGAAGGCAGCAGAAATTGGTTCGTCAGATCAAATAGTTTGTTTCTTTGATACAGCTAAGTTTTGTACTATTAAAAGCCAGCAGTACTCAAGCAATTACAAGAAGAGTCTGACATTTTGATAAATATTTTTTAATGAAATATGTTTTGATTAAATCTATTATTGTCATAATCAGTTTTAGAATTAACATGATTAATGCAAAGTTTAGGCTTGCAAATAATTCTATAAGAGTCTGGAAAAAAATAATTTTTTCCTTTTTCCAGGTGGGCACATATTGTCTGGGGCCTGTGTGGAGCCCCATGCTATTAGTGAACTCTTTCCAGACTACCTTGAGAGGGGGGTGAGTTAACAACCCGTTTTAAGATTTAGACCCATGTTATCAGATGACCTTTAGAGGGGGGTGAGTTAACAACCCATCATAAGATTTAGACCCATGTTATCAGTTAGATGACCTTGAGAGGGGGGTGAGTTAACAACCCGTCATAAGATTTAGACCCATGTTATCAGTTAGTTGACCATGAGAGGGGGTGAGTTAACAACCCGTCATAAGATTTAGACCCATGTTATCAGTTAGATGACCTTGAGAGGGGGTGAGTTAACAAACCGTCATAAGATTTAGACCTATGTTATCAGATGACCTTGAGAGGGGGTGAGTTAACAACCCGTCATAGGATTTAGACCCATGTTATCAGTTAGATGACCTTTAGAGGGGGTGAGTTAACAACCCGTCATAAGATTTAGACCCATGTTATCAGTTAGATGACCTTTAGAGGGGGTGAGTTAACAACCCGTTTTAAGATTTAGACCCATGTTATCAGATGACCTTTAGAGGGGGGTGAGTTAACAACCCATCATAAGATTTAGACCCATGTTATCAGTTAGATGACCTTGAGAGGGGGGTGAGTTAACAACCCGTCATAAGATTTAGACCCATGTTATCAGTTAGATGACCATGAGAGGGGGTGAGTTAACAACCCGTCATAAGATTTAGACCCATGTTATCAGTTAGATGACCTTTAGAGGGGGTGAGTTAACAAACCGTCATAAGATTTAGACCTATGTTATCAGATGACCTTTAGAGGGGGTGAGTTAACAACCCGTCATAGGATTTAGACCCATGTTATCAGTTAGATGACCTTTAGAGGGGGTGAGTTAACAACCCGTCCTAAGATTTAGACCCATGTTATCAGTTAGATGACCTTTAGAGGGGGTGAGTTAACAACCCGTCCTAAGATTTAGACCCATGTTATCAGTTAGATGACCTTTAGAGGGGGTGAGTTAACAACCCGTCCTAAGATTTAGACCCATGTTATCAGTTAGATGACCTTTAGAGGGGGTGAGTTAACAACCCGTCCTAAGATTTAGACCCATGTTATCAGTTAGATGACCTTTAGAGGGGGTGAGTTAACAACCCGTCCTAAGATTTAGACCCATGTTATCAGTTAGATGACCTTTAGAGGGGGTGAGTTAACAACCCGTCATAAGATTTAGCCTCATGCTATCAGATCAATGCTGAAATCTTTTTCAAAAGACACTCTTTAACTGGTTGTTGATATCATGAAGTCGTGGGGGAGAGTAATTCTGTGCCTAGATCAATCATTTTATGAACTACATTTCATTAACCTGAATGTCATTTCCTTTGCATGCTGATTGAAAATATCCAGCCAATCACACTTCAAAACACATACATGGTGTATGTATATACTCTTATTATGATTTAGATATTTGTTGTGCCATTTTCAGGCCCCCTTCCATACCCCTGTAACAGAAGACTCCTTTGCATTCCTCACAGAGAAGGGGCGCATCCCCATTCCAGTATTACCAGGTAATAATATATCATCATTCATCAATAATAGACAGGAGTTCGGTCCTGGGCTTTATTTCACCCAGCAATGCTATAGCTATGCTCTGTCTATGTAAATGTATGGAGATTGAGAGAGTCACGGTGGTGTTATGTTTCTGCTGCTTGTCGAGGGTTCAGTTTCCGCAACTCTCTGTTGGAATTCAGTTGGCGCATTTTAGATCTGTTTTAAAATATTTTGTGCCCTTTTTGCTATAAAAGAACTTTAAACTCACCTAAAGGAAGACATAATGTGACCATGGTGACACTCTGTCCATGCAAAGTGATTTAATGTGAACTTCAGTGAATCTGGCCAAGTATGTGCAAAAACAAGTTTTGTAGTTGGAATTAAATATCTACATTTACAAGAGGCCAGCAGATGGCGAGGCACTTTGGGAGGCACTTCTGATTATTGTTAAATTTGAACATTTTCTCTGAATGGACAACTCCATCTCAAGGTTTGCATTTGATTAAACCAAATAGCAAAGTAAATGATTAGTCCTTTTTAAGTAAAGTTGCTTTTAACAATATTCCTGTGACTGATCAGTTACAATACTTTGACGCAACGATCCTTCATGCTTATTGTATGTTGTGGGTGTAACGACTAATTGATCTATCTATGCATCGCGTTTGTCCATGGCATGATTGCAATACATAGTTTCCTAGTATCAGTAGCTGACCTTGATTCAACACTTTGCTATTGATAGTTTAGGCAATAAAATGAAACAACATACTGTTTCTCAGCGATATGACTCAAGTGGGTCTGGATCATCATTGAATGGACCCTTTGTGGGGATTCCAGGTTAGAACTGGTCCCACAACCTATGCTGGTCTCCCCGTGGGGATTCTGGGTTAGAACTGGTCCCCCACAACCTAGGTTGGTCTCCTCATGGGGATTCTGGGTTAGAACTGGTCCCCCACAACCTATGCTGGTCTCCCCATGGGGATTCTGGGTTAGAACTGGTCCCCCACAACCTAGGTTGGTCTCCTTATTGGGATTCCGGGTTAGAACTGGTCCCCCACAACCTATGCTGGTCTCCTCATGGGGATTCTGGGTTAGAACTGGTCCCCCACAACCTATGTTGGTCTCCTCATGGGAGTTCCGGGTTAGAACTGGTCCTCCGCAAACTATGCTGGTCGCAAGAGGCAACTTAATCAATGATGGCATCATCGTACTCCGATGGTGTAAATCGTTGCTTATTATAACAATCAATGGATTGTCTGGTCCAGATTTGACTAATTACAGGCCACCGTCTCCTGCTGTGATATTGCTGATAAACCTAAGCTGCATAAACACCATTCATATGGTATTTAAAGATGAATGTATGTTGTTTCTTAATGTTCTCTGTTGTTGTCCATCATGATGTGAAGGTGATAATAAAATCCAGTGCTTTTGCTCCAGGAATGACCATCTATAACCATGGTAACTACATCGTCCGTCTTGGTAACGTGGTCAGGTGGCTCGGAGAACAAGCAGAGGAATTGGGGGTGGAGATCTACCCAGGATATGCTGCCAGTGAGGTCAGGATACTAGCTTTCAGGGCCAGATTTACTACCCGAGTACCCAAAACTCTATTACCCGACCCATTGTAGCTGCAAGAGTTGGGTACAAAATGTTCAATTGGAAATTGTTTAACCAGAGCCCTGGCACAAAGTATTTAGTCACACATAAAGAAAGATCCAGTCAGGCATACACTGAAGTTGATGGAAAGTTATCTTTCTTCAAACATATAAAAGTCAGAAGGGATGGGTACATAGTCTGAAGGAAATGTACTCATCAGTGACTTGCAGTGTAACCATGGAGTTCTAGATAATCTTTGTCATTAAACTCTATGTCATGAGACTAACCACGGGTATGGGTAGTCCTGTGAGTACCCGGGTCCTACTCAGTACCCTCCCGACCTGAGTACCCAAGTTACGTCCCAGCCCGTCCAAGTCAGTAAACGGAAGGATAACCATGGTTTTCTTAATGCTATGAAGTTACCTCCCTTTAAATGAAGTTGACTGAGATAAAAATTTAACTACATTTAGAATATTTGTGAAGCCTTACTTTCTGGTAGGAAGTGAAGCTTGTTAGAAGGATGTGGTTGTCAGTAACTTTACTGTTGCTTTCATCATACCATGTACTTGCATGCAGGTGCTGTTTCACGAAGATGGCAGTGTGAAGGGTATCGCCACAAATGATGTCGGCATCTACAAGGACGGATCACCCAAAGTAAGGTGGATGGGCCATGCTTGTCTTTTTTGATGGTTTTAATCATCATGTGCTGATTATGATGTTGCCTGGCTTTACAATGATCATTGTCATTTAAAGGTTGTCATTGAGTGTTACCTAATGGCTTCCAAATCTCTGGTATCATGTGACTTTTTAATGTGAACATGGAATTGCATCACTCTGTACACAAAACTTTAATGTTGTAAAATTCAGATCGTACTGAGCATGGTAGCACATCTGAAACTAATTGTTAGTGTGAAGATCCAGGGTAGAATAGGTCTTCAGCAACCCATGCTTGCCGTAAAAGGTAACTATGCTAGTCGTAAGAGGCGACTTATGGAATCCGGGTTGTCTTGACTTGGTTGATGCATGTCATCGTATCCCGATTGCGTGGATCGATGCTCATGATGTCAATCACTGGATTGTTTTGTCCAGACTCGATTATTTACAGACCGCTGTCATATAGCTGGAATATTGCAGAGTGAGGCGTTAAGCAACAAACAAGCAAATGTTAGCATTTCCTGCCACACTATGAGTACGTCATTGTTGAACTTGCATGCAACCCATCCCCTCTTCTGCCTAGGAAACATTTGAACGAGGTATGGAGCTGCATGCGAAGGTGACCATGTTCGGGGAAGGTTGTCACGGACATCTTGCCAAGCAGCTGTACAAGCATTTTGATCTGCGGAAAGACTGTCAGCCTCAGACGTATGGTATCGGCCTAAAGGAATTGTGGGAAGTAGAGCCAGAGAAACATCGTCCTGGTCGGGTGGAACACACTGTGGGATGGCCATTCGTGAGTGATGTGGGCCGAGGGTCCAGGGATTAAATAACTTGAAGTCTTTACCAGTCTGTTCCAAAATCTTTTACGTCTACTAGCCTAAATTTGGCTGTAAGCATCATTTTCCATAGATTTGATTTCAAAGTTATTATTAGAATAAGCTTACTGGTCTATTCATAATTTTCAGATTCAGGGTTTGGACTAGTGGCTAAAGTTGCAGACTGCTTAATATAGCTTAACGCAGGACTAGACATGCTAAAGTGGTCAAGATGCTTTCAAGTTTTATTGTACTTTGCCTGTAGCAGCTTGTGTTTATCTACATTTATTCAATAAGCTAATGTGCCTTTGTTCAGGACAGACACACCTACGGAGGGACGTTCCTGTACCATCTGGGGGAGGGAGCACCGCAGGTTGTCGTGGGCATGGTGGTAAGTTTCTGCTGATGCATAGTTTATAACAAATATTACATACAACCTGTACAGGTGACCGCCTCCATGGTCTAGTGGTAGAGCGTCTACCGGAGAGCGGAAGGTCCAGGGTTCCGATCCCCGGCTGCATCATACCAAAAGACGCTAAAAGATGTTACTTGTTAGTGCCCTGTCTGGCGCTCAGCATTAAGGGGCTAAAAAAAGGGCTGGTCGGCTCGGAGTCAGTATTCTGTGTCTGAGTAGGGTATTCGTGTTACACTGCAGCATGGTATCTCAGTGGGCTAGCACTAAAGCAGCTACAATCACAATACAACACACACACACACACACCTGACCTGTATAGATAGAAAGATTGTCGACATTTCCCAGTCCTGTGTGCACTTACTCCTTCACCTATTGCAGTTTAATTTAACCAATCGATAAGCCAAGGTTGTGTTCCAGAGAGGCAGGCTAGCAAGTATTCTGACCAATAACACTAGTCTGAAGAAATGAGTTGCCATTTACTTCATGGTGAAAGTGGAAGTCCACAAGTATATGTCCCTAGTCCTTCCTGAGTATTACTTGTTTGTGACTCGTCGAGTTTTGAACCCTGATTGCACAAACGATTGTTTTGCGTGCAACGTGTGTAACATGTGCTTAAGCCTTCACATGCTTAACATAACATCATCTGGACAAAAGGCTGGCTTCTTTGCAGTTTCTCTGTGGTGTTGACATTTCATTAATATAATGTTTTCTGTCAGAGAGTAATATATAGAATAACCTACTTGAAATGGGGATTATGTGTCCCTAGTGAATGAATCATGGCATGCTGAAAGTGCCACACCAAATTCTTACACCATGCCTTCACTTGGGACAGGGGATCTGTTATTCCTTGTCGCTCGTTGGTTATTCTCTAAATGTGTTGAATGCAGAATTGGAAAACATGTAATGTTGTTTTGAAACTTCAACCAGACCAGAGCTAAATAAGATATATGAAATGAAAGTCATGTTGTCCTTGTCATTACCCTGATGTTAAAACCTAAACGTTGAGGGGTCCCGAGAATTCCAGAGGAGAGGACCTCAAGGACCCAAGGACCCCTTTATTTTGAATAGACCCGTGAAAATCCGGGGTATAATAGGTCTTCAGCAACCCATGCTTGCCGTAAAAGGTGACTATGCTTGTCGTAAGAGGTGACTGGTGGGATCGGGGTTGTCTTGACTTGGTTGATGCATGTCATCGTATCCCGATTGCGTGGATCGATGCTCATGATATCAATCACTGGATTGACTGATCCAGACTCGATTATTTACAGACCGCCGTCATATAGCTGGAATATTGCTGAGTGCGGCGTTAAACAACAAACCAACCAACCAACCAACCAATCATTTTGAATACTTATGTGTTCATTTTTAACTTATCCTGCATTACACATTGCACATCCCTCTTACTACCAAAGTCCTAACTGGAAATGAATGACGAGTTCAGTTCAGTTGAGATCACAACCAGCTCCTTGCCACCAAGAAAGATTCAGAGAAAGTATGCATGATTCACAACATGAGGGTGTTCAATCAGTGCTATGTAGCCTTCACCATGGTTCAGGCTGATCACGCTCTGCAGCTACATCTGTCCATCACTCCAGGCGACTATGTCATCTCCGGGGGCACGGGTGGCCCAGTCGTCTAAGGCGCTGCAATTCGCTGTTCAGAGTTGTGTCCCTTGGGCACGCCAGAAACCTATGATTGTGGGTTCGAATCACGGTTAGCCCCAATTATGTTTCTAGGTTTGTCAGCACCATACCCGTGCTCATGGGTTTCACCAAAGTGGTAAACGTCTGAGACCTGCATCACTTCGGACTTTCCTCCCACATTAAGCTGACATGCCGTGATATAACTGGAATAGTGTTAAAAGCGGCGTTAAAGCAAACTCACTCTCTCTCTCTATGTCATCTCCCTAGACATCCACCTACCTCCATGTCCTTTACACCAGGTGGTACCTGAGATTTGTTTTCAACAACCACCACTACCAGTGAGCTGTTCTCCCATTTGTCATTCCATGCCCCATGGTTGTTCACATAATGAAGATGATCGTCTCCTTCCTACACCTGAGGGGGATTTCATGATGCGCTGTTCCACCCACTGGATTGGTAACTCAACTCAGCGAAGTCGGAACTAACTTTGACCCAGCGCCTGACGTTCATATGAGGCTACTTCGATACCACCAGTGGCCTCTTGCGCCTCCCACCAGATGGATGGCCCTCAAACCGTTCATCAGTGGCAAGTGCTACTTGGCCACCTCTCAAGGGCACAGGACCTCACGGGCAGGGGGAGGCTCAACATCAGGCCATGTCAACTGTTTCTGGTGCCTCATCTAAGGAGCCAGCAAGATTGGACTTTGAGCATGTTGCAGACTGCCTTTGCCAATACCTTGACTGGTGGTTAATCACAACTCCTTAGACAGCGTCTCCTTGATGGAGTCAAAGCATCCCGTAAACTGTTCCTCAACGCCTCACTCCATGGAAGGGTTGCACCACTTCTTGGACCAGACAGCCTCAGGGATGTGGTCTCCAGAACAAAAACAGGGGCACATCAACAACTTGGAACTGGAAGCCTTTTCCCTGGCAGTACAGCTTTCGTCTCATCAATGATCAACGCCAAGCTGCTGATTGCCACAGACAACACAATGGTCATCTATGCCAAAAGCTATGTCTGGTTGTTCACATGTGCTAATGTTGCAGCTGTCCACTGCTGAGTGAGTAGCGGAGACTCACCATCTCAGCCCAGCCCAGCCCAACCTACAGGAACACTCTACGAGATGCCACGACATGTGACAGCTATCCTAGCACCGGACTGAAGGTAGGCATCACCACCTACCGTCGGATAAAGTGCAATATGTAATGCAGAATAAGTTAAGAATATTCCATAATCAGAGTATTATGTCTATTTGTCCCCAGCCGCGCGAATGCGCAAAGTGGGGGACATAGTATTCACGACCATCAGCCTGTACGTCCCACCTGTTTGTTGCCGCGATATCTCAAGAACTAAACACTGGATTGTCTTCATATTTGGAACTATGGTGTATATACAGACTCCGCAGACACAAGTTGGTTTTGGTGACCTTGACCCCATTTTCAAGGTCACAGCAGGCAAATCTGCTTTTGGAGTTTGAAAACGTTGTTGCCGCGATATCTCAAGAACTAATTGCTGGATTGTCTTCATATTTGGAACTATGGTGTATATACAGACTCCGCAGACACCAGTCGGTTTTGGTGACCTTGACCCCATTTTCAAGGTCACAGCAGGCAAATCTGCTTTTGGAGTCGGAAAACGGTGTTGCTGCGATATCTCAAGAACTAATCGCTGGATTGTCTTCATATTTGGAACTATGGTGTATATACAGACTCCGCAGACACCAGTCGGTTTTGGTGACCTTGACCCCATTTTCAAGGACACAGCAGGCAAATCTGCTTTTGGAGTTGGTAAACAGTGTTGCCGCGATATCTCAAGAACTAATCGCTGGATTGTCTTCATATTTGGAACTATGGTGTATATACAGGAGGGGGACATTTCGTCACTTTGTGACAAATACTTGTTTATATACTTATCCTGCATTACCCTGCGTGGCTGATGTCTTCCTACCCAATGTACCATCAGCCCCGAGGGATGTTTGAAAACAATAATGACATATAGGGGGCGACACCAGATATCACGAGGGTCATGCAGATCATGGTGTGGAAAAGAGTTGCTGAAGACGCTGACAGATTTTCATTCATTTCCAGTTCCAGACTTCGGTACTAAGATCAATGTGCAATATGTTATGCAAGAAAAGTATATACAATAAACATCATACTATGATTATGGAATAATTAAACGGAAGGTCAAATTTCAGGAAAAGTTATCAGTTCTGCTCATTACAGTCAGTATAGACTGCAGATGTGTAGATTCAGAAAACAGTACAAATTTGTTAAATAACTTTAATCACATAGTAATTTCATGCCAGGCCAGACCAATACAGGTTCATGTTTTTTTAGAACACAAAACTCAAGCAGGGAGTTACATAGTGGTATGACATTCCACAAGTATTGATCACAGTGATACAATAAGTAAAAAATATATTTATTCTTGCCTTAAATCTTTGCTTTTGTAACTGTAACGCCAAACAAACACTAGTTAGAAGTGAAAACGTAAATATTTTCATCCATTGTGGCATGATTTACACTCACTCAGCTACTTACCGGGGTAATTGAATATCATCAATGCAGTTGGTATAGAGTTACCTCCCTTCTAGTTCTACGCAGCCAGGCAGTATCCAATCATGACACGATTTAGTTTGTCAACTTGCACTATGGAGGACAATGGCAAGATGGTCCAGCTTAAAAGTCCAGCCAATTGTAAATCGTCAGTCTGGCAGGTATTTGGCCATCCTGTGCATGAAAAAAAAGGCTTACGCACCACAGATAAGAACACATGCAAGTATTGTGGTACATATCGGATCGTGAGCAAGGTATCTTGATACATATCGGATCGCACAGTTGATTTATCGCCTCCCCTAGAGTTACATTTGTTGTATTAATCGAGTTTAAAAATTCACTGTTGTTTTTCATCAGTCTGCAAAAATGATCTAAAGTGCATGGTAAAAGTGGTAGTCCACAAGAAAATGTCACTTCTCCTTTGTGAATGTTAGTCTTGTACTAGTGGACTTATGTTAATTTCATACCCTGCAGATCGGCCTGGACTATGAAAACCCATACCTGAGCCCGTTCCGGGAGTTCCAGAGGTTCAAACACCACCCAAGTATGGAGCCCTTGTTCAGGGGAGGCAAGAGGATCTGCTACGGCGCCAGGGCTCTCAATGAAGGAGGACTGCAGGTTCGAGATCAACTCCTTAGATCACCGTGTAGATAGACCGTGTAGACTGTTTCTTTGATGTTATACCCCGGTGCTAAGTTGGTGATACGAAAGATGGAGACACCACTTCTGAAATGAAATTTGGTGGCGAATGGGGACAGGGTGTTTATCATTGTTGAACTGATGATGTAATACACTGGAAAATCAAGGATGTATTTAATGCTGCACTCAGCAATATTTATTAATGTTCAGACAAGTCTAGAATGCAAATGTGTGATAGTTGCTACCTATTTTAATGCTGTATTTGGGCAGGTTTTATATTACACAGATGTATTACTTTATCTAGTCCCAAACTGGCTGTAATACTGTTAAGGTTACTTTAGGGGGCACGGTTGGCCCAGCCATCTAAGGCGCTGCGATTCGCTGTTCAGAGTTGCGTCCCTTGGGCACGCAAGAAACCTATGATTGCGGGTTCGAATCCCGGTTCGCCCCGATTATGTTTCTAGGTTTGTCAGCACCATACCCGTGCTGGTGGGTTTCACCGAAGTGGTAAACGTCTCGGAGACCTGCATCACTTCGGGCTTTCCTCCCACATTAAGCTGACATGCCGTGATATAACTGGAATACTGTTAAAAGCGACATTAAACCCAAGTCAGTCAGTCAGTTAAGGTTACTTTAAAATGGTAAGTCACTCACTGAAAACACCTGTGCAAACTTGTAATACTCACAGATGAGCCCAGGCTGCTGAAATACGACATGTTTAGCTTGGCCTTTAATGTTTTCATTTGGAACTGCCTGTTTATGTTTATTTTCAAGATACAAATATGAAAAATATAAGATTTGCTCATATTTGCTGATATTTGCTCATTTATACTGAGAGTTTATTAACCTTGACACTAATTGGCTGAAAGTTCACCAGATGCGACCCTTTGGAGGCCTTGTCAGATTATCACACAGTGGTATCATATCGGAGTGAAAGAGTAAATTTAGTCTAGTTATGCTTTCTTTAAGGGATCGATGTTAAAGATACAGCCTATGACACACGGTGTTGTTGTTACAGAGTGTGCCTAAGCTCACATTCCCTGGCGGCTGTTTGATGGGCTGCAGCCCTGGTTTCATGAACGTCCCGAAGATCAAGGGAACTCACAACGCCATGAAGAGTGGCATGTTGGCAGCTGAGTCGGTGTTCGACACCATGTTTGATGAGAATCTCAACTCACCCACTGTAGGTAGGTATCTCGTGGAGATGGAGCTGTGTGGGACAGAGAAGCTAGGTGCCCAGTGATGCTGAAGAAGTCACTGTTGTATAGGGTACTGCAGAAATGTACCCATTACATTATATACTGTACCCTGCTGAAATCGCACTACAGCCATGTACACAGTTGACAACTGCATGGTTCACAAGCAGCTGGGCTAGATGACTGTGTGTGAAACTCTGTTACCTCAGTACTTCTCAGAGGCCTAATGCATGATCCATAATGTATCCATGTTATAACAAACAACACTCTCAAAATACTTTTTGGGGAAACAATAAGCCTTTTTTTATAAGGATACAATTATTTTTAGTAGAAGGCAGCTATGCTTGTTGTACTTACAGGATCAGCTGGTCAGGCTCGCTGACATGGTTGCATGTCATTGTATCTGATTTGAGTGGAATGATGCTCATGATGTTAATCACTGGATTGTCTGGTCTTGATTATTTACAAACCACTGTCAGCTGGAATATTACTGAGTGCGGCGTTAAACAACAAACAAACAAATAAAATCTGACTAGCACAATTTCTTTGTGGTGCCAGTCCCTCTGACCAGCAGATGTAATACCCACCAGAAACATCTAGATTCTACACCATGATGTAACTGAAGAGCTTTTAGCCCTACTTACTGAAGTGTTGCTGTGACACTACCATTGTCAATCTACATCTGACATGTCTTTGGTTCGTGTTGGTGACAGGTCTAGATCCAAAGTGTTACGAGGAACGTATCCGGGACAGCTGGGTCTGGAAGGAGCTGAAGGCTGTCCGTAACGTCCGTCCGTCATTCAACACATCCCTAGGGCTATATGGAGGAATCCTGTATACTGGCCTCTTCCACTGGATGCTGAGGGGCAAGGAGCCCTGGACGCTGTCACACAAAGGTAGGGTGGGATGATCACACCCTTTTGTAAGACAACTTACATGTCAACTTATCATGTGTTTTGTTCACCTTGAATTTCAGGGAGTGTGTTCACCACACCCAGACACTGCTTGGCGTCCCCAACTTGGACATGATTCCAAATATTTCTATGATGTATTTAATACCCTATTTAGGTATTTCTGAATAGTATGGGTTACATCTGTCACCAGATCTGTGAAGATCCGGGTTAGAATAGGTCTTCAGCAACCCATGCTTGCCGTAAGAGGTGGCTGTGCTTGTCGTAAGAGGCGACTAACGGGATCAAATGGTCAGGCTCGCTGGCTTGGTTGATGCATGTCGTCGTATCCCAATTGCATGAATCCATGCTCTTGATGTCAATCAGTGGATTGTCTGGTCCAGATTTGATTATTTACAGACTGCCATATTATAGCTGGAATATTACTGTGTGGCGTTAGACAACAAACAAAACATCTGTCACCAACTGATTGTCAGATTGTACGAGCTGAATAGCCATTTACACCACTAGACAGAAGGTGGAGGCCTGTCCATGACAGTCAGCTCATGAGATACTGCACACCAGCTAGGGGCACATGGAACAGATTCATCATTACGGGTTCAGTGCAGAAACTTATTTGTGGCGGAACATGTTTGTGAGACAATATCAGATCTACCTTACTAACATCAGTGGGTTTTATATGGTAACTCTAAATGTCAACAGGGTCAATTATGTGACAAGCAGATGATGTCACATGTTTGGACGTTATGATGTCCGTGCAGACCATCTGACTTGTATGGGTTCGTACAAGAAGATGACTGGCCAGGCAGTTTACTGTGAGTAATCAGATGAAATGATCGCGTAATTTCCATTACAGGAGGGGACCACGATCAGCTGAAGCCTGCTGCTGAATCCACGCCCATCGACTACCCCAGACCTGATGGAGAAGTTAGCTTTGACCTGTTGACCTCAGTGGCCTTGACCGGCACAAACCATGACCATGACCAGCCTGCCCACCTCACACTCAGGGACGACTCGGTCCCAGTCAACCGAAATCTTGCCCTCTTTGATGGCCCGGAGCAGCGATTCTGTCCTGCAGGTAACACCTGTGTTTGCTACCTCACTGAGATCTACATTCAGGGGCTTTAGTTACCGTGGTCATGTTCCCAGGTTCCATTGTGAGCAAGTTGGGCAGATATTTTAGACTTGGTTCATTATATTTTGCGATATGTGGAGATATAAATGTAAATTCCTGTGTGCACAGTGTGTAAATCTGCAAAGTGTACACACTGTTTTTTTTACGTATACAGTAAATTATGTTTATAACAAACACCCTTATAACGAACTGACTTATATAGCATACTGTTTTGGTGTCCTGTCCATTTGCTCTTTATATGCTGTAATGTATGTATGCTTATTATGAACTACGGTTATTACAAAATAAAATTAGGGATCTCTTTGAGTTTGTTATAACCGTAGTTTACTGTATATCTCCATAAACGCAAAGACATATTCAATTCTTATAAATAATAACTTCAGAGATCGCATACTTAATCATTAAGCCCTGCCCATTCTATTGTCAGACAATCAAGAAACAGTGGTCTGATAGTGGACGTGGCCTTGTTTTTTTTAATCCAAGGGACTCACTAACTTCATAGGGGACAAATTATGAACACTTTGGATGCAGTGATGAAATTGTGAATGCATCTAATGGAATACTTTGAAACCCAGCATCGAGAATAGATATGTTACAGAGTTAAGACCCTTTCCTTAAGTTTTGGGACATGTCGGGAAATGGGACACAACCATCAACTGGGACGCGTTTTCTTGGAAACTGCTATGGCTACAAGGATAACAATTTGAATATATTGTTAAGGGGTAGATTGGTTGATCCTGTTAAAAAATATCACAAAAACAAATGATGTTTTGCAGAGTTATGGCCCCTGTTTCTAATTATTCCCTGCCAAATCACTACGATACATTTGCAAGGATTATAGGGGATATGGGGGATTTTGCCTTCTTGTGTATTATTATCAGGATTCAAAATTAATTTAAATTTTCTAGTCTGAGACAAGTAAATTTCAGGAGGGTCTAATGACATTTCCTTGTTGATGAGGTACATGTCGGCTCTGTAGCCATGGTAGCAGATCATTTATGCAACCTATTGAAAATATAAGATAGTTACTATACTAATAGTGGGATATTTATGGAACATCTTAACAAAGAAGTCTTTTCATTGTCTAATGAATTTATGTTTGTGCTTGATTGGTCTGAAGATGGACCCCCCAAACACGATTGTTGCACCAAAGGGTAGGTAGTTTCCTGAATAGAAAAGTACCCCAGGTACATTTCTCCAATACTCTGTAACAATGAACCCTTTGACTCGAGCGAGTTTGTGTAACTATAGTCAGAAACATGAGTTAAAACTTAGTCTCTTATCTCCAGGTGTGTACGAATATGTGGAGACAGAAGATGGCACCGGCAAAAGGCTCCAGATCAATGCTCAGAACTGCATCCACTGCAAGACTTGTGATATCAAGGACCCCTCCCAGAACATCAACTGGGTGTGTCCTCAGGGAGGGGAGGGGCCAGCGTACAACGGCATGTAGATGCCCCGACCCATGACCTTTGTGACACACAGTACACAGCTTCAAGTTAGGGATGTCGGCGGTGAGAAGACAGACTCTGTTTCAACTGGGCGTGTCATAATTCACCGATGATGATACGCCTTACGATTCAATACATGATGTGCCTACCATGATGTAATTCAGATTCAGATTGATTTAAAAAGAAATAATGACAAGTTTTACAATAACCGTTATCAGGAAACCGCACTAAATTTGATTTAATATACTGTGAGAACTAGCCCAGATAAACCTATTGTGGAAGTTAAGTACACAAACTGGTTGACAGGAACCACCTAATATGAGCCTGGCTGTATTGAACATTGGGAATTTTTATGCAAAAACTGTGAGGTAGGCATGTCATGACACCCCTAGGTAACATGAAGCTGATGAATGATCTCAGGGACTAGGGCTGGGACAAGTCCAAATTTACTACACGGGTACCCACCCAACTATTACCCGACCCTATCCAGGTACCTGCTGTTGGTCTCAAGAGAGAGGTACAAATGTCCGATTGGGGATAGTTTGACCATAGCCCTGGCAAAATGTATTTAGATACTCAAATAAAATGATCTGGTCATGCATACACTGAAGTTGACTGAAGTTTTATCTCTATTCAAACTTATAAAGTCAGAAGAAATGTGTGCACAGTCAGAAAGAAATGCGAACATTAGTCACTTATAGTGCAACCATGGAAGTTCTAGATAATTTTTGCTATTAAACAATATATCACGTGACTAACCACGGGTCCGGGTAGTACCGTGGGTGCCCGGGTCCTACTCAGGAACCACCCGACCCGAGTACCCGAGTTACCCGTCCCAGCCCTATCAGGGACACATCTCACCCAATCTGTTCCACCGATGCTGGAAGTTACAAACATGTGACCTATTACCACTTGTTTGTTTGGAATTCTGTAGACATGGGGACATATATTTCTATACTTCTTTAGGGCGGTGGGGTAGCCTAGTGGTTAAGTGTTGGCTCGTATCGCCGAAGACCTGGGCTCCATTCCCCACTTGGGTACAATGTGTGAGGCCCATTTTCCGATGTCTCTCGCCGTGATATTGCTGGAATATTTCCAAAAAATGCGTAAAACCATACTCACTCACGCTCACTATATTTCTTTAAACAGCAAAAATACTTTCTTTATCAGGGTTAGGGTCAAGACATGACAATCTACTGACCATTTGGGCCTGCTGTTGTTGAAAATATCTGAGTACCATTTCACAAAGCTGTTGTGGTGATATGACTTGTGGACCTTGAAACCTGCTCCAAAAGGACTTGAATCAAAGAACTCCTCAAGCTTTAGATGGTAGTATTAAGGTATTAAGTATTAAGGATCCTGTGACGTGCATGTATATTTCGATTTAAGCCCATCAGGTCACTGCCATTTTTGTATCATTTTTGCTTGAAATGGGAATAGGGCCAGCTGTTGAATCGGACCCATCTCAAAGTCAGATCGGACAAAAACACCTCAGTTACTCACTGCTGGATGTACCCCTCTGTCACACTCTGCAATGGTAGAAGAACATTAGGAGTATGGATCAATGTGGTAATTTCTTTGTGTTTTCATGTAGGCTGAGGGAGTGAAGTGAAACATTTGATCTTTTGGATGTGTTTATTTGGTGAGCCAGAGTTTGTTCTGTGTGATTTCAATGCAGAAATGGACCACATGTTGTCTATACTGATTGATATATTCAACTGAAAATGTTCATTGTTTTGTTTGCGTTTATTATGTATATTATCATGCAATATATTTATTTGTAAACAAGGTCGTGTTAAGTCATTTTTGAACATGTCTGGGTTGTAGCATCATGAGGATATGTGTGAGGGTGGAGATATAAACCCTACAATGTTATTGTAACATCCAAAGACTCTTTAAGGCTTTGGTCTAAAGAGTCTTGTGTTTGATTGTAGGTTATCAGCTAAAAGGACAATGAGGCAGGACTCTGGAATATGTATTGTATTGTATTCTTCTACCTGCAAACTTATATGTTCAGCCCCCTAAAATTGTGCTAACATTATGTCAAAATAGAAGCGTGCAATATGGTTACATACTCACTTGCACAATTGCTAATGCAACTGCAATAATCACTTGTAAATAAGGAAGTAAAACCTTTAAAAGAATCCCAATTTTGAACACAAATAACAATTTTTTCCAATTTGCCTGCCAAAGACACTTAGTTTGGATCCTAGATTAATTCCTGGATACTCACCCACTCACTCACCCACTCACCCACTCGCCGTCCTGTGACCATCCAGCATATATCAAGTTTGTGGTAGAGATATTTAGAGAACTGATTCTCAACCATGGCGTTGATGTGATTCTGCTGGGGCCAGAAAGATCCATCGACTCCCACATATATCATGTTAAAGGATAAGAGCTAGAAAAGTTTCTCTTTGATGCAGAAATTACCATGACTGTCTTGTGTTTTCTGTATTACCTGTATCCAGAAAGCGTCAATGAAGAAAACCTTGTTTTAATACAGGCTATGAACAACTAGAACAACAAACAAAGAACTGAAGATGTTTGTTGAACAAGATCTGCCAAATTGAAGCTGAATGTTTGAAGTATGTATTTAAGTACTTTCAGAAATACCAGCTTTTAACTGCTTTTTGCCGGTTAAGAAAGGATAGAATTTTTCACAGAGTGTTGCTATTGTAATATCGAGTAACTAATGATCTACTAATGATCTACATACCTTGGCTTTCATACCAACATGTCTGTGGTGTGATAAATTAAACGAAGAAGGTAGGGGTCATCTCAAAACAAAACTGGGACATAAAGGGATGTTAGACAGCTCTGATACTGGGATGATTAGGTGTACAGTGTACAAGCTTTATAAGCAGAAGGTACCCCGACTTGTAGTAAAATTCAAAAGGAAATTAAAGACAGTTAATGTTTCCTGGACTAAACTGATTATTGCTCTCCACGAGATGGGATTTCGATACACAGCACGTGTCGAGGACACAGAAGTTTTCAGGGGAAAATAATCCATGTTGTCCAATAGGTCACATTATCTCCGCACCATTCATAACTATGGCAGTCAGGGCATTCAGAATCATTTACCTTGATGACACCTGGGTGAATAAGAGGTACTTACTACATTTGGCTATTGTGAGATGAAGAAAAGCACCCATGGTACCATCAGGTAAAGGGGGGCACGGGTGGCAGAGTCGTCTTAGGCGCCTCAATTTGCTGTGCAGAGTTGCGTCCCTTGGGCACACCAGAAACCTATGATTGTGGGTTTGAATCCCGGTTCGCCCCGATTATGTTTCTAGGTTTGTCAGCACCATACCCGTACTCCTGGGTTTCACCGAAGTGGTAAACGTGTGAGACCTGCATCACTTTGGGCTTTCCTCCCACATTAAGCTGATATGCCGTGATATAACTGGAATACTGTTAAAAGCTGCGTTAAACCCAACTCACCCACCCACCATCAGGTAAAGGTAATCATGTCATTGTTTTGTATACCAGAACCTGTGATCTGTGGCTTATTGATGACTAGTTTTTGTGGTGAAAAGAAAACTGGTGATTATCATAAGGAAATGAATTGTGATGTGTTCATAGACTGGTTGGAACGTCAGCTACTAGCCAATCTAAACAACCCCAGTGTCATTGTTATGGATAACGCCAGTTATAACGTCTAGGAACCAGATACTGTCGCGCCAACCGTGAGTCGTCTGAAGGTGACCATGCAGGAATATATCATCTTGCAATGTCGACATCAGACCACTGAAATGAAACAACTCATGGCGATAATTTGCCTGAATAAGAAACCAGTAAAGTACAGGACAGATGTCCTTGCGGCACAACACGGTCACATGGCATTGTAACAGCAATATTTTGAGACCACCCCATAAGTCAGGGGATATGAGTACCTGTGAGAATGTACAGGCGGTGTGAGGTTATCACCTCGGGACAGGTGTTAGGTAATTACCTCTTACATGAATGACAACACACAAATATTTTCTAAGTTTATCATAATTTTTCCTGTAAAGGTGCCCTTAATGCTAATCACAGTGTCAGTTAGGATAGGCCAGATTAGGTAGATTTGTTTTTTTTTGATGTATGCTATTTTCATAGTCCTATGATTCATATTTATTAAAAGTGTCAGTTAGGATAGGCCAGATTAGGTAGATTTGGGTTATTTTGATGTTTGCTATTTTCATAGTCCTATGATTCATATTTATTAAAAGTGTCAGTTAGGATAGGCCAGATTAGGTAGATTTGGGTTATTTTGATGTATGCTATTTTCTTAGTCCTATGATTCATATTTATTAAATGAAGCCAGAAAAGCATTTTTCTAGCAATTCTGACAGTACTTTAAGAATGAGTCGGTGCTTATTGCAGGAGTGAACACTGGCACGTAGTCAAATCAAATATGGATATGGATAAAGTGTCCATAAATATTGATAAATGTTGACGGGTTTACTTATACATGATAAGGGCTTGGTTTGTGTCTACCACTGCAGGAATAGTCTCCATGGTAACTGCTTTGCCATTACAATATTGATGTTACAGGTAGTGTTCATCTTTCAAGCACACTAAACTTGTCTTGATTTATACGTTAAGCATCATCTCTATGCCAGATCGAACCATTACAAACATAGTCGCAGATTACCATCCCTCCTGAGGTGACTTCTTTGTTGAGGTCAGAAAATGTGTGAATGTTCTAAATAATAAACACTTTGTTGTTTCATCCCCTTTCTTCCCTGCTATTTCACTATTTTCTATTGTTCTAGGCTGATTGTTGCGTGTTGACAGCCGTGCTAAATCTACACTGTATTATAGAAGTCAATAGGGCTTTCACTTACTGTGTCAACATTGTTGTATCCAAATTGATAGCAATTCTTTCTATATTTTATTCCACTTTTGGATACAACTTTATGTTTAAGAAAGAAGTATCGTACCGTTATGGGTGGGCCAGTCATCAAAGGCGCCGAAAAATGCTGTGCAGTGAGTAGTGTTCCTCAGGCCAGAGACCATAAAATAGATATCCCTATTTTATGGTCTCTGCTTTGGCATTATGGGAAATATAATTTTCAATGCTAGAGAATATTCCAACAAAACAGGTTCCATTGGGCTTAAAAGGCAACATAATAGTTAAAATTATATGCATGGAGCACAGAGACCCATGATCTTCGGTTCAAATCCTGGTTTGCCCATATTGTTTGTTTGTCAGCCACACCATTCTTAGCTTCAACAAAGTGGTACACATCTTACACCTGCATCACTTTCGTGGCTTTCAGCGACGTATTGCAATAGGATCAAGGACTATTTGCTTTAAGGGTAATGCTATTTTTCAGGGCATTATCATTTGCAGAAGGCCGAGGTCTTCCATTAACTGCCTGACGAAGGAGGCCAGTTGAAAAGACAAAGGGCTTCTGTAAATGATAATGCCCTGAAAAATAGTGTTACCGTTATTATAGCTAAAATGGATAGAATTTGTTGTCAAATAAAAATAAACAATATCTGTTTTGAACCTTTACTGCAATCAACACACAACGAATGTCACTGACCCACTTATACAAATATGGAAACATCATATCTAACAAACCAGATGCCGTCACCATTGAACATCAATATGTCAGCCAACAACGGGCAGGATAATGGCCCGTCGTCATGCAATATGAGGGCATTATCAAGTTACAGTGGCAACATGCGGGCGGTTTAAATGATAATCCTATCCATTTCAGCTATAAAACATGATAGACATAAAATATGTTGTTGAGTGCTCATAACACAGAAGTCCTATACAAGAAACAATGTTTCCAGCCGACCTCCTTAAAATTTGCAAGTCAGAAATAACAGTGTTGTAAACGAACACAAGCCTGCTGGCTCAGGTATACTTGTTAATGACAGGAATCCAGATGGGAGGTAGAACTCCAGGCATGGAAGTGGGGTCTCCCCCAATATGTTGTCACTGTTCAGTCCAGTTTCAGGTTATGTTGCATCCATGAATAAACATCAAGTGTCAGTAAGTTGCTTGACAACAACACCCACACACTGCATGGAAACAAGTTCTTCTCATTAGGAACCAACTTCATAGTCAGTGTGTGCTGAGGGGGCGCTGGGGTAGCCTAGTGGTTAAAGTGTTCACTAATCATGCCCAAGACCCGGGTTTGATTCCCCACGTAGTACAATTTGTGGAGCCCATTTCTGGTGTGATATTGCTGGAATATTGCTAATGCATAAAACAGTACTCACTCAGTGTGTGCTGACAAAATATACCAGTACAAGGTATTCTAAGCAGTTGCTACATGTTAATGACTCAAGTTTTCACTGTTTCTGACAGACATTTCCTTTTTTCTTTAGTAATATGTTAAGTTATGCAGACTTTAGTTTTCTGAATGGATAACTACATCTCTTCAAGCAAAGTGTTTTTGTCTAACAAATAAATGCTCAGTTTGACAGAAGAGCATGGTAACTATCATTGTCTTCTCTTTCAAGTCTTAACAATTACTTATGTATGGCCTACATTTTACCCTTCAACTGATGTGAAATGTATAGATTCTGCAGTCCACATTCTTCCATCTGCCTGATGCAACCTGTCCCAGAATATGCCCATGGCCTGTCACTCATTCTGTCACATCCAGTTACTCTGAGGCACAGCAAGCACCTTGTATTATGACCTTCCAACATGGATCAGTGGGTACTGGTGGTTTATGATGAACCCAAGGTTGTGGTACTGGGACAGCTTTATTCATCTTGATTTACAACTCTTTTTGATTAGCACAGGTGTGACAGTGAGACTTGTCTTTGTTGGT